GATAAATAAAATAACAGATATTTTAATAGTTTATTAATTATAGAAAAACCACACTAATAAAGTAGTGGTCCTTTTTGTAATCTACTCAATTTTGTCTCAGTTTAATAAAAATCAAACATTTTTTTGGGATTATTATTTGATAATTGGGCCACCAATTTATTAATTAAAAAATATTTCAAAAAATTATAGTCTCAATTTTATTCATCTCAGTCCTACCATGTGGATAAAGTAAAAAAATTTTGTCTAGAAAATATCTAAAATATCAATTATTTATTGATTGTAGAATAACCGCACTAATAAAGACGTGTCCAACTTTCTAAATTTTTCCCAAACTTATCAAAGCGCATTAGTAGCTTTCACTAGTTTCCCAGCTTTGGTATTAAACATTTTACCCAACTTTTAACCCAAAAAATCCCTAATTCAACACGTTAATTCCACTCCTTTGACTAAGTTCACATTAATCATTTTTCCTCTCTTTGATACAAAAAAAACAAGATTAATCTCAATGTCACTCTTTATGTGTTTAATGTGACAACATAGTAAAAGGTACACCACCGGAAATAATTAATGACTTAAGTTAAACACTCGACACGACATTAACACCGAATAAAAAAAAAATCCCTAAAACTTGTCTTTAACAGAGATAAAACTTGTCGAATTCAATAGGGGAGGGAATCACTCATGCTGTGAATTGATTACAAGAGCCTAAGGGCGAAATTTAGCGCTAAATGAAAAGTCACTAAATTCGATCAACGGCTTTAATGATTGATTTTATAGTTGCACCGCGTCGATAAATGACCGTTTCGTGTTATTATTATTAATTAAATGAATCGATATGAAAGAATTCCTTTGGGTCGCATCGCGTGTGTGTGCAAAAACACCCCTAATTAAACATTTTTTAACAAATGAAAAAAAAAAACGACCCTTTGTAATGAAAGGGCGCAATTAGGGTAAACATCGATCAAAGAGTAGGGAAAAAATATTCGACAGTGGCGTAGAAAAAGAATATTTTAACGCTTTAGGACGATAATTGCACTCAGCCCACTCGATCCACTCGACAACGACAAAGCAAAATAGTTACAATAGAAGCTAATAGCTGGACTTAGAGGAGGCCATTGTGTCTAATTGCCCTCACTACAGAGGGTCGTTTAAACAAACATCGAAACGAGAAATTTATACAGGAAACGAGTTAATTTTTTTTTTAGTGAAGTAGGCCGTGAATTTGTTAACTATGATTTTATCGCAGTGGTAGGGCTGTAAAAAATAAATCAGTGTTTACTAACTACATTTTACTAACAAAAAATTAGTAAAAACACTTTATTAACGTGGTAGGACTAGAAAAAATATCATTAAAGTACTTAATAAATATAAACCAACCACTTTATCAACAGGCCGGACTAGAAAATTGATTTTTTTAAAGGGATTGTAAATATTTTATCGATACGGTGGGACTAGAATTTTTTTATACCAAAAAACTTCTGTTTGCAAAAAATCCTGAATTTGGATTATAAAATGGTATAGTACTTCCATGTCGATATTTTTTTTAATAAGAAAAAATATCAAAGTCGATATTAAAAAAAATTATGATAATACTACCGTATCGATAAAGTTTTAGTGTATATACATTGTCAAAAAAATAATTTCTTTGTAATAACAAAAATACAGCTCTACCATATCAATAAAATTTAATAGAAATGTTTTCATTTGATTTTTAATACCACTTTATCAACCTGGTAGGACTAAACAGAATCAAATTGAAACGACTTCAAAATTTCTAGGTATTCCATGCTGATAAAACGTTTAATGTTGAAAGTTTTTTTTAATTATTAAGATGGTTGCCCAATAATTAATTAATAATTTATTTATAATAATAAATAATTGTTTAAAAAAGGTCACTACATTTTATTAATGCGGTTATTCTATTATTAATAGACTATTAAAATGTAAAAATTCGGAGATTTTTGTTTTTAAAACATGTGCTAATTCCGTGTTAATAAAATCTTTTTCTAAATTTTTTTGTGTTTTTTTATGCAATCAGTTACGAGTTTATTAGTTTCATTGTATGATTTTTATTAAATTGGAATAAAATAGTGGCCAATTTTATTGGTCTAATTAATAAAATGAGTTTTAAACAATTTCTACATAAAAACAAGCAAAACGAAACAAAGTGTTTGTTTATTGATGCGATAGAGCTACTAAATAAAAATATTTTATTCTCTTTTTCATCAAAACATAGAAAACCAATCACTTTATCAACAGGTAGAACTAGAAAATTGATTTTTTTAAAGGGATTGTAAATATTTTATCAAAACGGTAGGACTAGAATTTTTTAAATGCGTATTCGAAATTCGAAATATTTATCAACATATTAGAGTTGTAATTTTTTTAAATTTCCTAATTTTCTTAGAGACATAGAGATAGAACTGAAATTAATAAAATTAAAACTATAATTTATTAAAATATTTTTATTAATAAAATGGTGGCCCAATAATCAATAATAAATAATCCAAAAAAATGTTTGATTTTTATTAAACTGAGACAAAATTGAGTAGATTACAAAAATGACCACTACTTTATTAGTGTGGTTTTTCTATAACTAATAAACTATTGAAATATCTTTTATTTTATTTATCGATATGATAGGACTATACTTTTTACCAAAAGAATTTAGTAAACCCATTTTATTAACGTGGTAGGACTAGAAAAATATATTTAAAATATTAAAAATTCGGAAATATTTTTGTTTTCAAAACATCTAGTAATTCCGCGTTAATAAAATCTTTCTCTAAACCTTTTTTGTGTTTTCATTATGTAATTGGCTACGACTTTATTAGTTTCGTTGTTAAATTGGGATAAAATTGCCCACTACTTGATTGGTATGGTGAATTTTTAATTAATAAAGTGAGTTTTAAACAATTTATACAGAAAAACAAACAAAACGAAAGAAAGTGTCTGTTTATCGATGCGATAGGACTACTAAATAAAAACTTTTTATTCTCTTTTTTATCAAAACAGAAAACCAACCATTTTATCAACAGGTAGCACTATAAAACACTAGAAAATTGATTTTTAACGGAATTGTAAATATTTTATCGATACGGTGGGACTAGAATTTTCACAATAATTCGAAAAACAACTGAACTTATTGCCAAATAACTCTAAATTGTCGATAAATTTTAATTGAGTTTGATTTGAAAACCCATTTTGTTAAATTGTTGAGAAAAAGTTGTACAGTAATACCATGTCAATAAAGTCTCGCAATTTTCATTTCGTTTCAATTCGTCATATTTAGTCTTACCGCATCGATAAATTTTTATTAGAAAAACAGTTCAATTACAATAAAAATGTAATAAAGGAGTTCATTTTTAAACATTTCAGATTGGAATTTTTCATGTACTACCATGTCGATAAATTTTTACTTTGTTTCACATTTCGTTTAACAAAGATAAAGCAATACCAGGTCGATAAACCAATAGTAATTTTTTCTTATTTTTGATCAAGTAATCTCTTTGAAGTTCTCATCCGGCCCATAATACAATTAAAATTTCCACAATTCTCGTTTCATTTCTAAATTACTAATTGAATTAATTAGCCAAATGAATGCATCATAGTTGGCCAAACTTTGACTCGTGTAAAATTTCACACTCGACCTCTCTAATTCGAACCTTTTTTTTTTATAAATTTAGCATCACTTACTTGATTTTCTTTCGTTGAAGAAGACGACGACACCACCACGAAGAATGCTAATAACACGACGTTATCCTTTATATATACGCAAAAGTTGATCGGTTTTAGCGCTCCGACAAATGTGACGCCTGCGTCGCGACGCCTCTTCACACATCAAAAACTACACATTTTTTATTCACCAATGTTACTTTTTATTATGTCACCACTTTTATCACAAGCAACAAGTTGTGACAGATGAAAAACGAATGATTTTTAATATTTTTTTAGTATCCTAGCAACGAACATAACCAAATAAACTGTTGCTATAGTAATATGGTGATAATTTGTTTATTACTCTAGCAACCATACATAACCATGGCAACCACAGTGTTGCCATTATATTAGTTGGAATTAATGAAATTTTTATAGCTTATGTAGGTGATGTGTTTGTAGAATTTCTTGGTAAAGACAAAAGCAAATTCGTAAATCATTCATCATTATTGCTGAAAATCTCTGATTTATGGCCGATGAAAATTTTCTGAAAAAATGAATTTCAGTTGAATATTAATTAAATCAGCTTTCAGATGCAATCGGCATTTATTAGATGACAATTACATTTCTCCGATGAAACTTATTAAGTGAAAATGAGGAAAAAGGGATGAAAATGACGTCATATTGTTTTTTTGGTAATTTTAGACACGAAAAATAGAACGCAAAATGTAAATGCTATTTAATCAATTATTCGAGTGTGTTAATTGAAAATGATGACCACTTGATAAAGACTCCAACTACTTGACAAGTTTATATTATTAACATTTACATATTCATCAATTTTGATGTTCGACTTAAATCAACAATGGAGAGAATAATCACGGCCTAATTCACAAAACAGTGCTTTTTTAGTAAATTTTAGAAAAAATTGGTAATACTGAAGCGTTGCTACGGTAATAACATGACAATTTTGTTGGTTACTAGGGTAACGAATAAATAAACAAAATTTTTTTTAGAAACGAAAATTAATTTTGAAATATTTTTTTTAAAACGAGTATTCGCCCAAATGTTAGTAAAATTATTTTTTTAATTATTGATATAGTAAATAAAAATAACATTTTTGTATTTTTTGAGCATTTTGCACGTTTTTCTAGCCATACAAAAACTCAAATGCTATTTTTTTTTAAAAAAGTTGAAAAATCGAAAGATAGTTTTGTTTTTCTAAATGATATTTCACTCAAGGTAAAAAAATCACATTATTTTGTCCATTTCTGTGCGTTTTCGTGTGTTTTTAGCCAGAAACATAACTATTTTGCAAAATTTCGTTAAAAATAAACCGAAAATTTATCAAAAGTCGAAAGAAAGAAAAGAAAAATTTTGATTTTTTTCTGAAATGCATTATTTTCAATTATTTTAACGAATTTTGTTGAAGTTTTATTGAAAATTTTTAAAATTGACTCTAAAATGAGTTTGTTGTAAATTTAGTAGTTTTTTACCGAGAAACTCACAAAATTTAGGAAATTATGTTAAAACAAGGTAAAAAAAAATCAAGTCTAAAATGTCTTATTTTTGTTTATGTATTTTCTAATGTATTATTATGTATTTTTTCTGTGAAATTAAATTTGAAAAAATTGAAATTGTAAAATTAAGTCTGAAATGCCCTATTTTTTGAGTTATCAAGTGTTTTTCCAAAAAAACTCCCAAAATTCGTGAGATTTCACCAAAACTAAGTAGAGAATTTCAAAATTACGTCTGAAATTTACTATTTTTGATTATTTTGATGAATTTAGAAAATTTTGCTGTGAAACTTAATAAATTCTAGGTTTTGCCAAAATAAAGCAGAAAATTGCGAAATTAGGTCTAAAAAGCCTTATTTTCACTTATTTCAATGAGTTTTAAACATTTTTTCAATCAAGAAACTAAATAAATTGCAAAAAAAGACAAAAAATTGTAAAATTGGCTCTGAAACACGTTATTTTTTTTATGATATTAGAAACATTTTTTACTTAGAAACTTACTTAATTAATAAATGTATTTTGAAATACTTTATTGAATCGACACAAATGTTAGTAAAATTATTTTTTTTAATTATTGATGTAGTAAATTCAAAAATGATGACACAATTTTTTTGTTTTTTTTTTGAGCATTTTGCACGTTTTTTAGACACGCCAAATTTTCTCAAAAAAAAAGTTGAAAAATCGAGAGATAGTTTAGTTTTTCTAAATGATATTTTACCCAACAAGGTAAAAGAAATCGCTAAAATGAGTCATAAAGTATATTATTTTGTCCATTTCTCAGCGTTTTATTATGTTTTTAGACAGAAACAGAACTATTTTGCAAAATTTCCTTAAAAATAAACCGAAAATTTATTAAATTAGGCCAAAACTAGTTGTAAATTATTAAAATTCGATGTGGTGCAACTACACCTTCAAAAACGTCGATTTTTTAAATTAAAAAAATATTACAGTACTACCAAATCAATAAATTAATATGACTTGTATTTTTGCTTAGTATTATTTTTTATAATTCAATGATTATTATATTATGAAAATGTCGATGAAAAAAGTTTTGTTAAAATTGGCAACACTGTACCTATTATGTGCGGTTGCTAAGGTAACAATTATTTTCTCCATAGCAACACTATTTATGTGGTGTTACTATAACAACAACTTGTTTTATTTTTTCGGTTACTAGGGTAATAAATAATAACGAAAAATATTGATGAAAAATAATTTATTGTTAAAAAATTGTAAAAAAAAATAAAATTATGCTTAATTTAAGGCAAACATTTCGTGTTCTATAGATTTCGCAATCCAAGTGCCCAAATCAGCATTTTTGAACGCATCGTTTAAGGAATTTTTTGCAATCTGAAAAAAAAAATTACAAAAAAGTTAATTTTTTCATCATTTTCCCTACATTATATTCCATAGCTGCATATTTGGCTTCAATGTAAATGTTTTTGAATTTTTGCCCCCAAATTTTTTCACTAAGGGCCCCAAATCGTTGTAAAAATGTGCGTTTGGAAAATTTGGACGGTCCAAGTTCGGTAAGTCCGGTCCTGGAATTGATAATTTCACACTGTTGGTCATTTTTAGACCACGTGATTGCAAAACTTGGACTGGAAGTGGTTTTGGGTTTAGTGGAGGGGAGGAAAAACATGGAGGGGGTATTTAGTTGGTAAGTGGGAGGGAGGTTATCAACGGTGTCTTTGATGCGTCCATAAATTGCCCTAGAATGAAATTTTGAGTTAGTTTTTTTTGCGTTTTTTGTGTTGGCACCTCTGCAAATGCGATTCGTGTATGACGTTACCTAAAATCACCGATTTGAGATAAATCGGGTCGAGGAAATTCGATAAAAGGGCCCCTTGGAGCCCTAAAACGTTCCATCGACAAATTTTATCCGAACAAGACATTGTTAAGGATTTATTTTCGTGAAAAATTCGATTTTTTTTCGTGGAAATTGTTCCACCAACAGCCTCGATTTTCACTCTTAAAAATCCGTGTTTTTTAGCCTCGTTTCGGGGGCTAAAAACACTAGCGTCTCCACACGGGGTCTTATCAACGTACAAATGAAACTCGATTCCGTCAACAAGTCGAAACTTGTTTCCATTTCGCACAAAAATCGACTCTTTTCCTTCAATACACAATTCTAATTGGTCGTAGAAAAAACCAAGTAAACACCTCCGTGATAAAATTTCAGCATGCATATCGTTTAAGTTGGCACCACTGTTTGTCATTTTCGCACTCGAAATGCATTTCGTACCCGCCGCCACTGCAACCACATCACAATCCAGAAAATTCCCGTTTCGGGTCATCACAATTCCAGCGCCAACTGTATATTTACTAAATTGAGGCTTTGAAGCCAACAGTGACGCGATTTTATCTTCAATTAACCTAAAAAAATGGAAAAGTCACAGAAAAAATTCAATATGTACCACCTGCGAAAAAACTCGGGTTTTGCAAGAGCAATTTGTGTTTTTGGGGGAATCCCAAGACCGGTGAGAGCCGAAAATGCTGCCGCTTTCTTTGCGATTTTCTTACTCGGACCTTGAAATTAAGTTGGTAACACTGAATTTACTAAAATTAAATTTACCGATTCCTACAAATTGTTGCGTAGCAATTGTAATAACAATAGTGAATTCGGTTGTAGTGTCATTTCGTGTTTCCGTACACGTATAGATGGCGTTGGGGTAAAGTCGATTGAGAAAATTCGATGCTTTTGTTTTTATTTCCGTTTGTGGTTTACTAAACTCATTTGTTTCACGTAATGATTTATGTACTTGTTCAGCAACGTCTAGTCGTGCTTTTGTTTTAGTATCACCAACGCCAGAGTAGATTTTTCCGTTGACTTTAGCCGCCATTTTGAATAAAGAACCGGTTTTTCCCACAAAGTTATACTGAAGTGCCGATCTTACATAGTTTAGGGATTTTTTTGCGGTTTTAAAAAATGTTGGTAGTAGTTTGACATTGTTCGTCTCTGAAACTAAAATTAATTCAGTCAAATTGGCTAGATGGCGTAGTTGAAACTCACGTGACTTAGCCTTATTTTTAATGATGAGTAATTCCCTTAAAACTTGTTCAACAATATTCATTTGTGCCTTAATTTTGGAACCACCGATACCGTAATAAATTTTTTCGTTCACTTTGGCCGCCATTTTGAATGTGGGTTTGTGGTCAGGTCCGGTCTGCTCGACGAGGCGATAGCTGAGCAACGAATGAATGTTTTCTATTGTTTTTTGATTATTTTTCACATTTATTGGATCTATTTTGACATTTGACATTTCTTCTTGTTTTTTATTTTTCAATTCATTTTTTTGTATGTCGTTCAGTGATTGCAAAACGACTTGAGTTAGATTATTTTGAGCTTTTTGTTTCGAACCTCCACTTCCGTAATACGTTTTTCCGTTCACTTTGGCCGCCATTTTGAATGTGGGGGCGTGTGCAGGGCCTACTTGATCGATTAAATTGAATTTTAACAAAGATTGGAGATTATTAAGGGACATTTTTGATTTATCAAACAACGACAAGTCAATTATCACATTTTGTGTTTCTATAAAATGAAATTTTGTAATTAAAAATTATAATGTAGTTTTTTTTACCTTTCTTTTTTTCCTTTTCCTTGTCCTCAATTTTATTCTTGTTCAAAAATTTAAAAACCACTTCAGTTACTTCGTCTCGAGCCCTTTGTTTGGAACTCCCTTTTCCGTAATAAATTTTTTCATTCACTTTCACCGCCATTTTGAATGTGGGGGCATGTGGAGGCCCGATTTCCTCAACTAAAGTGTATTTTAACACCGATTTTAAATCGTCAATCGTCATTTCAGTCGTTTTTAAGTCGAGATTAACAATTTCAGGCGCTGAAAATTCACAAAAACAATTTCATTTAATTTTTTGTTTTATTGACATACCTGTTGGAGTAACATTTGTTTGAACAGTCTCAGAAACAATAGATTTATTTCCGAGTGATTCACCGATTTTTGCACCATTGTTGGCAAAATAACGATGAATATCACCAAAAATTCGATCGATGTATTGCTGGTTGTCTAACTTTGTTTCCACGTTGTTGAGTTTTTGTTTGATTTCATTTATTTCTCTCAACAAGGTTTCTAGCAGTTTTACCACTTTTGTTTCCATGTTTTTGCACTACACACAAACACAAATAAAAGTATCAAAGTCGGGGAATTACTCCATTTTGTCGTCACGATAACTTAGTTGTGAAAGTCTACAAAGTAGTGGGGATAAAGTTGATAATGCGAACCTGTTGGCCTTGAAATGTAGAAGTAGGGATATTAACACGTGAATTTACAGTTTTAAGCGCTGAATTTTTCCAATTTATTGATAAGAATGATAGCGGTTTAGAAATTAGATAAGTGACTGTATTGTTGGTTGCAGCCTTTTTGTATTATTAAATTGTAAGATATGTAAATAAACATTTATTTGAAATAAAGTGAGTGCATTCTGGGGCTGTTTTTAAACCCTTTGCAATTTTTTGAGTCTCATTCATCGTGTTTTTCCGCCAAAAAAATGTGTATGTGTAAAAAAGGTGTATTGTTAGTTGCAGGTAGCTGTCATTAAATTATAGTTTGTAAATGAACATTTTTGGATGCGTTTTGCAGACTTTGCTTTTTTGGAGTGCGTTTTATGGTGTTTCTAACGTATTTGTGTTTTTTAAATCTTAGTTATTGCTCTTTTTACCCAAAAGTGTCACATATTGACACATTGACAGATGCTTGATGTATTGTTGGTTGCATATCACTAACAAATTAAATTGTAAAATTTCTAAATAGACTTGTATTTGGAACAAATTGGGTGCGTTTTGGGGCATTTATAGACCGTTTGTGTTTTTTTTTTGAGTGGCATTTATTGCGTTTTTGCCCGAAAAGTGTGTTTTGTGTGTCACATGTGTCAGTGTCAACCTAACCTCAAAAATGCCAAAAATCAAACCAGAGAAAAAATCACGTATTCATGCCTCTGTGGCGAAACAAGGTATCACATTCAACAAGACTTTTGGTCAACACATCCTCAAAAACCCCCTCATCATAACCTCAATGTTGGACAAGGCGGCCCTCAAGCCCTCCGATACCGTCCTGGAAATCGGCCCTGGAACCGGAAACTTGACCTTGAAACTCCTCGAAACCGTAAAACAAGTAATTGCGTGTGAAATCGACCCGAGACTAGTGGCAGAATTGCAAAAACGCGTCCAAAACAGCCCCCTTAAGTCCAAACTCCAGATCCTGATTGGGGACGTTTTAAAGACCGAATTGCCGTTTTTCAGCGTTTGTGTGGCCAATATCCCGTATCAGATCTCCTCCCCATTGGTGTTCAAGTTGCTTTTGCACCGCCCCTTTTTCCGGTGTGCCGTCCTCATGTTTCAGAAGGAGTTCGCTGATAGGTTGGTTGCCGCCCCCGGGGACAAACTCTACTGTCGATTGTCGATCAATACGCAGCTATTGGCCCGAGTTGATATGTTGATGAAAGTGGGGCGGAATAATTTCAGACCGCCCCCGAAGGTGGAGTCAGCGGTGGTGCGAATAGAAGTGAGGAATCCGCCCCCGCCCATTTCCTACACCGAGTGGGATGGGCTTACGAGGATTGCGTTTTCACGGAAAAATAAGACACTGGGGGCGGCGTTTCGGCAATCGGTGGTTTTAGCTACGCTTGAGAAGAATTACAAGTCGTTTTGTAGTGTGAATGGGAAAGAGGTGCCCCCTGGTTTTAGTGTTAAGGAGAAAGTTGAACAGGTTTTGAAGGGGGTCGAGGGGGAACAAAAAAGGGCGAGGACTATGGATATTGATGATTTTATGGTGTTGTTACATGCGTTTAATAGCGAGGGAATACATTTTTCATGAAATTTGGTGTTTTATTTAATTTTTTTACAATGTCGGTAAAGTAGGTTTCTTTAATCTCGGATGTACAACAAATTTTAAGTTGGCGACGGTTACTCCATCTTGTTTAAAAATGACATAAAAGTTTTCCGTGTTTGAATTTTTTCTGTTTAGTGCCGTTTTGGGACCCAAAAACCGAAAAAAAGTAAGTCTTAAATGTAAAAAACAACTTTATTAACAATTTCCAACTAATCTAATTAGGTTAGGTTTATTTCAAATACAAATGATTGAATATTCCGATTCTTAACCTTTTGGGTAGTTTTTCTGTTTACAAACCACAAAAAGCAATTAATTATAAGTCGGGAAGTTGAATAATTGCAGAAGACAATCCTTTTTAATTAATTTTTGTCGAAAAATTAGTGCAATGGTGGTTGCATAACCGCAAATTTCGTCGTGACGTCATTTAGTGTCATCAGTGTCGCCACCCACTCTCACCTGTCAAACGTCAAACTGGTGGTGGGGCACTTTTTATGACACCGTGTCTCATGTTCATTAATCTCGCGGTCGTTGCGATTTAAAAACCGCCCCCTTGAGTGCTATTATGTGAATAAAAATCGTTATAAAAATGGACCAAAAGTCCTCGTCTGTGATCCACCGCGCGTGTTATCTAACCTTGAATGTAATTTACACAATTTATGAAATAATTGCATCAATTGTTGCGATTTTTCGTCAGAAACTCCAGTTTTTGTGTCACGAGATCGACAATCGACCGAAAAAAATCACCAAAATCCCTACACATCTCACCGTATTGCTTGGCAACGAAGAGCCGGCTGTGAAAGATTTGGCCAATTTGATTTTGTGGTGTTTAGCCGCCCGGATCACATTTATCAGTTTTTACGATTATAAAGGTTGGGTTTCTGTTATCGTTGAGTGTTTGTAATAAGCAAAGGTCGGTTTTAGGGTCGTTGAGAAAATACGAAGACAAATTACAGGAAATTGTTGAAGAAAAGAGGCACGAATCGGATCACGTGATATGGCACAGCACTCCTGATTTTGTCCACAAGAATGGCTTCACAGGACGCAAAATCCACGTCAAGTTGTTGGAGAGTAAAGACGGCCGTGAAACTATAGCCAACTTGACGAAAACTCTTATCAGTGCTGCCAATATTGACTTGTTACAGTTCGAAAACGGGCTTAAAAGACAGTTTGAGTTCCCTGATCCGGATTTGGGAGTGTGTTGTGGTAAAACTTTCAGTTTATACGGTTACCCACCCTGGCAAATACGAGTGACCGAATTTCTAACCTTAAAAACACATCACAATATCACCTTTGAGACTTTTTTACATTTGTTATACCGGTTTAATAAGTGTGAACAGAGATATGGGAAGTAAATGTAAAACTATTTATTCCGCCAATAAAAACCGTTAGTTGTTTGTACAAATTTGTTTTTTTTTAATGCCGGTAAAGTAGGAATTTTTACTAGATTTCTGTTTTACCGACACGACAATAAAACATTGAACTAAGGCGAGCAAACTATTTATTTCGCAAATAAAAATCGTTACATTTTAATAATTTACTCAACTAAACAGTTTATTGCTAGGAAGACACTTATATACAACAAAACAAAATCGAATCGAGTCACATACATGATTCAGCGCCGTCGCGACCTCTTACCCCTACCACCGCTCCGTGACCTCGACCTCCGACTTCGACGACGTGACCTCGACCTCCGTCTCCTATAAGATGATGACCTTGACCTTGACCTACTCCTCCGCGAGTAGCGTTTTTTACGTCGACTTTTTTCGGGTGTTGTCGATCGACTTCGTGATGAACTCGACGACGATGACCGAACACGTTTTTTCGTACTTTGTTTACGACCTATTATAGATTTTGACTTAAATTAGTAGGCGTGTATACGTTGATATTGTTTTGTTTCAGATGTGATTACTGACCTTGAGATTTCGTGTCTACCTGTGTGTTGTGATTATCTTTTGTTTCAGGAGTGGGGGAACGTGTGATCGGTGATTGTTTCTTTTCAGCGGCCATAGCCAACTTATCCTCGATTTCGCGTTCGGTTTTACTGAATTCCGCCTTTTTGCGCTTAATACTGTCCTGAAAATACATAAAAATAATTAAAAAAAAATTACAATCACCTTGGGAAAAAACCTTCAATTCCGTGTCGGAATCTTTCCTTTCTGGGGATTTTTCGTCACCACTGTTGTCACTACTGCTGCTCTCTGAACCGCCGTAAATCCCCAAACCTGTCACCGATTAAATCATTTATCGAATCGAGAAAAAAAAAACAACAAATATCAATTATTCTCAAATTTGTTTCACTCACATTTTGAGAATAAAATCGTGTTGTGTTTTAGGGGAATTTGTGTGACTTACCAAGTTTTGTCGTTACGTTGGCACCGCTGGGTGCAGAAACGCGACGATCTGAAGCTGAAGTTTACATTAAAATCCTGCTAACAGTCTTAAAGAAACAAAAACAAATTTCTCGGGGAATCACAAAAAACAATTTTTTTTCTCTCCATTTTTTTGTTTTATTTGATAATTTACAAAATGGCCGCTGAATACCGATACCTTTATGTTTTTTGTGATAACGTTGCAATTCCTCACGACAGATATTTTCAATTTCGCGGTTGGTAACCTTGAGTAGAATTTCAGTCATGGTCCTTCTCACGTTCATCATCTAGAAACATTTTATAAACAACTATTGGTAACACTGATTTTTTTCAATACTTGTTCAGCAGGTGTCAATACTGGTTCCGGATACATAGCCTTCTTATCCTCTTCCTCCGATTCGACATCACTCTCCTCAAAAAAACAAACAACAATCATATGTCAATAAAAACACAGCCAACTTACAAATTTACACTTTTGTTGTTCTTTAATCGTCGATTTTAATATCTCCATAGTTTCTTTTTCACTCTGTTTCATTTTTTCGTTATATTCCTCTCTCTCTTGTTTTTCCTTTTCACGTTCCAATTGTTTTTGTTTATCACGTTCCATTTTCTCCAATCCTGTGTCAAGAAATCGTATCACGTGATTTAATTAAAACAAATACAAACCTTCACGTATCCATGCCGGCAATTGTTTACGTTTTGTAGCATCCAAAGTTGGCTGTGTTTCATTAATTAGGGGTTGTACCGGTCGTGGGACATTAACTTTACTAAATCGTCGATTGTGAGGCTTTACTTGTTTTGAACTTCCGGCGGAAGTCCAATAACCCGATGAATAGTCGTTTTGGGGCACTGTGGAGTACCTGAAACGTCAAAAAATTCAAATTTCGCGCCAATTAACGAACACATCCGAGTGCACCCGAAGGTAAAACAACACATTGATTTAAGCGAAAACAATTACCCTGTGAAATTCGCATTATCGTTGACACTTTCAGGGGGCGCATTGTAATTAAAGTTGGCTGGTGTGGGCAATAAAGGGGGCTTTAGGGCCACAGGCGGTGGTACACCCATTGGAGGTGTCCAACCCCATGACTGGTTCTGCGCATTCCAACCCCATTCATTCTGGGGGTTCCATTCTAATGATTCGTCTTTGTCTTCAACATCCATGGGGGCTTCGCCCCCTTCATTTTTTGTGGCTTTTTCACTGGAAATGACAGGTGGTGGGCCTGCTTCCTTCATTATGATCCATTGTTGGGCCAAAGCGGCCCAATCTACTTGTTCGTTGGACATGTTTTGGTACGTTGATGGGTTGAGGGCCCATTGAGGGTAGGTCTGAGATTCGGTCGAATCACTGCCCGAGTACATTCCTACATCACTAATGACACGTAAATAACGTTTTTCAATATGAATAGTCACAATTTTCACGAGTTTTGCACGAAAATTCGATGAAAATGGACCAAGGGCCGGCTACATTTCCCACTAGATCGAAACATAACTACCAACATTACCAACCTAAAACTACTAGATTACCACACGGAAAAACAATAAATGCGGACTTGTGCCCCCAAATTCTAACCCAATTACGTCTAAAACCGTCCCCACTAATCACAATTTATACAAAAATGATAAAATTTCGTCGTAAATCGCAAAAAATGGTCATTTATCTTATCAGTGTTACAAAATTGGTATCCCTGTCAACATAAGAAATGTCAATAAATAAGTAGCAATAAAATGCAAAATTGATAAGAAAAAGAGCAACCATAAATGAAAAAACCCTTCTAGTGTTGTTTTAACCCTTTTAGATTAGTAAAATCGTATCAGGAGTCGTTTTTTGTGTGCTACTGAAACCTAACCTCAAAATGGCCCGTCAGAGACGTAATCAGGGCTCCGGAGACCCCAATAAAGGCACAAATAGTAGTAGCAGCAACGGTAGTAATTCTACCAACAACCGATCATCAAAATCCAGCAGTCTTCTCTCATACTGGAAACAAATTATCGGTTGTATCGTTCTAGGAATCGCAGTGTCTTTGGGGTACATGGGGTACTTGGAGACACGTGTCAATACCCCATTCGATGATAAAAAGGTCCAAACCTTGAACGCTGTTACAATTTTAGTGACTTTTCATTCTAGATGGTTGTCAGAAGTGGATTAGAAGTCCCTGAACAATATTGGGGGTCTTACAGACCGGGGCTTTATTTCGGATTAAAAACACGCGACCCCATGTCACTAGTCACAGGTCTAATGTGGTATTTTCCGAAACGTTTACGTCCAGGGGGCGATGGTATAAGACATTGGTGTGAACAAAACGATGGGTTGGAGAAATACGGATGGGTGAAACACGATGGTAGTAATTTTGGGGTACAGGAAATTATTGATGGGGGCTATACTATCGATACTTCGTTTGTTAAACGACTAGGTGGGAGTCATGGGGGTGATTGGACGGCTAGAATCACAGTAACCAAAGTAAAAATCTAGGGGATTTTATCGCATTTTGTTAGTTAAGTTTTGCAGCCTGGGAATTTTGATGACGTTTCACTCATCTGGTATACAGCCTTGGATGAGGAAACGAAAGGTTTTATATCACTTACAAATTCCGCAACGAAATTTACCGGAATTAAAGGCGAAACTTCCGGTTTAGGGGAATTCACTATTAAATTCACTAATAGTTCCGGTATTGTGAGTCATGAATCGTTTTTGAGTACTATAGCGCCGGGACTTCACCTACTTAAAGAGACAGTGGTGGGGTCATTAAGATTGGCACAAGACAAACCAAATTCCCCTAGACGAATCATCTTAGGTGGGGAAATATTACCAGAAGCGGGGACAGGAAAAGTAGGTTGGCAATAATGCAAATTAGGCCATTTTGATTATGAATTGTAGGCACAACCGAATTTCGTCGCTGTACAATTGACAGGGAAAGTCCCGTTTTCGGTCGATGTCGTTTTCGAATCGGGTAGTTTCGGCACAAGACAGGATACCCTAGTGGGGGAAACCTATACCAAGGCTTTAGCCTGGCATGAGGCTAGGTTTGGGCAAAGATTCGAGGATACATTCGGATTGCATAAAAAAGGGTAATGAAATTATGTTGGCAACATTGTTTTTGGTCCGATTTCGAATTTTTTTTATACTTTTGATCACTGTTCCGAAAGCAATCGTTGGCACTTGTTTTTTTTTCAATCGGCCAACTTTGACTTTTTTGTAGAAAGAATAATATTGTTGATAACTTTTTTGTTTTTGGTTCGATTTCGAAATTTTTTTATACTTTTGATCACTGTTCCGAAAGCAATCGTTGGCACTTGTTTTTTTTTCAATCGGCCAACTTTGACTTTTTTGTAGTTATGGTCCCAAAGAGGTGTCCTTTGCCCAGGCGGCGCTCAGTAACATGCTCGGTGGTATCGGCTACTTTTTTGGTACATCCAAAGTGCAAAGTTTTTATACCAAAGAACCGGTTCATTATTGGCGTGCCCCCCTTTATACCGGAGTCCCCTCTCGAAGTTTCTTCCCTCGTGGTTTTCTCTGGGATGAAGGTTTCCATGGATTTCTTATCGCAACGTGGGATCTTGACCTTGAACTTGATATTATCAGTCATTGGTTTGATTTGATGAATGTTGAAGGGTGGATCCCCCGTGAACAAATTCTCGGTGTTGAAGCATTAGCGAAAATACCCGAAGAGTTTGTCGTTCAACGTAACACTAACGCTAATCCGCCTACTTTCTTCCTCACATTGCAATTTATTTTGAGGAAATATTACGATAAATTGAGTGAAGGACGTTTGGCAACACTGGAACGTCTATATCCACGATTACAGGCGTGGTTTGCATGGTTTAATACAACACAGAAAGGGGCGGGGCCTGGAATGTATCGATGGAGGGGGCGTGACGCTTCAACCAATCGCGAATTGAATCCAAAAACTTTAACTTCGGGTCTTGACGATTATCCACGAGCATCGCATCCGACCGAAAACGAATATCATGTCGATTTATATTGCTGGATTGCCATTGCGGCTGATACGTTAGCAAGATTGGCAACACTGTTAGACCGTGATGGATATAAATATGAACAGACAGCCGATTATTTAAAAGATAATTTCCTATTGGATAATCTTCATTGGTCGAATTATGCGTCTAGATATTCAGATTATGGTTATCACACTGATTCTGTTAAATTAAAAAGGCCGAAACCGTTACCAAGGTCACAAAATCAAAATATGGAAATGGTACGTGTGACCTTGAAGAATCCTGAATACCGATTGGTGGATTCGACATTTGGTTATGTCAGTCTATTTCCATTTTTGTTACAAATGGTCGATTCTGATTCGTTGAAATTGGGTCAGATTTTAGATGACCTTCGAAATCCTGATTTACTATGGACCAAATTCGGTTTAAGGTCATTATCGAAAAATTCACCATTGTATATGAAACGTAATACTGAACATGATCCGCCATATTGGAGGGGTCAAATTTGGATCAATATTAATTTTCTTGCAGTCCGGGCCTTATATTTCTACGCCAATACGGAAGGGCCATATCGAGACAAAGCCAACACGATTTATAAAGAATTGAGAGAAAATGTGATAAAAAATGTTATGACGCAATATTTCAAAACGGGTTATTTATGGGAACAGTATAATGATGAGACAGGAGAGGGGAGCGGTTGTAGGCCCTTTACTGGATGGACAGCCCTGGTTGTGTTACTTATGGGCGAACAATATTGAGTCAATAAAAATTTAACTACGGTTCTGTGTTTTAATCAATTGACTGAATCCGGTCCTGTCATTTGTCATCTGTCAAAAAAAGTGAAGTTATAATGGAGAAAAATTTAGTTGAGAATTTTCAAAATTTAACTCAAGACGACCCTAAATTCGGCGAAAAATGCCAGATTTTGGTTGAGGGTATGTCACCAGTGGCCCCCATTCCGACATAACCTCAATTTTTCAGGCCTCGAATCGGGTCAAATGACACTCTTGCAACTTGTTGAGGAGTTAAGGGGGCTCCTTGTCGACACCAATCCAAAAGGTCGTGAATTAGGAATGTGGGTTTTAACACGTGTTGTTGAGACTTTGCCCCCTGATTTTTTCGATGAAACCCAATTGAAATTTATTTGTCAGTTTTACACGGACCGGCTTAAGGACAACCATCTTGTGGGTGTTTTTTTTCTTAAGGGGGCTATTTATTGGGGTGATTGTAGGTCATCCCACCTGTTTTGAGGGGTTTCCTGGTGTTGATTCGCCACGAGGGGGCCCCAAAAGGAAGCGCTGGGGCTTTTCTAACCCAACTTTTCCACAACATATCTTGCCAACAACAACAAGAAACTGATCGATTCACTATTTATGAGATTTTTGAGACATGTTTGGACAAGTTTTGGCCAGGTTTGTGTCAACAGCCCCCTTAAACCACTAGAAAAAACACGATTTTTGCTCCAGAATTGTCCGAAATGGGGCCCGATTTTGTTTATGGTGTTATTTCGGCCGTAGACGGTGAGCGAAGTCCGAAAAATCTTATTTTTCTCTTTGATTGGTTTCCGAAATTTTTGCGAAAAGTTGAATTGGGGCATCTCACCGAAGACGCTTTTGAAATTCTGGCTTGTTACTTCCCTGTCGATTTTAGGGCTCCGCCACAGGACGAAAATGTGCCCCTTTAATAGATTTTCATATCTTAAAATAACAATTTTTTTTACAGAAAATAACTCGAGAAATCCTCGCTGAAAAACTCGGCTTTTGCCTTGTCGCCGTGCCACAATTCACCGAATTTTCCCTCCAACTCGCTTTAGAAAAATTCGATTCGTCACTCGAAATCGCAAAATTGGATTCATTGCGACTAATTGTAAGTGTTTTGTTTCGAACCTGACCGCAGACTAAACAACGGAAATTTACAGGAATTGTTATTTAACACTTTTGATGTTTCACCTTTAATGGTATGGCCACTAATACAAAAAGAATTGTTTCAAATGACCAATCCGGTGATAGAAAATGCCTGTTTGATAACAATGACAGCTGTCATTAAAAATACACGTGATCTGATTTTGACAGAAACAATCAAAGATATCTGCGATACAATTAAAGGCAATTTTTTACCCGATTCGAAATTGTTTCAAGCCTCAGCACGATTGTTAATCAGTGTTGCCAATGCATCGGACAGTGTTGCCAATCTTGTAGTACGCGAAACCGTCCCAATTCTTACAAATATGTTTAATATTGCCAACACAGCGTCACAAAAAACACCAATTTTGCAATTATTAACCGACTTGTATAAAGTTAGCACCGATTTGGAATTTCTAGGGGAAATACCGGTTTTACTCGTCAAGTCAACTACTGACCATGACTTGAATCAAGTCGCCTTCAATTGTTTAGCAGAAGTTTCACCGAAAATACCCGAAAAAATCCGACATTTACTTTACCAAAATTACGTCAAGTTACTACAAGTGCCACAAGAGGGCGCCATTTTAAAATGTCTGGAATGTCTAGCACGTGATTACCCGAACGAAATCGCTATAAACTTGGTCGGTAATACAGAAAACTGTACCGAATGTTATCTAGACGCAATATGTGTGACACTCGTAAATCAAAAATTTTTCACAGCCAATCTGATTGATTTAATTTTGAAAAAACGATCCGTAAATTTGTTGAAGAAAATTTTGATAAAATTTGACAATTGTGAGGAGATTTTTGACGTTTTAATTGCACGAAATGTCACAAATATGTTAATTGAGTTGGCTTTAACGAGTGACATATGTCATAAAACAATTGCATTTATTTTAAAAGTTGTGATTGGTCGTATGTCGAGCGAGAAACAAAATGAAATAATTCGCAACGAATTAATTCGAATTAAAATTGAAGATATTTTTCTCTTGGATGGAGTTTTGTGTTGTTTAAGACGCTACGTTTTAATGAATTACGAAATTTTAAATAATTTATTTGAATTTATAATTAGAGAAAATGATAATTTAAGAAGGGAGACAGCCATACAACTTGTTGCAAATATTTTAAATAAGTGTTCCAAAGGTGTTTTAATTATTTGTGTTTGAATTAATTAATTACAATTAATTTTAGATCAAGTAATTTGGGAATTTTTGGACCGATTTAGGGACACTAAAACCGATCCAGTGCTCGTTTCATGGATCACAAAAGCCCTAATTATGCGCAATCACAAATTAGGCACAACTTGGACCAATAAAGTAATTAATTAATTCCCTTAATTCACTAATTAATTGATTTTTTCTTTTTAGTTAATTAATCATTTCGAAGAAGATGGAAGTATAGCTCCTTGTTTTCGCACAATTATGTCCAATTGTGATTCTTTGAGTACAAAAAGTCGTTGTAATGTTGCGTAAGTCTATTAAATTCTAATTAATTGTAATTACATAATTCAATTGTAGATTTTTATACCAACAGAAATTTTTTATGGTTGTTACGAATTATTTAAGTGAGAATTATAATCCAGGAAAGAATTCGTATTTATCAGGACTTGGATATTTACTAGAATTTGCCCCAAAACAGGCCATTTTGGTCCAATTCAAAAAAGTAATTTTCGAATTATTTTTTCTAATTAATTAATTTATTCGAATTTTGCAGATTTCGAAATTAATTCTTTCGTGTCTGGATCAATGCACAAATCATGAGATTTTAATCGTAATTTTGCAACTAATTCGTGATTTTATTTCAACGAAAGAATCAGTTATTGAAGAAAATTTGGGGATTTTTTTGACCAGATTTCTCAAGTTGACAACTTATGACAATTCGATGGTAACAAATAAAACAATTTGTCAATTTTTTTTATGAATTTTGTTCCAGAAAGTACGAATTTTGGCGTTGCAATGTTTGCAAGAGGTCACGTCACAATTTCCATTTTCAAAACTTTTACCTCATAAAAATGACGTTTTGAAGGTTTTAGGGAAAGTACTCGACGATAAAAAACGGATTGTGCGAAAGGAAGCAGTAGAAGCACGCTCTATGTGGTTTCTGTTAGATTTTGATAAATAAATTTTGTTAAATTACAGGTTTCTGTATTTATCATTTTACAGTTTCCTGTAATACCGTATAAATCCTTTGAGAAAACTCAAAAAAGGTTGTAAAATGAGGTTTTTCGATACTAGTACTTCGCCACGGAACGAATTTACACAATTATTGATGTCTAAGTCGATTTTTCGTTACAGTTTTCTTTAATTTTTATTCGCATGTTTTATTTCAACATACAGGATATGTTAGAGACGTTACATACACCTTATAAATAAATAATTAAACAGTTTTACATTTATAAAATTTACAACAAACTTAAATACTTGATTTTTTCAACTAAATTAACAATGAAATATACATTTGTTTTGTAATCCAACAATGAAACATTCACAGGGTAACAAAAAACCATCGATTGTACTGCTCGTGACTAGCAAACTTACAAAATAATAATAATAAACAAATTTGCATCGGACAGATCCTATTACAATTTTTTTTTTGATAATTATCACAAATTCAGTCACGTGATTATTGCGCGATTGTTCAACTTTTTTTTTTTTGGTCATGTGTCATATTACTCTGACTAGATTTTTACGGTGAAAACACTCGTAAACTCCTCAACAGTGTTGCCAATACATTGGCTAAACTTTCAGCTTGTGCCGCTAGATGCTCTTCGATCGTTTTCGGTGACGTTCGATCGATGTGTGACGTAATAAGATGGCGGAAAGCTGCCGTAACATCGTGCACTTTAAGGATAAGATTACGAGTTTGGAGGGGAGCTGTTGTATGATTGGTCAGATCTTGACACAATTCGGTGAGACGACGAAGAATTGTTAGACAGATGGCGAGGTTTTCGGGCAGATCGGGCAAACTCGGATCCGACATGGCGATTACGAGCATCTTGGACGAGGTGACGAGTTGAAGAGATTGTGAGGTTAGTTCTTCTTTGGCGATCTGCAAAATGACATTTTTTTCGCCGCTTTATTTTTGTTAATTTTCGTCCGATTTCGAAAATTTTAACACCACTGGATTCGTTAGCAAAAACTGAACAATCGAGACTCTTTTCCCGTCGAATTAGTCGAAAAGTAACCGATTTATTGCCCACTACAGCCAAATGGACAAACTGCACCAAGTTCGAAAATTTTTCGATATTTATATTCAATACCGATCTTGAAACAATAGTAATTACAAATTTTGAAAATTCGTATAATTTTGACTAGTAATTTTTGGTTCTTTGTCAATTTTGGTCCGATTTCGAAAATTTTAACACCATTGGATTCGTTAGCAAAAACTGAACAATCGAGACACTTTTCCCGTCGAATTAGTCGAAAATTAACCGATTTATTGCTATCAAACTGACACTATAGCCAAATGGACAAACTGCACCAAGTTCGCAAATTTTTCGATATTTATATTCAATACCGATCTTGAAACAATAGTAATTACAAATTTTGAAAATTCGTATAATTTTGACTAGTAATTTTTGGTTCTTTGTCAATTTTGGTCCGATTTCGAAAATTTTAACACCATTGGATTCGTTAGAAAAAACTGAACAATCGAGACACTTTTCCCGTCGAATTAGTCGAAAATTAACCGATTTATTGCTATCAAACTGACACTATAGCCAAATGGACAAACTGCACCAAGTTCGAAAATTTTTCGATATTTATATTCAATACCGATCTTGAAACAATAGTAATTACAAATTTTGAAAATTCGTATAATTTTGACAGGTAATTTTTGGTTCTTTGTAAATTTTGGTCCGATTTCAAAAATTTTAACACCATTGGATTCGTCAGCAAAAACTGAAAAATCGAGACACTTTTCTCGTCGAATTAGTCGAAAATTAACCGATTTATTAGCATGAAACTACTACTATAGCCTAATGGACAAACTGCACCAAGTTCGCGAATTTTTCGATATTTACATTTAGTACCGCTCGTAGAACAATAGTAATTAAAAATTTTGCAAATTCGTAAAAATTTGACCATTATATTAATAACTTTCTCAATTTTGGTCCGATTTCGAAAATTTTAACACCATTGGATTCCCCATCAAAAAATAAACAATCGAGACACCTTACCCGTAGAATTATTCAAAAATTAACTGATTTTTTGACATTCTGGACAAACTGCACCAAGTGCGAAAATTTTCCGATATTAATATTTAGTACTGATCTTGGAACAATAGTAAATAAAAATTTTGAAAATTCGTTAAAATTTGACCGATTTGGAAGAAATTTTCACTCTTACCTGAAACTTCTCCTCGCTGATGAGTCTCCCACCGCCATGTACTTGTGCTGCACTACATTGTGCCGCCACTTGATCCAACCTCACTAATAGACTCGCCATTGCCACGTCCGTTTTAGCCAATAGGAGTTCTCTTGTTGACGTACAACCATTTTTTTGCGTCGGACTATCAGGCGACATGATTGGTACGGCCGTTAATTGTGCCCCTCGACCCAAATGGGGCGACGTTGGGGTACTCACAGCCGTCTGTGCCACCTTTAACCCCATATCAAGGTCACTCCCTAATCGACTTCTTTGCAGATGTGGCGATCCGATTCCAGCAGTCCGAACCTCCACTTGTTGATTCTTCTTTTGTCTAAGTACTTCGAGTGGAGGAACGGGAGGTAAAGGCGGTTTTTTAGGCGGAAGAAATAAATGAGGCGGAGCTTCACCACGTGGGGGGAGTTTCGGTGGTTTGGTTGTTAATGATTGGCTGCGTTGACGTTCCTGTGGGAGGTTTTTGGGCGGACGTTCGGGCGGTTTCTCATCGGAACTTCGTCGTGGAAGGGGTCGGACTTGTTCGTCTTTTTTCGTTTTACCACAACACGACGAAAACGCCCCCTTGCGGTCAACAGTCGCATATTCGATTATGTTAGATTTGATACTGACGTTGCTGTTGCGACGTTTCGGTTCGATGGGTGGTGCTATATCTTCAGTGATTTCGACAGGTGGAGGGGGGATTATATACGACATTATCTCTTCAGGAGTGAGTTCGATAGCGGGTGTTACTTTTTGAGTAGGAGGAGGGACCGTTACGCTCGCCAGGAACTCCTCGAGGTCTTGGTCTTCGTTTAAATTGTCTATGGAAGAAATTTTTGTTAATTTTGGTCCGATTTCAAAAATTTTAACACCATTGAATTCGTTAGCAAAAACTGAACAATCGAGACACTTTTCCCGTCGAATTAGTCAAAAAACAACCGATTTATTAGCATGAAAGTACTACAATAGCCAAATGGACAAACTGCACCAAGTGCGAAAATTTTTCGATATTCATGTTTAGTAACAATTGTAGAACAATAGTAATCAAAATTTTTGAAAATTCGTTTAAATTTTCGCCGTTTTATTTGTCTTATTTTTGTCAATTTTTTTTTTTCAAAAATTTTAACACCATTGGATTCCTCATCAAAAATTGAACAATCGAGATACTTTTCCCGTCGAATTAGTTGAAAACCGATTTGTTGCCTACCATAGCCAAATGGACAAACTGCACCAAGTTCGAAACTTTTTCGATATTTATATTCAATACCAATCTTGAAACAATAGTAATTACAAATTTTGAGAATTCGTATAATTTTGATAGGTAATTTTTGGTTCTTTGTCAATTTTGGTGCGATTTCGAAAATTTTAACACCACTGGATTCCTCATCAAAAATCGAACAATCGAGACACTTTACCCGTGGAATTTGTCAAACACTAACCGATTTATTATCATCAAGAAAATTATGGACAAACTGCACCAAGTTCAAAATTTTTTTGATATTCATATTGAGTACTGATCTTAGAACAATAGTAATTGAAAATTTTGCAATTTCGTTAAAATTTGACCCACCTAAACGATTGAGCTTCTCGACGGAATCGGCGAACGAGCTCGGCGGCACGTTAATCGGTGTCGGTAAGGCACAATCGAGTTCATCTGGTGTTGCTGGCGGCGGTAACAACGTCAAATCAATAATATCCGGATCAAAAACATACACACTTTCCTCGCCTTTCGCCTCGTTCTTCTCATCGGGACTCCTCAATCCAAAACTCACACGATTCGCTTTCGCATCGATTCGATGTTTAGGCGAATCATGAGGCGTATACAACGAATCATTATCACTCTCCGATTGGTTTGATTCGCTGCGTAGCAACTCAATCGCTGCATTAGCGAATCGACGTTCAAGAGGAGGCGGGGCATGACTTTTATTAAGTAGAAGAAGTGAATCGCTGTGTTTTAATTGGCCGGGAATGGAATCCTCATTCTCTGATTCGATATCAACACTAGTTTCTTGCCATTCAAGCGAATTAAGGCGGAGATACTTTTCGGAATTTTCCACCAATTGGTGCATTTCTGCCACACGTTTTAATACTTCATCGCCACGCCCATTTTCAAGCAATTCCATAGAAACAACCGTTTCAAGGTCGTAAGTGTCAAAATGATTACGATTTGATAGTGAATTGTTCATGTTGTTGTCAAGGCTATAGCCGAGTGGTTTACTTTGACGTCCCATTGTGTTATATAAACCGTTGGTTTTTTTATTTAAAGTTTGATAAGTTGGTAGGATTGTAAAACAAGCTGTTTTCATAGCTGTCTGATTGAGGTAGCTCCATTTTTCCGGTACGACTTTATGTTGGGAGAGATAAGGCGGAGCTAAATCTTCCATGGGTGGAGCTTCGTCTTGATCCACGGGTAATACTTGACCGGTGACCAATCGAAAATAACCTCTCAATACAAGAACCAATTCACTTGCATCTCTCTCCTCCAATGAAATTGAAACAGTTTTCTCATTGGCTAATCTAACTAAAACGTTTTTTGTCACTTCATCATCACTCCTAACCTCAATTCGTCTCATATCTTCAATATTAGCAATTGGTACCGGCTGAGGAATGATTAGATTTTTTATCGACCATTCATTGTTGCCTCTTCCACTTACCATCGAATTTCTTGTTCCGGTAATTTGACTTAGTCCGAATTTCGGACTTACGAGTATTACGCGTTCGAGTGCGTCGGCTTTCGGACCAGCCGAAAAACATTTCGCACCGTAACTAGGCAATTGTGCAACAATATCCAAATAATGGAGTTTTGCTTGTAATGAAGTGAGTTGTTTTCCAGCGCCGGCCATATTGGAATGAAGTTTAAGAAAATGTGAGATAAGTTTTCGTACTTCTTTACGTTTCATTGTATCGAGAAGTGAAGCAGGAACGAAACGATCAAGACCAAATTCGCGTCTGAAAGTGCACAAGAACGAATATTTAAATTTCGCGCCAAAACCAAATAAACTCACTCTATTGTTTTAACAGTTAATTTCGTCGCTGGTATATTATTAACCAAGGCATGTTGATAAATATGCAATGCTGCCAATCTCAATGCTGTATCATATTGTAGTTCAGGCGCAAACCGTTCCTGTATCACATCATTACAACATTGCGTATAGAGATAATCCAAGGCGTTGAGATCACGTTGTGCCAAGGCGGCAGCCGAGGGAGGCACAAATGCCACACGAAAAAGACAACGTAATTTATGAGCCCCTGGTCGTGATGCAATCTATAATCATAAAAGTTACTAGAAATTTTAGGTTGGTAATAGTGCTAAATACCCGTGCTAGTGTATCCGAAGGATCCAATAACGTGAGTTTATTTCGTTTGAGTGATTTAATGTGTTCAACGACAAGACTAAAATGTTCCGTTGCTTGGAGACATAGTTTTGATTCAAGTGACGTCACGACGTCATGGACGCTTGTCCAAGCGTCGTATTTGAATGATTTTGTTTGGCCATTTTCGAGGAATACTTTTAGGACGTTGGCCATGGGAGCGACACATAGATCACCCAATGAAAACGCAGAAGGCTACGGATTGTTTTACATTGACACAAACCTAATTTACAATCGAAAAAATCTCTCACCGGAAATAAGGGGGCTCCATTAACACACACACTTTCCGCAAAACGCACTCTTGATGGTTTTGTCTTCAATCTTGCTTTTTTACTTGCTGATAGAAGTGTTGATTTACGTATACCTTGTTGTTCGGGTGGTTGACACACTACCAAATTTACCGTTTTCGTACATGCTCTCACCAATGAAATGACATGTTCACGTGGTGCCATTTTAACATCTTCACCATTTACCGAAAGTATTTGATCACCTGGTAGTAGTTTATCAACACTGGGACCCCCCTCAGTAACAAAACGAACAATGACGGGTTTCTCCGAACCGGCAACGAAACCAAAACCAAGTGCTGGTGAACGTTCCAATGTTACAGAACGGGGCTCAGGTATGGGGGCTGGATCGAGATTTTTCACAATGGGAGTCTCATAAGTGGTGGTTTTATTCACGTGACTGAAATAGAAAAATTTGGGGAGAATTTTTAAACAGTTGGTATGACAAATGTCAGTTTTTGACACATAACCTCGCAAAATGATAAAACGAGTACAAAACCCCTCCATGGCCCATTTTACACCCTAAAAAATACTAAATCGTTTCAAACAGAGTCGATAAATCAGAGATTCTTTTTATCGACTTTTAACAGTTGGTACTCCCGAATGTCAATTTTTGACACATAAATAACCGATAAAACAAGTACAAAGCCCGATACACATTAGGAAAAACTCCTCCGTGGCCCAATTTACTAAATCGAAAAATTTTGGGGGAATTTTTAAACAGTTGCTACGACAAATGTCAGTTTTTGACATATAACCTTGCGAAAAAATGACCGATAAGACGAGTACTAAACCCAATACAAAACCCATTTTACATCCTAAAAAATACTAAATCGTTTCAAAGGAGTCGATAAATCAGAGATTCCTTTTATCGACTTTAAACAGTTAGTACTCCCGAATGTCAATTTTTGACACATAAATAACCCGATACACTTAGAAAAATCTCCTCCGTGGCCCATTTTACTAAATAGAAAATTTTTGGGGGATTTTTTAAACAGTTGGCACGACAAATGTCAGTTTTTGACACATAACCTCGCAAAATGATAAAATCACCAATAAAACGAGTACAAAACACAACACAAAACCCCTCCATGGCCCATTTTACAACACTAAATCGTTTCAAACGGAGTCGATAAATCAGAAATTCTTTTTATCGACTTTAAACAGTTGGTACTCCCGAATGATAAGAAAATAACCGATAAAACGAGTACAAAGCCCGATACACTTTAGAAAAAAAACATCCTCCGTGGCCCATTTTACTAAATCGTTTCAAACCCCTTGATACCGCACCGGAAACGAGTCGATAAATCAGGGTTTCTTTTTTATCGACTCTTGAAATCTCCTCCAGGTTGTGTGTGCATTCAATCGATTAAACCGTCAGTTATTTGTTAAGTAAGTGACGTCAACGACCGGAAGCAGAACATCTGCTATCGACTTTTGATTTCCTGTGTCCGAAATTAATTACCACCTCGGTTTGTGGGTTTTTTTCAGGCGTACCAACTGCGATTATTTTTCTCCACACTTGCTACGATTTGCTTTTATTTGTCACAACTCACTTGATATAATAAGGACGACCTGAATTATCGACGGCTCTTTCCCATCCGTAGGGTAGAGTTTCCTCGCCGCCGCCGCCGCCGCCGCCACCACATTTCCACGCCTCGGCGGGCGGTAACCAGCCGGCGGTGCGTGTCACGTGACTGAAACAAAAGACAAAATACGTTGATTACATTAGGAAAAAAAAAGTGAGGTTAAGTCCGCAATGCGGTGCTGTGTAAACCGGACTCACAAAAATGTCAAAAATGACATTTAAAAAACAATAAAAAAATTACCGCCTTGTCGTTTCTACAATTCTCTTCCTATTTCCGTCGTGACCTTTCTGAATAAAATTCACTTTTGTATCATTTATTAGCGTCGCAGTTTTGGAGAATTTTAATTAAAATTGTTTCGAGTTGCCGATCCTCAAACATACACATAAAGCGAGAGAGCAAATCTCGACGCTTCATTAACAACACTCCCGGACTAATCTCGGCCTCTGAAATATGATGGCGACTTCCGGGAAGCCCCCATAATACCCTCCCGGAATATTTAACGAGAAATTTTGTTGGCAAAACTGTTATAGTGGCGTATCTACGCAACAAAAATTAGTTACCATAGTTACGCTAATATTTGTATCTTTGGTTGCATACTCTAACAGTATTAAATGCTAAATCTGGGATGATTTTAAATAAATTTAGTAAACTTTGGTGTTGAGAGAAATATAATCCACGGTCTGTCAGACCGGAATAATCCTCTTATTCCGGTATTATTTTAATACACTCCTACCAACATAAAAAAACGGTACAAATTTACGACAAGTGTACCCACCTGGTGTCTCTTGTCTTTTTTCTCATGTCTGTCGTCTCGTCCTATTATTAAAACGTCGGCTAGATCATTTCATATTTCTATTTTTGGCCGAAATAAAAACCGGTGTATAATTGGTTGCCTATTATAGAAATCCGGAAAAGTTGCACAAAACGAGAAAAAATCACATTTTTATTATTCACCACCAGTCTGAGAGATAAATTACGGGTGCTAAACCACCGACTCGTTTCCGAGATAACGAAAATGGGGGAACACAAAAAAAATTATGTAATTATGTGAAAAAAGAAAACGGAAAAAGGTAGTGTAATAATGTGTTTTACCATCACCCATCATGGTAAATCACGTGATTATTTATTAAATATTCGCCTTGTCAATATATGGATGAATAAATTATTCAAACAATTACTCATACAAGTCTTAGGTAACAAATACCGATGCAAAAAGGAAGTCGTTTTTCGTTTTTTTTACACGTTTCTTGTTTTAACGTAACATATCCCGCGTTCCGGTCTAAATAAAATAAAAAAAATCTTGTGAATTAAATATTTTAGTGAGTTGTTATTGATTCTTGGCTTTACCTTGACCGTTCGATTTCAGAAAGCATCATATTTAGATTCAGTGAGTCTCAAAACGTCCAAATACTAAATTTAGTCCAAATTAAACAAAAAAAATTTCAGCCCAATTTTGAAAATTTTCACTTTTTTGAAAAATCAAAATGACCCAAAATTGATCAAACTTATTAAATTTATGTAATTTGATCCGAAATTTACGAATTTAGTAACGCAATTTTGATACGATACTCGGTTCGGCCATTAAAGCCCAATTTTGTATAGTTAGGGTGCTAAACTTAGCACTCGGTGAAAAATCTTTGACCAGAAAACATCAATTTTGATTCAGCAAGTCACATAATCTCCAAATACCAAATTTCGTTCAAAACAAACAAAAATTTTTTTGGCCCAATCTTGAAAATTTCCATTTTTTGAAAAACCAAAATGACTTTAACTTAACATATCCCGCGTTCGGGTCTAAATAAAATGAAGAAAATCTTGTAAATTAAATATTTTAGTGAGTTGTTATTGATTCTTGACTTTACCTTGACCGTTCGATTTCCGAAAGCATCATATTTAAATTCAGCGAGTCTCAAAACACCCAAATACTAAATTTAGTCCAAATCAGACAAAAAAAAAATTTTAGCCCAATTTTGAAAATTTTAATTTTTTTGAAAAACCAAAATGACCCAAAATTAATAAAACTCACAAGATTTACGTAATTTGACCCGACATCTACGAATTTAGTAACGAAATTTTGATAAGAGACTCGGTTCGGCCACTAAGGCCCAATTTTGTATAGTTAGGGTACTAAACTTAGCACTCGGTGAAAATTCCTTGACCAAAAACATCAATTTTGATTCAGCAAGTCACAAACCACCCAAATACCAAATTTCGCCCAAAACTGACAAAAAATATTTAGCCCAATTTTGAAAATTTCAATTTTTTTAAAAAAACCAAAATGACTCAAAATTAATGAAACTCACTATATTTACGTAATTTGACCCGACATTTACGAATTTAGTAACGAAATTTTGATACGAGGCTCGGTTCGACCTCTAGAGCTCCATTAGGGTACTAATGATAAAATTTTAACAACAAATTTGCGATAAGTTTTTGATTTGAGATAAGTTTGGTTGATTTCCGGAGACCGGAAACACCCGGATTTTTTGATATATCACTTTGATAGATTTCTATCGTGTATTGACACCTCGTTGATGGAATCCGGGCCTCCTGAGACCCAACCGGAACGCGACGTGATGGTATTCGTGACGGCATCAATTGTTATAAACTCACAAGAATCGATTGAAGGAGACAAGAAAAAAAAAGAAATTTTTCTTTACTTTTGCGATTTTATTTAAATTTCCGGGCGGAAATGCACCACTTACTTTTCCATGTACGTAATTAACGTTAAAACGCCCGGAGGTAACTTAAAAACAGTTAGATATTAAATGCAAGAGGAATGATTAATATATTAAGTGGCATTTTGCAACTTGTTTAATCTTGAGACAATATTCTATTCGGGACTGGTTTTAGTGTTAATTAAATTTAAATTTAATTACAAGACGACGAAAATAAACAATTGTGGGAAAAGCACAAAAGCAAGAGAGGAAAAACACAAACAATGGAATTATGTAAAGTTTCAAGCCGAGTTATTAAAGAGATGGGTTTGTGTATTTAAGCGATCATTAAAAGTTTGATTCAACGCACTTTTACTCAAAAAAAAAATTAAAAAAACTAAAAACTACCCCCACCACGTGATTAAGCAAGTCTCAAAACACGCAAATACCGAGTTTGAATAAAAACGTCAAAGAAAAATTTTTAGTCCAATTTTGGAATTTTCAAAATTTTGAAAAATCAAAATCACCAAAAATCGATAAAATTCACACTGATTACGTAATTTGACACGTACTATTCAAATTTGTACAGAAAAAATCTCTCCAGAACCGGGTTCGAGTCATAGAGCCCGAAATTAGTCAATTTTAGCCCCCTCGGGCTAAAAAATTAGTCCGATTTTGATGAAATTCACTTTGTGCAAGTAATTTGATACGACGATTACGATTCTGAAGAGATAATTTAGCTCCGAGTTTTAGTTTTGAAGCAAAAATCAATTCTCCTTCGATAAATCAAAGCATACAAAAGCTTTGGTCCCTCAACAAACATTAAAATTTTATCATTAACTGCCGTTTCGCTTTAATACGAACATTCATCACGTCTGTTTCCGACCACCGTAATCGCGATTAATTTAAACTGATGACGAGAACTCGAGCCCTAAACTGTGTTTCCTGCCATTCTAGTTGAAAAAATTGATTAAAAACTTGAAGATTTTCAACAATAATAGACGAGACACGTTACGTAAGAAACTAATAAAAGTGCGAGTTTATGATGTGTGGAGAAAGACTTTCACTTGACTCGCTTTCTGTTTTTATTTAATTCGTAATTTTATGAAATTCTCCTCTATTCTCATCTCGATTTTAATCAAAGTCCTGAAGGCATTCCGAGAGAGTTTATGAATAATGTCCAAGGTGTAACACGCAGAATGTTTTAAGTTTTAAGTGAGATGATAAAACAAACAACAAACTTTAACGTTTCAATTTAATTTAATATTCGAAGTGTGAATGCGAAATTAGGGGGCGGGGGGTTTCAGGGGCTTCCTCTTGTCGGAAATTTATTAAACTTGCACAACACGTTTCTAAAAACTATGCAAAAGTGTCGTGAAAATTTCATTCGGATCGGGTGCGGCTTGACCGAGTTACGCATTTGGGGGGGCTATCAAGGGGGCTTCCGGTTGGCCTAAATTGACCAAATTTAGTGGTGTTTGTAGAAAGTCACTGGTAAAATTTCATTCTAATTGGACGATTTTTGGCTAGCACTCAAATTGTGACTAATTTGGGGCGAACCCGGCCTTGGAAAAATTTTTCGTTATGAAATTCGAATAGTATGTGTCAAATTACGTAATCAGTGTGAATTTCATCGATTTTGGACTAATATGATTTTTCAAAATTTTGAAAATTCCAAAATGGGACTAAAATTATATTTCTTTGACGATTTTACTCAAAACTGGTATTTGGGGGTTTTGAGACTTGCTGAATCACTTGGTGATGTTAATTTTTTAACTGGACGCTTTTAATTTGCCGTAGCACTATTTTGGAAATTTTTCGAAACTGTTAAGAGGGCTTCCAATTGTCACAAAGCGTTCAAATTCAATCTTGTGACTTCGAAAATGTATCACTAAAATTTCATTCGAATCGGTTGAAATTTATCCTAGCAGGTTACTAAATTAGTTAGCACCCAAACTTCCAAAATTGGGGCTCTAGGGGGCGAACCCGGCCATGGAGAAATTTTTAGTTTTTAAATTCGAATAGTACGTGTCAAATTACATAAACAGTGTGAATTTGATCGATTTTGGGTTATTTTGATTTTACAAAATTTTGAAAATTCCTAAACGGGGCTAAAATATTTTTTTTGACGATTTCACTCAAATTTGGTATTTGGGGGTTTTGAGACTTGCTGAATCACATGGTGGTGCTAATTTTTTAATTGGACGCTTTTAATTTGCCGTAGCACTATTTTGGAAATTTTTCAGAACAAATTTGGTGAATTTCATTGTTTTCGGACAATTTTGCCAACCAAAATTTCGACAAAACTTTATTAATTTCACAATAAATCGTTTCAATTGTATAAAAAATCAATTAAACGACCACCTGAACGAATCCACCTTGTCCTGAAAGCCAAAAGCACTCGCCAAAGCTTTAACTAATGAAGTTTAAGCTTCACGTCATTCCAATTTTAGCTCTTTGATCAACGAAGAGACCGATTATGTGTAACTCTAACCCGGTTAGATATCCAACGAACACTATAGAACGCATTTTAACGGTGCACACTTTCTTTTTTTCTTTTTTGACCGAATTGTTTTTACGATTACAACACTGGAATTCTGATTAGGTTATAATCGACGAAAAGTGTGTAAAAAAACACGTTAATAGAGCTTTTAGGGGATTTCCCTTCTTGTACATTATTTATTATGTGTTTATCCACGAGGATTTAAAAGGTGGCGAAGAGGAAAAGTTTGTCGATTTAAATGTTTCGGTGATAAATTAACGAGAAAGTTTCGATTAAGTTTGAAGGAGAAGGCCCTTTATGAAATTGGGTAATAAAACTGATCCATTAAAAGTTTAGATGGAGTACAAGGAAGGTTTCTTAATTCGGATTTAATATTTGAATAGGAGCGGAATTGTAATCAGTAGCCAATTAAGACTTGAAAGGGGGCTAAAATAGGGCTCCGGTAAATCTAATTAGAAAATTAACACCACAAATTAATTCAGCAAGTCTCAAAACCTCCAAATACCAAATTGTGTTGAAATAGTCCACAAAATAGATTTAGCCCAATTTTGAAAATTTTCAATTTTTGAAAAATTAAAGTGCCCCAATTTCAATAGAACTGACAATATTTATGTAACTCGAGCCAAACTTTAAAGAAGTGGCAATAGAATTTTATTAAGGGGCTCGGACTGTCCGCTACAGCCCTCTTTTGTAAACTTGGGTGCTAACTTAATAACTCAGTAAAAAATTAACCGATCCAAATAAAATTTTAGTAACACACTTTTGAAGTCTTTTGAAGTCACAATACTGAATTTGGACGTTTTGTGACAAATTAAAGCACCTTTAATAGCCCCCAAAAATCTCAAAAATAGTGTCATTTTAAATTAAAAGCGCCCAAATTAAAAATTAACTCCACTAGGTAATTAACCAAGTCTCAAAACGCCCAAATACCGAGTTTGAATAAAATCATCAAAGAAATAATTTTAGCCCAATTTTGGAATTTTCAAAATTTTGAAAAAACACACTTGAGTAATAATAGTCCAAAATCGATAAAATTCACACTGGTTATGTAATTTGACACGTACTATTCGAATTTGTTAACGAAAATTTTTTCCAGGGTCAGATTCAACTGCTAGAGCCCCAAAATAACTAAAAAAATTCGTACTTGCAATAGTAGAGACGTCCCTCATTGGTCACGTGAACCGTCCATCCGGGTGCCGGAGCATAATCCAACACATGTGCTCCGGTCGTGTCCAATTCCGGTTTTGACGAATCATCTGATTTGGCTCCGGGATCGCCCGGAATCGTCTGAAGTAGCATCGCTATACTTCTGAAAAAAAAAAGTTTAATCGATAAAGTTTCGCTGCTAATTGACGAAACTTTGAAATTAAATTTCAACAAAAGGGGAGAAAAAATCTCGATAAGGAAATTTAATAATTTAAATCAGATTTTTTTCTCGATTTTCTTGTTGAAAAAACTGCGATAAATAGAAAATATCAACGTTCTTTCCTCAAAAGATCAATATTTGGCTTTCGGACTTCACAAATAATCAACACACAAAATCGAGAGACGTTTATTGTTTGGCAGCAAAACCGAGATAATCGCTTTAGAGGACGACAATCGAATTAAATTGAAGCTTTAATCTTGTGTGACATTTTACAAATAACGTAATTTTTACGTTGGAAAGAGTACAAATTTCTCCACTCATTTTTTTCTGTTTTTCAAGTAGTAAAATTTCGATTCAGGAGCGATTTTCTCGCCTAATAAAGAAGGCGGCGAAACGTTGCGGTTTTCCCCCCAGAGACGATTATCTTTCATCGCATGAATTTGTGTCAGTTGAGAAACCGACGATTATTAGAAACGCCATATTTAAAAAACAATAGACGAATTGTTAGGAATTTGAGGGGAAAAACATAAGCAAACAAATTACTAAAAAATTATAAAATTTAGAATTTTGATATTAGGACAGTCCAGAATACGGTAAAAAACTACAAAATTCGTAGTTATATAATCGAATTTATATTTTCGATATTTTTAACTTTATCAGAAATTTTCTAGATAAATATTTATTGTAGAACACTGATCTTTTTTGTGTATGATAGAAAATTAAATTCTCTTTCCAACGGTACCAAATATAAGAGGTTATTACCAATAAGTCTAGAGTTATTGCAATAGACCGCTCCGGGTGCCAAAAATTGACCTAAATCACGACAAAAATCAAAAAAAATTTCAACCTTAAAATTGTTTCATATCACGTTTTTTACATTTCTAGAGGTCCTAAAGACTCAAAAAGTGCATAAAATGTTATTGGGTCAAGTTTAAAAAATTATGAATTTTTTGAGTTTTTCAAAAAATTAGTTTAGTAAAATCGTAAAAATAGTCAATTTAGTAAAAGTCATAAAAACGCTTGAAATATGGTTTTCTAGACGTAAAATTACGCGCTGAAAACGATTCAACTAGTTAGAATTCTCTACGATGCATAGTTTTTGAGATATTGAGTAATAAAGTCAAAAATAAGGGTAGCAATATCCGATTTTAACAAAAAAAATCAAAAATTTTTAATTCTTATGAAAAACTAGTACTATATCTAAAATTAACCGGAGAATACGCCTGAATAAACTGTTTTGACCTAGGACTCATAATTTTTGAGAAATAACGTTTTTTTGAAAAAAACTAAAAATGGCTCTGTACCCGGARCCATAACCCGGAGCGACTTCCGGTTTGCGCCAATAAATAGATAATTTCAAGCTGCTTTTAATGTTTTTTAGCTCATAGCTCTAAATCATATAGTTTCGTAGAAAAACGCGTTTAAAGTTTTGGTGTTAACAAATTTTTTAGGTTTTTTTGTTTTGTAAATTGCGGCAAAACTGAGCCTCAATGATATAATACCTTGACCTAAACCTATGTAAAATGTTCCGGGGAATCCATTGGCGTCAAAAAAAGAGCAAAATTCTAGTCGTATTTATATTTTCCATACTTTTGACTTTATCACAAATTTTCTCGATAACTATTTATCGTAGAACACTGATCTTTTTTTTATATGATAGAAAATTAAATTTGCTTTCCAACGGTACCAAACATAAGAGGTTATTACCAATAAGTCCGGAGTTATTGGCAATAGACCGCTCCGGGTGCCAAAAATCAGCTAAAATTTCGACGAAAATCAAAAAAATTTTTAACCTTAAAATTCATCCATATAACGTTTTTTACATTTATAGAGGTCTTAAACACTCAAAAAATGCATTGGGTCAAGTTTAAAAAATTTAGAATTTAGTGATTAAAAATTAGGAAAACAAAAATTAAAAAAATAATAACTCGAAAACTAGCAAAAAATCATTAATGCCCTTTTGGTCTTGAAAAAAAAATAAACAAAACATTTTCAAACGCACAGAATCAACCTTGGCTGTGCAAATTTTGACAATCCTCAAAACAATTGCTTTGATCAATTTCATTTCCATTGCCACCTTTGACGAACCAATTTTTTCACCTAATTCCTCTTAAATCCTCAAAAACACCCACGAATACCCCAAATTTAGATCTCAACTATTTACGTTTCGTTTCTATATTGACATAAACCGTGAAGTGAATTATTTTAAAAGCGAAGCAAAGAAAACAACAAAAATTAACTCCTAGTCTCATCGTCTCACGATTTAATTAAAGGTTAAATCCGACGTTTCTAAATGCGGACATGTATCTATTTTTACAACAAAATTTTCTCAAAATTTCCCCAAAAAAAATTCCTTAGCTCCGCCTTGAAAGGCGGGGCGAAGAAAAACCACCAAATTATAATAATAACAAAATCGAATCGTTAATATGCCATCACCAATAACAACATTTGAATTATTAAAGACACGCCCCGTAAAGAAAAACACTTCCGGGCCCGGATTAGGGGTCGTTGCCCCCACTTTCGCTAGATTATTCAATTTTGTTACATTTTCCGGACTTTGGTAAGTAATTCCGGTTTCGTCATACCCATGCGAAGTAAACAAACTTACCCAAGACGCCCAGCATGGTCATTGTGTGGTACAAATGGGGCTTCTTCATGGTACAATTACTCCAAGTTTAAACCCATCAAAGCACACTTTAACAATAATAACACGGTCACTGTAACAACCCCCAGACTTTTAACACAATTTGTAACAGAAACACACACGTATTACCCCCACGAAAGCTCGAGCAAGACTGAAAAATTTCAAAACAATTCGAGCCCCCCTCTACTGACTTTTAACAATTACAGGAACCGACTTTACCAACTTGACAATTTCCGCTTAAAATAATTAAAATTAAATTGGGGGGGACTTGATGAGGACTTTGTGTTTTAAATGCGTCACAAGTGGTACCCCCATCATCTCCGAATAATAATCCAAAGTCCCCTTTGTGACATTTGTACCAACAGTACAGACTCCGACTTTACCGATATTATTTCACCGAAAATGTCTCATTGGGAGGAATTTTACGCGACACATTTACCCCCGACTGACTTTGAAGACAACCGAATCCTCCTGAAAGAGTTCTGTGAGCGTCACAAAAAAGCCGGTGAACGTATCGTCCTAATAACGGTAATTGAAAAACCAAAGTGAGGTTATGTTAAATGTCAATTGTCATTTCAGTCAGGGGGCACTACCGTGCCCCTGGAGCACAACACAGTCCGTTTTGTGGATAATTTCAGTGCGGGGACACGTGGGGCTGCCTCAGCTGAGTATTTCCTCGAGCATGGCTACGTTGTGATCTTCATGCATCGTGTCAAGTCTTTGGAGCCCTATACGAGACACTTCACCGGTCAGAAATTCATGGATATGTTGGAGTTGCACGACCAGGGCCCCAATACCAGTATCACAGTCAAACCGGACAGTGTGGACGTTTTAGCCCCCGTTTTGGCCAGTTACAAACAGGCGCAAGAAGGGGGCAGAGTCCTATTTGTGACGTTTACAACCGTGTCGGATTATTTCTGGCTTCTGAGGGCTGCATGTGAATGTTTGGCGATTTTTGAGACTAAAGCAGTTTTATTTCTCGCAGCTGCGGTGTCTGATTTTTATGTTCCTTCAAATGAAATGGTGAGAGAAGCCCCTCGTGGGGGGACAGGGACTGTAATTTGTGTTTCAGCCGACTCATAAGATCCAGTCAGGGGCAGGAGCCCCCACGATTCAGTTACAACTAGTTCCGAAATTGTTAGCCCCACTTGTTAATTTATGGGTGCCCCATGCGTTTGTTGTCTCATTTAAACTGGAAACCGATGAAAGTATTTTAATTGTGAAAGCTCGAGACTCACTAAATAAATACAAACATAAAGTAATTTAACGTAATTGTCACCAAAATAGAAGATTAATACTCAAATTTTTGTAGCTTGTCATTGGAAATATGTTACAAACTCGTCGCCAAAAAGTCGTTTTTGTCACCAAAGACACCAGTTTTGAAGTGTCTCTAACACGTGAACAAATGCTCAACGGTATGGAAATTGAAGACTCGATTGTTTCAAATGTTATCAACAGTCACACTGAATTCCTAAAAAAGCGTCAGTATTAAAAAGATGGGGGCTATTTATTCGAAATCAGGGTAACTAACCTTAAAACAATCCTAGTAGTTTTAAGGGGGCTAAATATGTCACAGTTGTGCCCATACAAGCCACAACACTGTCTTTACGACCATTTTTTTACATATCTTTGAGGTTATGTTTGTTAGTTTGAGGTTAGGTAACTTTAAGGAATTGGTGCTTTAGAGGGCCACTTTGTGGTCAATTTTATTTATTTTAACTAGTCGGGGGAGCCCCCGCTCCCTGGTGAGGTTTGTGTACGAAAAAAAGGACTAATGGGTAAAAGTGTGTTTTTCAATAGGTGAGGTTATGTAATTTTTAGACGTAAAAACTGCCTTAATTTTAATTTTTCTTAAGAAATAGGGGCTACTAAATGCCCAATTGTTTCAATGTGAGACATTTTCATTCCTGTTTTTCACTTTTTAATGATTTCAAAAGTGAGGTTATAAAGTAATTTTCATTTTTGGTTAGAATGGGGGGCTTCAAAATGAAGGTTATGTTATGGGGGCTCCCGTGTTTTGTTAGTAGTGGCCAAACGTTGTAACTGTTGTTGTAATAAGTGTAAAAATGTGCCAGTAACGCTATCATTGTACAGATAAATGTTTATATACCAATTTTTATTTTTATACATTCATCTACTTTTGAAAAGATTGTTTTTGTTAGTAGGGGGGCACAATTGATTGTCACAATTTTGTAAAAAGTGTCTAAATAAATGTTTTTATTAAAGTGTTTTTATGGTGAGTAGTGTAAACAAATGATTTTTTTATAATAGATTTATTAGATATTGCCAGTGGCTTATAATAATAGTAATAATAATAATGTAATCAGTTTGTATCTGATCAATGGATAATTTGAAAACTCGACGAAAAAAACAATTAACGTTTTGTTCATTCGTTTCATTTAAAAAAATCCTATTTACAAAAAGTGTGTTCGAGTTTCCATATGATTAAATACAAACCACATGTCTAACAAGGTATGAGTCCATCACTGAAGAAATTTAGTGTTAGTTGCAAAAAACTATGCTTCTGAAAGCAAGTCAATTACGACCAACGATCGATTAATAGATTAACTATGTGAGAAGAATTGTTGACGACCTATCTGAATCGAAACAAAATCAGACAAAACGTCATTTCTGACTGAGGTAACATATTATTTACATATCCATTAAGTTTTTGTATAATTTCCACTCTTCTACATGTAGAGAAAAATTCTAAATATACATGAAAAGCTCAACGAAATTAAGTGTCACAATAAAATGAACACTCCCGTTCTCTATGCACTCGACGACACTAACTTTTTCCACAGTGTTGGCAACATTGAAACAAAAACATTGATTATTCCACTCCTAAACAAAAATTAACTAAAATAGACAGAAAATCAGCCATTTTTAAACCCCGGCTTTCGTATAGTCCGACTATATACACAACAACAAAATCAAAAAAGCTTAAAATACATGGATTCTATACTTTCATTATTTATTTATAATCCGAAAAAAAATTTTTTTCAAAAAGGGTGGCAATTTTAACACTAGATGTCACTTTCTCGCACTAACACCCACCCCGCAGCGTCATAAATACATACACACACACTTTTGTTTTAGGCGGGATGTGGTGATTTTTGGTGCATGGCACTGTGTGGCGGGGTTCATATTTTTTGGATTTTTTCACCGACGACCACAGGATTGTTACGTCGGATTTCTTGCGCCCCCATTTCTCGATAGTTGAAACTGCAGTCGTGTTTATCGCTGTATCGATGGATCGCACAAAACAAACCTCCGCAACGGCACTCGAAACCTAAACACACATTATTAAATCAATCGGTTTTTCCCCCAATAAACACACTTACCAGTCAGGCCAACCTTCTTGCGGCACGTAGCACAACGATTTTTCTTCTTTTTGGCGTCTTTATCGGCATCTTTCTCTTCACCGTTTTGCTCCAATTCCGACGATGACACATCGGACGAATTCGGACCAGCGGCGGCTTCTTCCACACTCTAAACACCAAAAAAACAAAACAATTTTAAAAACTAACAAATTTCAACTATTTTTTGGCCACCTCATTTGTTAAATATTTACTTGACTCGTCCGGTTTGCTTCCGCTAGACATTACTACGAATTTTGACACAAAAAACTGTCACCGAGTAACAATGTCAATTTTTTTTTTTTTTGACATTAAATGTGTTAAACACAAATTTTTTCTATTACCTCGACGGAAAGTTCCGAAACGGGGGGAGACGTTAAATGATTGATTGTTGTTTGGGCCGTTGTTGTGTCCCTAAGGGCGCTAAGACTTGTAGGAGTGGATGGAAGTTGTTGTTTTTTCTTGAGGGCCTCCTAGAAAGAAAAAAAAAAGAGAAGAAAAAAAAATAAAAAAAACTAGTTTTGTCTCAATTACCTTATAACAGAGTGAGCAAAGACCATCCGTCGCCGGACTTCCGTAAAATCCACATCCGGAACGGCAAAGTGCTTGCATTGGATTGGACTCGCGCTCCATTGTTTTTTTTTTTACAAAAAATTAAAAACCACAACAAAAAATCAAAAACTCAAAAAATTAAAATTATGACGTGTTGAGGGTCCGAGTTGGTGATGGCGAGTCGAGTGGACACCCTGTCACGAAACAATACTTGATGGATTTATCTGAAAAAAAAAAAATTAAAATTACTTTTTTTGAATTTTAAAAAATTACTACTAATAACAATCGGTTTTTTGCATTAAAAACGTTCCAGAATTTGTAAAACATTACAAACATTTTATTATACAAGGTGTTTCTTCAATATTGTGAAAAAAAAACACAAAGAACAAAAAAAAATTATTTTAATGTGGTTGCAAATTTTCACAATGTTAAGTAACAGCCGAGTCACAAGATGGCCACTTGACGCCATTTTGAATATAATTGTTGGTATTTTTAATTTACCACAAATTAAGACATAATTATAAATAATACTTGATGAACTTATCTGGAAAAAAAAATTAAAATGAAAACAAAAAAAATATATTTTTTTTAATTTCGAAAAATTACTACTAATAACAACCGGTTTTTTGCATTAAAAACGTTCCAGAATTTGTAAAACATTACTAACATTTTATTATACAAGGTGTTTCTTCAATATTGTGAAAAAAAAAACACAAAGAACAAAAAAAAAATTAAATTATGTTAAAAAACACCCAAGTGAGAGTCGATTCACAAGATGGCCGCTTGACGCCATTTTGAATCATAATTGTTGGTATTTTTAATTTACCACAAAATTAAGACAAAATTACCAAATCGTATTGAATAAGAATTTCCTTCTCGTTCGAAAGCGATGACCTTGAATATTTTATACCGGGTGACCTAGTTTATGCTGTCTCTTGCACATTCAATTACCGAAAAAAAGAAAGCTCGTTATAAATACTCCACGTGTGTAATTCTTTCTCTTTCTCAATTTTTTTTAATGAAAAAAAAGAAAAGAAAAGTGATGATAAACAGTTGTGGTTGCGATAATTTCGTTATTTGGTTGGTAGTATTGCAAAATGTTGATTTCATGCGCAACACAAAGTTTAAAATTTTGTTTATGTACATTTAAATGAGACTTTCGTCATCAATTAATTATCATAAGAGAAATATTTTGCAAGGTAACACAATATGTCATAGAAAAAACCGTATTTTAAGTTTTATTAAAATCATGAAAATGAATGAAAGAAAGTGTATTGAAATAATAAGTGGATCTTGTTCTACTTTACACTTACGCAATAAAAGATAAATTTTTCACACGAACTTTTCGGACAAGTGGAACAAATAACGGAACCTGACTTTTACACATTATAAAACATTTCTTTTCGATTTATTTGAATCCGAAAATTTAATCTCTTAACAAAAACGCAACAACAACAATATTTTTATCGCAGTAGTCTATGGTTTGAGTTGTTGTTTTGGCACGTGTATCATCGAGTCGACCTTTATATTATATTGCTTGATTTTAGTCACGTGGTATATTCATGAAACAAAAGATACGTATGACGACATATCAATTTTGAAATGTTACGTCATTATCAAGTAGGCCGTTTCAATTGTTTTCATACTATGTATATTGATGGAAGTAGGCGACGGCGGCGGCGACATTCACTTGTTTAGCAAGAAATGTAGAACACGTGTCGCGGCCGACCGGTAAAATGAAAACACAACCGAAGATCAATCGGGGGAAGCTATGACGTCAAAAAAATAACTACAAGTTGGCCAAGAAATCGATACTGTTTTTGACATTTTTTCACAAACACCATCTTGATTTATTGTTGAAAATTAGAACTATTTTTGACAGCGATTGCTTTGTTTTCTTTCAAGTTTTTGACCAAATCAGAAAAAAAATCGTGCAAAAGAAACCAAAATGGCCACAACGTCGCCATTTTTCTCATCCCACGTGACCCACACAAAAATAGAGAAAACCGATCTGAATCACCGGACATCTAATAACAGTCTTGCCAACCTTCCAATCGGCAAGGTCACACATCAAAGGCCACAAACCCCAACTTCTTCCGGATATTTACCTCAAAAAAAAAAAACAACACCACACACACGTGTTGTACACATAATGTCACTAACCTCTCAAGGGCGAATTATTTTTTTTAATTACAGTTATTACTATTTTTAAACCATCGTAAAGGACAAAAAGTACAGCCAAGAGACGTAAAACAATTCAAATTATTTAAATGTGACGTCATGAAACGTCATTTGAAAACAACAAAAACGAATCGCAAGAAACGTGATTCATTTGTCATTCAATCGAGTTCAAATTCGAAAGAGATAACCCTATCGTGTCGACGAATGACGTCACACACATTCTTCGAAATCATTTTCCACACGAATCTAGTTGGCTTTTCCAACGCCACCCTATATTATATTATTTATCACACTCACCTGTCACGACATTTGTTTGTTTTTTTCTCTATTTCCCCCAGTTTCCTTTCTCATCCAAAAAGAAACAATACATTTATACACAGCTATTCATTCACTTGTTTTATCACAAAAAAAAAAAAATTGACGATCATCTAGCACACTAAGATAATATTGTGAAAGAACACTCCGCGTATTTACCACACGCCAAGCCTACTCGATTTCTACACTTCCAACGCACGACTGACGTCGTTGTCGTCGTCCCCGGATCTCGTATTGGGTTAAAATTGTGTTGTTTGCGCAACTCGTACAACACGTGCCAACCTAATGGCCAATAATGTGCGAGAAAAAGATGAAATGATAGAGACGCAATATGGCCGACACGTTGGAAAGTTGCCGAGTCAAGTCCATTAAAACGGCGCAAAAACGCATTATTTTTATTTTCAACGCTTGCTTAGACCAAAAATATAATAAATCCACCCAAAACAAATGAACTTGTAAAATATATAACACAAGGTCGATGACTACTAGATCAACAAACTCGGAGAGATACACTTCCGGGATATGATGACAGGTGGTGTCATACAGGTGTACCACACAGTATTATTATCTATTTTGTTTTCGATTCTTTGTCTACGATGACTCGATTCGTTTTTCTTCGAAAATAATTGATGCGTTCGTTGTTTAGTAACGACCTCGGATGCACGACGACCTTCTAGATCGTCGTCAGCTGATGGGTGCGCAAAAATTCGAGAAAAAAATTTTTTTTGTGTGCGCACACGAGTAACGTCAAGGTCTATGTGATTTTTCGTTAATATAATTAACAAGAGGAGAAATTTTACGAGTCTATGGTCTGGTGAATCGCATTTTCGTCGTAAAAAACAATAACACGACGATTTGTTGCGCAAAACAATTTATTTTTAGAAAATTAATAAAAAAAAAAAAACAGTTGGTAGAACTGAAAATACGAGAAAATCTATTTCAGATAACAGTTTTTGGCGATTAAATTAGCTTCAAATCGAAAAAAAGACTTCACGGAACGTAATTTCACAAAAAAAAATAAATATAATATAAAAAATTTTTGGGCGGAGCGATCATTTTTAGGGTGGAGTCGGTCTAAATGACAGACCAGGAAGGCGGAGCTACTTGAAACCGACAAATCAGAAACAATTAGTTCAATTAACGATTTCATTTGTTTAAATAATTTTTTCAAATTGTCACACGACTTTTCAAAAAATTGGAAAAAATTCTAAACAGTTTCGTATTTTTTAAAAATCGTCAAAAACAACAATCTTGTTAAATTACTTAGGAGGCGGAGCTTATCATGTTCAAAGGCGAAGTCATTTTAAATTCAACTATTTTTTTTTTAAATAAAACAAATTTTACCAACATTAAACGATAAAATTTCCCAAGCCCCACCCACTAATTTCCATCTCGTCAACAATAACACGACGACTTGTTGCGCAAAACAATTAATTTTTAGAAAATTAATAAAAAAAACTTGGTAGAACTGAAAATACGAGAAAATCTATTTCAGATAACAGTTTTTGGCGGTTAAATTAACTTAAATTTGCTTCAAAAAATAAAAAATTCAAAAGTACAAAAATTAAATTTTGACAAAAGAACAATACAATTATCCAATATAAAAAAATTGTGGGCGGAGCTACTTGAAACCGACAAATCAAAAACAAATATTTCAATATACACATTCACTTGTCACACGACTTTTCAAAGAATTGGAACAAAAATCTAAATAAACAGTTTTTATTTTTTTTTAATTTATTTATTTTTTCATTCAATTTCCCAAGCCCCACCCACTAATTTCCATCTCGTCAAAACTCCGCCTCCACGGTTTGAATCGTCTTTGTTTTCCCACTGTTGGCAACCTTCCAAAATGAAAAATCACCGAAAAACACACACACACACACACGTCAAAAACAAAAATATTTATTATTTACATCGAAACGTGTGCCATGATGAAACGCACAATTTTTGTTTTTGCGGTAAAGCTTTTGTTTACTTGTCGCAGACAGTCTTTGACCTTCCCGTTCAAATTTACCCCCGCTCCCCTACTCGTGCGTTCATTGACCTCGAAAAACCCCATCTTCCCTTACGCATACACATTTAGGGTGCATAATTCGACCTTGCGGCCCAATTATTCATCAGGACCGGACTCGAAATCGATAACACAGGACCGTATTTGAGAATCAATAGCGGAGGCGGCGATTTCACTCTCGCTACCACCACCGTCGAGACGCGACTATATCGATCCGGGGGCGGCGGTTACGCCGCCCCCCAAAAATTAATTTAAACACAGACACACACTTACCATACTAGGAAGTTGGTGAGTTCACACCTGGAAAAAAAATTGTTTTTATTTGAGTCATAGTAGGCTTGTATAAGTCACGTGATTTTGACATTTTGTAATTAGAAAGCGAAATTTTTGACAAAATTAAGTGATAAAAAATCTCAAGGTTTTCGACCGTCAAGGCTGCCAACCTAAATGATCGATAAATTATCGTTTCTCATTTGTTTACTCCGGAAATTGAGATCGTGCCAAAAATCCCCAACAAAAATAAAAATATCCACGTCAATCATAATTAATCGTTCGATTCGGGGATGGAAACATTGAAAAAAGCCCCAAAAAGCCCCCGTTTTACCGGTGGCGGAGTCTCCTGGGGGCCCATCGCCTACTAACAATGAAGCAGAAAGTAACTGTACTAAGGAAAATGGCGACAGACAATTATCGATACTTGGGCCAACATATTGCGCAAATTTCGGCCACAAGGGGGCTTTAAGGGGCACAATTTCACAACATGGGGGCGCAAAAACACCCAAAGGACGCTTTGTACTTACATAAAGGTAATTTTAGGCCAAAATAATCCAAAAAAAACTGAACGATGACAGGGCAATCCACATCAACTACACAATTGATAAAGTTGGACTGGTAATGACACGTGACCGAAATGGAGCGCTCGGATTGGTCGACTAAAAAATGTTGTTAAAGCGACATCTACACCCAAATACCACGATTTTTTTATTACAGCGTGATTTATTAAACCAAACTATGCACACGTTTTATACACAGTGTTTAAATAAATCAAACATATGTATGATTTTTATTTTGATGAATTAAGCCGCGACGGTTGTGACATTAACCACAGTCAAGGCTACGTCGGTAAGGAAGTGCACACGTCAATCATAAAGCAAGGTTATGTCAATTAATTTAAACGAAGAAAAAACTCATTTGTGACACTGATTTGACTCTGAGACGTAGGATTTGTCACAAAATGGATAAACTAGGTACGAATTTCACACTTGTGCAAGGTTTTAGTCGATTTATGGTCACACATATGTGCCCCCTGTTTCAGAAGTAAAAGCCTTTTTTGATAAAACTATCGCTGAAAATGAAGACCTTTCGGTGGGGGTTGTTGCTATAATGACCCTCATGAAAATCATCGAAAAGTATCAAGGTTAAATTCACTTAAACTCGATTCGAAAACCTAACCTCACATTTTAGATAACACAGTCCAGGGGCTTGATGAGAACCTCAAATTGGGTATTTTGGCCATAAAAACGTCCGACTACCCCGTCACAGCTATAAATTCCGGTTGCGAACTCTTCATGAGGTTTATAACATTGGCAAAACTTGATTATAATGTACCCCATTTAAGTGTCTCAATTTTCACTAAACAGCCCCATTTTAGAGCTTTGAGCAATGCAGAAACGTTATGTTAGAACGTGGCAACATATTTCTCAATAGATTGAAACAATGCCGGTCTAAAATCGTCAAATTAGCAACAAAATTTATCGCTGATGGTTCTGTAAGTCTCAAAGGGGGCCCTTGTCACTTTTAATACAAACTTTTAGAAAGTCCTCACACATTCAAGGTCCCGTGTCGTACTTAAAACCTTGATAGAGGCCTCACGTCAAGGCAAACAATTTGAAGTCTATGTTACTAAATCCGCCCCTGATAACAGCGGGTAAATCCCATAAATTGCATGTTTTTTTTTAATATGACGTTTCAGGGACGTAATGTGTAAAAATCTAACGAATGAGGGAATCCCCTGTACTATAATTCTCGACTCGGCTATTGGTTACGTCATGGAACAAGTCGATTTTGTCATGGTGGGGGCCGAAGGTGTTGTCGAAAGTGGCGGAATCGTCAATAAAGTAAACACATGATTTGTCTCATTTTTTTTAATTTAGTTTTGTCAGGTTGGTAGTTACACAATGGCGGTTTGTGCAAAAGAAATGAAGAAACCGTTCTATGTCTTAACGGAGAGTTTCAAATTTTCGCGTCTTTTTCCACTAAATCAGGGGGATTTACCCCCGGAATATAAGGTAAATCGTGGTTGAGACAGTCGGAAGTTAATTGTCGGTATTACAGTATTCTACAAGTTCGCGTCAACTAAATGACAGAGATTTCAAGAAAATTCACCCTTTGGTGGACTACACGCCCCCATCTTATCTCACACTATTGTTCACCGATTTGGGTATTTTGACACCAAGTGCCGTCAGTGACGAATTAATTAAACTTTATTTGTAATAATTGTAATAAAATTTGTGACTCAAGTTACGTCGCTCATTTTGACATATCACCCTGTTCCCATGGTTACACAAAATTGTTATTTTCGAATAAAACGATTATTAAATGAAAAAAATTGATCAAACTTGTTGAATACATTACGTATTTATTGTCACAATCACAATGATTTGCTAAAATTGTGTTTAAGTGTTTATAATCGGTGAAAATGCGAGTTTGTGTCTAAGGTTGCGAGTGTTTTTTTCGCGTTATCATAGTAACAAGATGGCGCATTTTTTAAATAAAACGTTTATTCAAAAAAAGTCAGTCAAACTTTTTACAATAAAATACAAGTTATAAAATGTTTTAATCAACGTCACAATCACAGTAATTATAGCACACTTGATATTGGCAATTTCTGATCACAGGAATGACACTCTATAGGCGGCACAAAGTGTCTCAACGACGGTGTAAATCTGTTCAAAATTGGGTCGATTTTCGGGTTTATATTCCCAACATCTGAGCATAAGGCGATACATTTCGTCGGGGGTGTTGTCAGGGGCCGGCATTCGATAGCCCGAATCGATTTTTTCCCGGGCTTTGGAGTTACTCATACCGCTATAAGGGGTTCCCCCGTGTGAGAAAATCTCCCAACAGAGGATTCCGTAACTCCAGACGTCGCAAAGTGAGGTGTATTTGCCTAAAAGTGAGGTTATGATTGTGTTTCACAAGTTGGGGGGAATTACCGAAATTGAGTGCTTCAGGAGCCGTCCATTTAATCGGGATTTGTTTCATACCATCTGAAACTATATATTCCTCCTCCTCTCGTGACATTCCAAAATCGGAGATTTTAACAACATTGTTGTAGCCTAAAAAACGACGTGTAAAACCCCGAAATTAGTTAGTGTTCTGTATTACCGACTAGGCAATTCCTCGCGGCTAAATCCCGATGAATGCAATTCTTTGATTCTAGATACCTCATTCCAGCTGCTGCATCTAGACACATTTTCATTAATTGTGCATCAGTGAGGGCTGTTTTTTTTCGGAGGAAAGTCAAGAGGGAACCCCCGGGTACCAATTCCATGACAATCATGATTGGTTGTTTTTGTACACAAATCCCAATGAGTTTGACAATGTTTGGATGGTCGTATTGTTTGAGGATTCGGCCCTCTTGGAGGAATTTCTTCTTGTGGTCTTCGGGGAGGGTGACACGACAGGTTTTGACGGCGACGACGTCGTTGCTGTTTTTGAGTTGGGCGCGATAGACGTCGCCGAAATTGCCACGACCGATTTTGTCCAAGAGGACGACGTCGTCGTTGTTGAGTTCCCAGCGTTCGCGAGGAATGGGCTTGTAGAGGAGGGCCCCCGAACGGCCGGTTACGGGAAGACCGCTGGTGTATTGGTAGAGGATTAGGTCGCGGATGCTGGGGAAAGCGGGGCCCTCGAAGCGGTAATGACCCTGAAAAACACATTTTTTGTTGTAATTTTGCGATTTTTTTTCTCTGGAAATATGAGATTGTGGGGGTTGAGGTTTTGACAGTTTGGGGGCCTTGTTGTGGCCGATTTGGCATGAAAAAATTATTCAAATCTCTTGCATAGAAGTGTGCGAAAATATTTTTTTTTGGATCAATAGTTGACTAATTTTAAAAATTCGTATTTTTGAAATGGGGTGCGTGGAACGTGTGAACTTTTGGCATAATATAGACTCGGGTTGTGGCCACAACTCGTACAATTTTCATAAAGAAACCTTTATTAGAAAAAATTTAAAAAAATTGTACATTTATTCTGAGACAATTTAGAAAAAAATTAATTTTAACGAATTTGGGATTTTTTTTCTCGGAAAGTATGAGATTGCGGATTTTGTCCTTTTGCCAGATTGGAGGCGTTGTTGTGGCCTACTTGGCCTGAAAAAAATCATTAAAAAATCTTGAATGGAAGTATGTGAAAAAATTTATTTTGATCAACAAACGACTAATTTAAAGTCTAATTTCAAAAATTCGTATTTTCAAAACGGGTCGCTTGGAACGTTTGCCCTTTTGGCACATTATAGACTCAAATGTTGACTATAAATCGTGCAATTTTCGTAAAACAAATCCTATTAAAAAAAAATAAAAAAATCGTAAACACATAATTGCATTCAAATTTTTTTTTTTAATTCCACAATCAAATGTTTTATAACTCGAAAACTGACCGAAATTTTTTTCTGAAATTTTAGCATCCCACAAGCCTAATTATTATCAATCAATGTTGTAAATTACATTAACCTGAAAAAATATTGTTGGGCCAAGACGCTTCAAAGAAAGGTGGGCTCATTCCAACATAGCTAACCTCTGAGCAATTTTCAAGGTCAAAATCACTTGCAAAAATTTTCAAAAAAAGTAAACCTTGGCCTACCAATTGCAAATCTATGCTCAGTTTTAAAATAACTTAATTCCATTTAATTTATTCTTAATTCCAATAATTTTAATTGTCCCAAAAAAGAAAAATTTTTAACACAAAAACGGGACGATGGTTTTTGATTAAATTTTGTAGACGAGTAGACCCCACAATTGCCCATCATGGGTAAAAATTTCATTTACCAAAAAAAATTATTTTCGAAACCAAGCACTATTATGGATAATGTACCTCAATTAATTTTCAAGGTCAAAAACGCGTTTCAAAATTCCGAAAAAAATCAGTGGTAGATAATGAACCGTTGATTACAAATCTGTAATTATTTCTAACCTAACTTGAATCGTTTTTAGGTACAATTTTTTGATCAAACAAAAATAAAAATTTTGATAACTTAAAAACTACAATTTCCACAATCACGTGACTCTTAATTGCGCGCCAAATTCAAAAAATGTCAAAATCCATACTCACTTCCGCTGTTGTTTGCACAATAAAATGCTTATGTCCACCCCAACAAACCGAAAGCACAGTTTGACATTCATCATTTCGGGTAGTTTCCCGAACCAAAAAGTCGCCATCTTGGGTCAATAACCTCACAACTTCCTCCCTTGGTAACACCCCATGGAACCACTCTTCATCCACTAATGACTTATTCGTCGTCATAGAAACCTAAATATTATGATTAGACACGCCCCCTTTTTATCATCAATCAATCAATGTTAGTTAGAAAGAGACAGAAAATGTTAGTGAAGCCACCACCTACAGGATCGCCCCCTTCGCTCCTTGGGGCGGAATCCCTCCTCCCCTTTGTACGTGGGGGCGCAACCGGCGATGCCGGCGCCGATTTTCGCCGAAACGGCTTACGAAACATACCGACAAATTGCGTGAAAGATCGTTTCGTATCAGGAGTGCCAACCTACAATCGCTAAATAGTCCCAACACCAATGAAAAAAAAATCACTAAAATCACCTGTTCGCTGGAATTAGTGATAAAAGTCTGATTATCGATTGATAAGTCACAACCGGAAGGAACTTCCTCACATCCTAATTCATTCAAAGCACTCTTGATCAATTCCGTTTGTTTTAACATTTTACGTTCTTGACATTTGAGTTCGTTTAGTTCTTTTTTTGATGTTTCAGCAATTGCCAACCTACAAAAAACACAAATTGTTAGTGATTGTTGGGGGATTTATGTAAAGGCACACCTGGTGGTGGGGGTATTTTCAGGGGGTTTACCGTTTTCGGTTAAATTGCTACGTTTTTCTTGATTTTCTTTAATACTGCTTTCTAATTCAGATAATTTATTTCTCAACCATTCAACTGTTAAATTATCGACGGTTAATTGGTTGGGGAGTAATTTTCCAGCGCTGTCTTCGACCAAACTCTCGTCAAACGTGAATTTCACCGGCTCAGTTGGCGTAGTCCTAAAATCAATTTAGTTCACAATTTACCCCAAAAATTCAAGTCAAAAGTTAATTGTCGGTATTACAGAATTCTGCAAGTTCGCAGAGAATGAGAGGAATTTCAAAAAAATTCACACCTTGGTGGACTACACGCCCCCATCTTGTCTCACATTGATTTCACCAATTTGTGAATTTTGACCCCAAGTGCCGTCAGTGACGAATTAATTAAACTTTATTTGTAATTGTAAATAAAATTTGTGACTAAAGTTACGTCGCTCATTTTGACATTATTACCCCGTTCCCATGATTACAAAATGTTTTTTTCGAATAAAACGATTATTAAAGAAAAAAATTAGTCAAACTTGTTGAATAAATTACGTTTTTAATGTCACAATCACAGTGATTCGCTAAAATTGTGTTTAAGTATTTTTAATTGAGACTTTGTGACTAAGGTTACGTAAATTTTACCGGGTCAGTTGACGTAGTCCTAAAATAAAAAATGTCAAGTTAGTTCACAATTTTGGCGGGAAATACGAATTTAAAACCGATTTTTGGCCAAAAACCCAACTTTTTACTCAAAATAACCAGAATTGTTTAAAGTAGTAGGCCTGGATTAGTGTTTTTCCTCAAATTTTCGCATATTGGTGCAAAAGTGTCAATTATTTTGGCGGGAAATTTGAATTGGGAGTGTGTAGGGGAAACCCTTACTTGTGTTTCTCGGTGAAATCTTTGTATTCTTCGGTCGGCTTGACCGTTTCAAGACTCGTTTCGATCCTTTTTTGTATTTCTCGAAACTTCTCCGAAGTACAGTCGGACGCCGTTACAATGTCTTGCAAAATTTGTTTCCTGCGTTGGCACAAAAAATAAGATTTTTCGTTTTTGTGTATTTGCGCACTCACCAAGCCCCAATGAAGGCTTCCTGAAGGGATTGTTGGTGTTCCAAAAGTCCGGGAAGTAAGACAGTCCGGAAATCCTTCTCGAATTCCACCGCTTCGCACAAAAGTAAAACGTATTCGTTGTGTGTCAAATGTAATTTTCTGCAAGCTTTCTGATATTTGTCTCTTACGTCGTCTAATTTTCTACCGCCTCGGCCGGCTGTAAAGTTAAATTTGTTTTTTTGGGTTTTTTTGCTATTTTTAGAACTTGGCGATGATTTGAAGGTTCTTTCACTTTGGACTACTTACATTTGACGTAGTGTTCCTCGAATCGTGAACGCATCAGTTTGTACAGTTCGAGGTACTTCTGGTATTCGGATTTTTTACGGTTGACTTCGTCTGATAACTGAAAAAATACCAAATAAAAAATTATTTTACTCGAAATTTGGGATTTTTTTTCCGGGGAAAGTAGGGGATTGCGGGTTATGACCTTTTGGCAGTCGAGTGGGCTTATTGTGGCCTACTTGGCCTGAAAAAATCATTCAAAAATCTGGAGTGGAAGTGTGTGAAAAAAATATTTTTTGAACCAACACTCAACTAATTCAAAGTTCAATTTCAAAAATTCGTATTTTGAAAATGGGGCGCTGGCAACGTTGGCATAACATAGACTCGGGTCGTGGCCACAACTCATACAATTTTCGTAAAGAAATCTCTATTAGAAAATTAAAAAAAAATCATATGTTTATTCTGAGACAAATTAGAAAAAAATTAATTGTTACAAATTTGGGAATTTTTTTTCTCGGAAAGTATGAGATTGCGGATTTTGTCCTTTTGCCAGTTTGGAGGCCTTGTAGTGGCCTACTTGTCCTGAAAAAATTATTAAAAAATCTTGAATGGAAGTATGCGAAAAAAATTTTTTTTGATCAACAAACGACTAATTTAAAGTCTAACTTCAAAAATTCGTATTTTCGAAATGGAGCACTTGAAACGTGTGCCCTTTTAGCATAATATAGACTCGAGTTGTGGACACAACTGGTACAATTTTCATAAAGAAATCTCTATTAGTAAAATTTTAAAAAATTCCAACATTTTTTCTGAGACAAATTAGAAAAAATTTAATTGTTACAAATTTAGGATTTTTTTTCTCGGAAAGTATGAGATTGTGGATTTTGCCCTTTTGCCAGTTTGGGGGTCTTATTGTGGGTTACTTGACCTGAAAAAATTATTCGAAACTTTAGGGTGGAAATGTGTGAAAAAAATTATTTTTAGACCAACAGTCAACTAATCCAAAGTTTAATTTCAAAAATTCATATTTTCGAAACGGGGCGCTTGGAACGTTTGCCCTTTTGGCATATTATAGACTCAAGTCTTGACTATGAATGGTGCAATTTTCGTAAAACAAATCCTATTAAAAAAAAATTAAAAAATCGTAAACTCACTATTGCATTCAAATTTTTTTTTCAAAATTTCAAAATCAAATGTTTATAACTCGAAAACTGACCAAAATTTTTTTCTGAAATTTTAGCATCCCACAAGCCTAATTATTATCAATCAATGTTGTAAATTACATTAACCAGAAAAAAACATTGTTGGGCCAAGACGTTTCAAAGACAGGTGGGCTCATTCCAACATAGCCAACCTTTGAGCGATTTTTAAGCTCAAAATCACTTACAAAAATTTTCAAAAAAAGTAAACCTTGACCTACCAATTGCAAATCTATACTCAGTTTTAAAATATCTAAAATAATTGAAAATTTATTGATTATTATTAATTAAAAAAGAAAAATTTATAACACAAAAACGGGATGATGTTTTTTGATTAAATTTTGTGGACAAGTAGACCCTATAGTTGCCCATCATTGGTAAAAATTTCATTTACCAAAAAAAATTATTTTCGAAACCAAGCACCATTATGGATAATGTACCTCAATTCATTTTCAAGGTCAAAAACGCGTTTCAAAACTCCGAAAAAAATCACAGTGTTAGATAATAAACCGTTGATTACAAATCTGTAATTATTTCAAACCTAATTTGAATCGTTTTTAAGCCACAATTTTTTGATCAAACAAAAATAAAAATTTTGATAACTCAAAAACCCCAATTTTGGTAGTCGAAAGACCTGACTATAGCCAATCCCTGGTGTAATTTGCACAACCACGTGACTCTTAATTGCGCGCCAAATTCAAAAAGTGCCAAAATCCATACCAAAAAAACCTTTTTCTCGCTCCTTTTCTCGCCTCAATAAACAAGTACAGTTATAGGTATGTGGGGACAAGAAGTGTCGTAGCTCACATGTGGTTCAAAGTACAGCTTGGCCAATCACCTTCATCGAAAACTGGCCATCGGTGTGTGTGTGGTTTTTAAGTCAATGAACCTCCTCACTCACAAGAGTGGACAATTACGCAAGTGTGCAACGGACATGACATTTGCCTACTTTTGCGCTTATTGTCAGGTTCATTGAACCCCAATAAGGGGGCTAAACGAGGTTACCAGAATCTCGCCGCGAGCTGGACGCCAAACGAGGCCAATTTCCCCAATAAAAATTCAAATTTCGCGCCCTTTTAATTTGTTGTCATGGCGGGAAATTTAATTTTTTTGTAAAATTTCCATTAAAATAGTTTCGAAACGACTTTTAAATGGAGGTGAAATTCGGCTAATCGCAAAACCTTGAAGTTAATTCGCTTATCGCTCAACACAATAGAAAAAGAAAACAAGTTTTCGATCCATAAAACACCGAAAATTGATCGAAAAGTCGTCGTCTCGCCACTTCACCTTGACTTTTGTTCTTCTCCGAATAGAAAGAAGCTCAACATCAGGTAGAAATTCTATTTATAAAAAGGTTCGTCGTCGTTGATTCATTCCTTGTAAAATTTTTGAATATTTCTCTGTAATTCTAATGTTGTTAAACAACAACAACAACAACATCTACCTGAGTGTAATTCTTAATCAGGAAAAAACTTATTTACATTTCCTTTGTCTGACACGAGATTTCGCTTTAAATGCCGCCTGGAATCGACCTCCATAAAGAAGTCAATTGGATCAATTAAACGAATTAACAAACCGATGACGAAGACACTATTTTCGCAGTTGATTCAAATTTACCGCCAAAATTTTTCATTTGACCCACTTTTTGAACACAAAAAATCGGAGAGATTTTGACAAAAAAACTATTTTTAACAAACATTTTAAACTAAAAACGAGAATTGTTGATTTTTCATGTCCAACTGAGGCATGAAATTTAGAACAAAAACTTTATATCGACTTTAAACACTTTAATTTTTCAAATCCTTCGATGGAAACGAATTTTAATGTGAGTTAAAAAAGCAATGAATGAACAAACAAACTTTACTGCAATTAAAAAAATGTTTACTAAATAGGCAACAAAAAACTGTCGAAAAAGAAGACAGTCAAGAAAAAAAATTTGATCAAAAATCTTATTTTCCCCATTTTTTACACACAAAAAATTGGAGAGATTTTGACAAAAAAAACTATTTAACAAAAATTTGAGAATTGTTGATTTTTCATGTCCAACTGAGGCATCAAATTTAAATAATTTTTCCAAATTTAAGTGTTTCCATAGAAATTAAGTTAAAAAAGGAACGAATCAAACAAACAAAACATTGTTGAATGTTTACTGGAATTAAAAAAAAAATGTTTACGAAATAGGCAACGAAAAATAGAAAAAATTTGTCGAGAAAGAAGACAGTTGGGGCGAGAAAAGGAAAAATATTTTAGAAAAAAGTGAAAAAACTGTCAAAACTTCACAAAATGTGATCAGTTTTCAATTTTTCATGGCCAATTTTCCAAATCGGACATCTTTTTTTATAAAAATAAAATAAAAAAAAAACATTGTTCAAATTTAAAACAGTATGGTTTACTAAATAAACAAAGAAAACTGTAAAAAATAGAAAAAAAAAAACGTATTACAAAAAATTAAAACGTAATAAAATTTGAATTTTTCATATCTAATTGAGGAATTAATTTTATAAGTGCAAAAACTTGTTGACTTTACAGATTTCGGTTTTTCAAGTCCATCTAAGAAAACAAATTATTATTTTTTGTACAACTAAACAATCAAGAGAATTGCTGACGGTTTTAACACAATTTTGTTTACTAAATAGACAAGGAAAAATATGCATAATTTGAAAAAGAAAAGAAAAAAAATGTCGATGAAGTTAGTTTTTCAAGACCTTCCAGGCAAACAAATTGTCTTTGTTGTGAAATCACAATTGAAAATAATTAAAAAAATTAGAAACTTAGAAAAAGCATTTAAAAATGATAATCCAAATGAATGCAAAACATTAAATTTTGATTTTTCGTGTCTAACTATGGAATCAAAATTTGTAGCACAAATTACATTTTTCAAATCTCATTAGGGATACAAATTGAAACATATTAAAAAAAAAAGAATAACAAATAAAACAACGTTGTTAGACGTTCACTGAAATTAAAAAAAAAATTGTTTACTAAATAGGCAACGAAAAAAAATAGAAATGACAAAATGTGATCAATTTTGGAATTTTCATGGCCAGCTGAGGACACGAATTTGTACACTCTTTTTTTTCCAAATTCTGCTGCGCACACAAATTACATTTTTTATAAAAATAAAATAAAATATCCTTCTATTTAATAAATAGACAAAGAAAAATAAAAAAGCAGAAGCAAATTTTGATTTTTTTTGTCCCACTATGGAATCAAATTTAGTTGTAATTTCTGGATTTTGGAAACAAATCTATTTTTTTGTTAAACTAAACAATAAAGAAAATCGCTGATCGTTTCTTCAAATTTAAAACAATTTTATTTACTAAGTAGGCAAGAAAAAATATATATAAATTAGAAAAGAATGTCGAGAAAAAAATTTTAAAAAGCAGTTTTTAATTTTTACTGACTAATCAAAGAATCAAATTTAGAGGCACTAAAAATCGATAAATTTCATTTTTCAACTCCTTTCAGGGACACAAACTGTCTTTATTGTGAAATTACAATTTTCGTGTCCAACTATGCAATTAAATTTCGTAGCAAAAACTCACATTTTTCAAATGTCATGAGGGATACAAATATGTTTTCATAAAAAACAATGAATAAAACAACGACGTGAAACGTTCAATAAAATTTAAAAAAATTATTTACTAAATAGGCAACGAAAATGGAAAAAAATGTAGGCCAGCTGAGGAACACTCTTATTTTCCAAATCCTACTGCGTACACAAATTTAATAATTGTTTTTATAAAAATGAAATAAAACATAAACCAAGCTATTTAAATAGTTAAAAAAAATGGCCATGGAAAATTAAAAACTGATCACATTTTGTGAACGTTTTGACAGTTTTTTCACTTTTTTCGAAAATAAGTTATGCTACTAAATTTGAACCCACAGTTGGACACGAAAAGCCAAAGTTTCATGTTTTGCATTTATTTGGATCACCACCTTTAAAGAGTTTTTCTTTTTTTCTTTAATTTTTATTCCCTATTTTGTAAACAAAATTATTTTAAATTGTCAGTCAGTCAATTCAACGCTTTTAACGATTTTTTTTCAGTTGTTTCTCAAACTTCAATTTTTCCGCCTTTTTTCTGAACTATTTCTTCTTTTCTCATTACAATTGTCTTTTTTGCAATTTTTGCAAGCAAGAATAAAAATGAAATAAAACCAAGCTATTTAAATAGATAAAGAAAAATAAAAATCGAGAGGCAAATTTTTCATATCCAACTATGGAATCAAATTTAGTGCAAAAACTTGTAGTTTCCAGATTTTTGTGTATTCAAAATAATTTTGTTGGCACAGTAGGCAATAAAAAATGTAAAAAAGCGCCCTAGTTTCGCCCCATTCCTTTGTTATTTCATGGGCGTTGTATTCCCATCACTCACATGCGTAAACTGCAATAAAATCCTCGCATGTTCCTCCTGATAGGCCTTCTTCATCTTCCTCTTCTCGGCGTAGATGCCATTCAACGCCTCCATCACCTTTGTCTCAATCGTTTCAGCATTCTGTTTGATCAACTTTCCCGTGTTTTCCAACTCCTCCATCATGGTCCTCCACGTGGCGGCGACTAAACTCCCTTGGAGGTCATCTCCTCGGTCCAACTTCAAGCCCTGGGTGGCCACCGAGCCCAACGCCACTGCGTACTCGCGATCGCACCGCACTTTTGATAAAATACACCGTTTCATCGAGTCGAGGAGACGCAATTCGGCCTCCTGGCGCGAGAGGAGGGCCTCATGGGCGCTCTTCCCCTGCAAATTGCTAGAAAAACCCATCGTTACATGTTTGACGCTGCAGGGAAGACTGAGGAGGAGGGACCCACGACGGGTTATACTTAGAAAGAGGTGTGGGCTGGGTGTTGGGGGTAATGGGTGGACTTGAAGCGGCATCTTTCAAACAAAACGTGAACGACGATTTCATTTTCCTTGCCTATTTTGGAAACAAATACAAAAAATTGTTTCCTCAAAAGGACTTGCAAAATTAAGTTTATGAACTCGAAATTTGATTATTTATTAAACCCTACTGTTTTACATTCGAACAATTTTTTTTTAATTTTATTTTTATAAGATGTCCGATTTGGAAAATTGGCAATGAAAAATTAAAAACTGATCACATTTTGTGAAGTTTTGACAGTTTTTTCACTTTTTTCTAAAATATTCCTCTTTTTTTCCCAAATGTCTTTTTTTCCATTTTTGTTGCCCATTTAGCAAATAATTTTTTTTAAACGTTTAACAACGGTGTTTTATTATTCGGTGTTTTGTATGAGAACATATTTAAATTTGTATCCCTAATGAGATTTGAAAAATGTGAGTTTAAACTATATAGTTAAACACGAAAATTGTAATTTCACAACAAAGAAAAGACTTGAAAAAATAAATTCATTGATTTTTAGTGTCTCTAAATTTGATTGTTTGATTGGACAGTAAAAAATAAAAACTGATTTTTAAAAATTTAAAAATTTTTAAAAATAGAAAAAAATTGTCAAAAAAGAAGACAGTTGGGGCGAGAAAGGAGGAGTATTTTAGAAAAAAGTGAAAAATTGTCAAAACTTCACAAAATGTGATCAGTTTTTAATTTTTCATGGCCAATTTTCCAAATCGGACAACTTTTTTTATAAAAATAAAATAAAAAAAAACATTGTTTGAATTTAGAACGATATGGTTTACTAAATAAACAAAGAAAACTAAAAAAAATAGAAAACGAAAAACATATTACAAAAAAATTAAAACAATAAAATTTGAATTTTTCATATCCAATTGAGGAATTAAATTTATAAGTGCAAAAACTTTTTCGTTTTTTCAAGTCCTAGGGAAACAAATTAATTTTTTTGTTAATTAAATTAAACAATAAAGAAAATCGCTGAACGTTTCGTCGAATTTAACACAATTTTATTTACTAAGTAGTCAAGGAAAAATTACAGAAATAGGAAAAGAATGTCGAGAAAAAAATTTTAAAAATCTCTTTTTATTTTTTACTGTTCAAACAATCAAATTTAGAGGCACTAAAAATCGATGAATTTTGTTTTTCAAGTCCCTCCGAGATATAAACAGTCTTTGTTGTGACATTACAATTTTCGTGTCCAACTGTGGAATCAAATTTCGTAATACAGTTTAAACTGGCCAAAACCCGAATTTTTTAATCCCATTATTTAATAAAATTATTTTAACGCTTTTAACGAATTTTTTTCAGTTGTTTCACAAACTTCAAATTTTTCCCACTTTTTTGTGAAATATTTTAGGTAATTTAGGGGTAACAAAAATCACTTGAAACAAAAATAAAACTCAAACAACTCGTGTAATAGTTTTATTATTCAGACAATACAGCTAGAAAACAAATTACGACTACGTAGATATACAAGTCCACAACAAAATCAGCATTTCTATCATTTATACATCAAAATACTTGTAGAAAATAAAATTACTAGAATTCTCATCTCCTTAATTCCTTCACTTTGACGTCTCCGCCGTAGTCTCAGCCCCTTCCGTCTTGACCATCTTCCCACTATCGCCTATAACCACACCTAAACTTTACCAGTCCCAAAAAATCCCCTAAACCAAAACTTACTCTCAGAATCGGCTTGTTCCCCTCCTGAACGACGCCTCTTCCTCGCCGATCTATCCCTTCTAAACACCTTTTGTTGCGTCGGCAATGGATCCATACCCAAAACCTTCAAAAAACAACAAAATTAAAACACAAAAATCCCCCAAAAACAACATCACATACTTTATAAATCTGTCGATAAGCAATCAATCTCAACGCATACTGCGCCGAACAAGTCAAATCTTCACGTTGTTGGGCCGAAAGACCACTTGCCGCATCCGGACTGTCTTTCTCACAAGGATCACCCAAACCAGGACCTCCAGGAAGCAAAAGACCACTAGCAACCGCCTCCATGACACGACGAAGAGCGTCTCCAGGCGACAATTGCACCTGACCAGGAACCGAAGAAATCACCTTCTCTGCAAGCAATTCCATGGCCTGAAAAAACATTACAATTAACAAAAAAAAAACAATTAAAGTGTCTCGGATTTGGGCATGCAGAATCGACGATTTTTGCAACGATTCTGTGAAAAAATCCAAATTTTATTTATGCTCAATTGAAAACAAACGCAATAAAAACTACGCTGTCAAGCATTGAGCTGATTTAACGAGTCGCACATGTCTGTTACTATAGTAATTAATATTGTAACTATGGTAACAGAATTAAAATCGTCATGGTAACAATAAAACCAGTGGCGGGGGTAACTTACCCATGAACTTAGGGGCGACCATGTGGGAACTCTCTGACACAAATCCCTCAAAATACGAATGATGACCACGCAGGAATGTAGACCCAAAGCCCTAGCCTATCACACATTAAAATCAATTAAAAAAATAATAATAAAAATTCCATTAAATATAACATTTTTAACATTCGAGGGTTCTACACAAGAATTGATTTGATTTTAAACGTTAACGGTGATTAATTAGTATTAAATTAAACGTAAAAATTGAGAGAAAAAACAAGTAGAACCCTCTGATGATTTAATCTGAATTTGATGTGAACTTTCTTCAAATTAAGAAAACTGACTTTACTTTTTTTTAATTTTCAAACTTTGATAAAAAAGGGAATAGAAGCAAAAATAAAACTCTAGCACAATAGCACAAAAAACAAAACAAAAATGATTTTTTTAACGGCTCCGATTCCCTACCGAAACACAAACCAAAAACTCACATCGTCAGACTTTTGGTTTTGATATTTATAAAAAAATTACATTTTTTTTCCTTTATTTTTATGAAAAAAATCACGCGTCGCGGTGTGAGACAATTTCATAGGACACAAACCTGGAACCATTTGGTATGTCTGAGGGCTGCCAGCGCCTGGAGACACTTGCCGCGTGCGAGAACGTCCCGGTCCAACCCGCCGCTCGCAGCTTCTAGACATCATCAAGAAAGGGTGTTTGACCATCTGCGCCCACCTCTCACACCAACACGTTCCACTCTCCCATTATTTTTATTATTTTTTTTTTTTCGAAAGAAAGTGAAACGATTGGAAAATGTGAAAAGTGAGCCGGCTGGTCAAAAATCCTTATCCCACACCACACCTAAAATCAACTCGAAAAACAACCAAATCACAGTACATAAGTGTATATAAGTATTGGACCAAAAAAATATACAAAGAGAAGATAAAATCAATGCATCACACAATAATAATAATAACACATCTCTTACACCGAAATTCTTCTGCTTCAATTCTATCAGTCCGTATTTTTTACATATTGAAACAAAAGACTGATACAGACTTGACAGCTGTCAAAAACTAGAAGAGAAAAAAAAGTCCAATATTTATTAAAAACGATCAAGGTTTAAGCTGATTTTTTCGTCGATCAATTAATCAATACCCACCTTTTAGTGTCTTCAAATTCATAAAACAAAAATAATTACAGTAACCTGTAATTGAACTTGCAATAGAAAGAAATAGAAAACTCGAAAAAAAATTAAACATTTTCTCTCTCTTACAAGCCTACAATTCCACCTAGAAAAAAATTCAACACACTCAAAATTCTTGCAGCTTAAACCCCGCACAAGTACTGTACACACCACTCATTCATACGTTTTTTTTTTTTTTGTTTGGTTACCTATATAAAATTTTTCATCTCTCTCGTTACCTTGCTCTCTCATAATGGGACTCGTCAGTTGTACCAACACTGTTAATCCATCACCGGTGACTGTAAGTCCAGCCTCGGCTGCATTAATCGTCACTGTATAATTATTTTCAGTGGCAACTTGTTTCAATGCTGGTGGTAATAAATCAACTACTTTACGTAGTAATGCCAATGTTGGTTTATCAGCACATAAAACAACCAATTCAACATTAGTATCGCCTCTTAATAATAATCCTTTTGCTAAATGACCAACACGCATCACACCTTTAAGGATACGATTGGCATCCCTGTCTTGTTGAAATGAAAACCTACAAAAAAAAAATAAAACGTTACAAAAATCCCCTAAAAATCACGTTGATTTTACAATTGATTATCACGGCCGTCTTCTTTTTGTTGTTGTGGTTGTGATTGTTGTTCCGGTTTTGTTTCTTCAACTGGCTTAGGGGCGGTGCTTGTACTTGCTTCACCTTCTTTTGTTTGTCCTTCTTTTGGTTTTGTACTTTCAGCCAATTGATCAGAAACCATTTTCAGGGCACGTTCCGTATGACTGACAATACGTTGAATTGATTGCAATTCCTCTTCTTTTGGATAAATTTCAGAATGACGTGCCATTACATGACGATCATCACTTGATTCAGTTCGACGAGCCATCGGCATACCACCTTGGAAATACTAAAAACACCAAAAAATTTTGTGGTTTAATCAAAAATATAACACATACTGGAGGTGCTCCTCCTGCAAATGGCGGTCTTCCACGTGGATACGGCCCCAAATTCCCCCTTCGACACATCTCCATGTACTCTTCTTCATAACGGCGACGATCCTCCCAATACATACGATCATCTTCATCTTCAGGCATATTATAATGACGACGAGCCCAAAATTCTTCACGCAATGCCTGGAAAAACAAAAATTTCAATTTTTAACCCACAAAAGTAAAAGAGAAAAGTGTAAGAATTAGCAAAACCCAAACGTCTAAAACTCAATAACGTTCAGCGTGAAATAACTCTAATTTCATCTACGACAACCTTAAAATTTCGAAAAGCATTCAACGCTTAACAAAAGGAACAATTGTCGATTTAACCCATAAAAAAAAACAATTACTAACCGCTCTTCTCATTTTTTCCTCTTGAATTTTTCGCTGTCTTAATGACGGCTTCACATCAACAACCAGATCCGGATTGACTTTTTTCTTGTATTGTAAACGATGACGTCTTCCTTTCATGTGCATTTCTTTAGCATTGGGATCGTTGAAACGACACTCGCACAACTTACAATTGAAACTAATCACCTGTAAAAATAAAAACAATGTATTTTTTTTTATTATAAATTTTTTTAATCCCAAACCTTTCCATCATCACTCTTAATTTCTTCGATATAATCCTGACCGACTGGTTGTATATCCGGTTCTGGTTGTTCATCAATATCGTCATCTTTCGAATCACCATTACCTGTGGGAATGCCGAGACCTCCTGATTGCACAAAGTTTATCTTTGGTGTGGAGGAGACGGACTTACGAGGACCACCGATTATTTCCGGTTCCTGTGGTGGAATCGGTTTACCCAATTTCGTATGTAACAAAACGACTTTTTGATGTTTGGCTCCACGAATATGGGCAGCGTATGCATCATTCCCTATTAACAAAATTAGTAATTTTTGTTTTTTCCAAATTAAATTTAATACAAACCTGTACATGTAACGTCACACAATTGACATCTCAACGAATTACCAGCACGATTCTGATTGGTTACAGCAACAGAAGCTGCCATTTTAGTAGCCGCTTCGCGTTTCTTATGTTTTTGACCTTCTAAATGTTCGCGGTAGGTTTGAGGACCGGCACAACTACAAAAAATAATCATGTAAATCCCCGATTTTAAAATAAAATAAAATGTTAGATAATGACACAAACAATTGCCAACCACAAGTGTATATTAAAAAGCCATCTATCTTTCTACTATTGCAAGGTGTCTGAACGAGCGATTACAGTGTTACCAATCGTCGTAATTCTCCTTGCTTTCACATACACTTAAAATCACTCACCTAATCTTACAAACGTCACAATAATGTAATTGTTGTGGTTTAGGTGGCGCTTTTGTTCTCATATTTTTCGCCCCTAAACCCCCTTTTTTGTAACCTTGCCATCCGCCAGTTTTCTGTTGAGCTGCACCTCCTTGTTGAGCGACATACATTGTCGCTGCTGAATATAAAGCGGCGTCGTAACCGGAATAGGTTGTCGTCGAATTTGCTTCTATGAAACATTTTGATTTTTTTAAATTTTTAAATTATAAATTTCTTACGTTTTGCCTGAGTTGTCGGTTGTGCAGCTATAGTTGTTTGTGCAGCCGGTTGAGCATAAGATGCTTGATATCCGGTTGCATTTGCTTGATAAGTTCCAGTATATTGGGCCGGTTTTGCAGCCGCTGCTGCTGCTGCTGCTGCCTGAAAATGAAAGAAAAACATTTCGTCAGCATTTTACGAAACAGAATGACGGAAAAAAAATGCTACGATCAGATTTATAAATAAAATTATTATTACAAACAGACGGCGAGACGATGAGAAAGATTTGTTACATCACTGATAGATTTAGTGGGAAAAAATACAGTTGACTAAAAATCCCGAAACTATAATTGTTAAAAACAAAAATTTGATGTTAAAATACTTTCATTATTTGATAAATCACCAGGTAAGAAGCTATTTTTAAAGTGTTATTTTATCTATTAATAATCTACAACCTAAAAACACATTTCTACGCCAAACTTAATTTCGAACAAGTCAAGCGTTTGTTAAATTTTTCTAAAAAATTCTTACAAATTACATAAAAGTTCTTTTTTCAAAACAAATTTTTCAATTTTAGGTAAATATTGATTATCTTTAAATGGTAATAAAAATTTAATAATTTTCACAATTGACGGTTGGAAGCTGTCAGTCCATTTGTAAACTTTGAAGAAATTTATTTAAAAAAAACTACATAATTGTAGAAAAAAATTGTTTAATTTTTAAAGAATTTAATTTTTAATAGAACAAATTAAAAATATTTCGTTTCTTAAAATCCCAAGTCGGTGTGAAATTCTTTTGTTTTGAACGACTCACAACATTGACTTTTTCTTTTATCAATCTTAAAAAAATACAATTTCTAGTTTTTTTTAAGAAATAATTTTTACATCGCCTTAAAAATCTGTTATTTTTTTGTAACACACAGTTGGTAACTGTGACCTTTTCGATAAATTTCAGTGTTGCCAGCTCAAAATAATTAAATTTACCAGATCTGAGCTGAAAAGTTACCAGATTTGCACCTATTTTCACCAAACTACAAAATTTAATAATTTTTTTTATTTTTAATACTGTCAAAAAGTCACCATTTCTTACATAAATCTAGGAAATCTACTCAAAAACGTGCTTAGACGCTCGAAAAATTCTAAAATCTAAAAATAGATAACGTTTTTTCATTTAGTCCAATTTTTAATTAATTTTTGAGAAATACCGGGTGACAAAAAAATCTGTTGGCAACCCTGAATTAGTGGTAACCCTTCTAAATTTGTTATAGTGTTTCAGATGACGGCTAAATCAGCAGTCGCTCGTCATAAATAAATGACAATTGCCTATAAAAGTTTGACGTTTGAATTTGAAAATCAAGGCTGCCAAATTAAATTTTAAATTTGACACCAATCATTAACAGTCATCCGATATTTGAGTTTTTACTCGAAAATAAAATACCTGATAAAGGCAAAAATAATTACTTGATTTAATGTTTCTTTTTTTGGTTTGTTTTAGCAAAATCTTGCAATTAACAGCATTTTCGACCATATTTCGTGTTTTTTGTCATATATTTTTTGGATAAAATTTCACTCAAAAAGAGCTAAATCGAATGAAACAAACGAAATGACATCAATTTACATTTATTTTCGTTGTGTTTAAGCATGTTTTGACAATATATTGCTAAATAAATGGCATAATTTGATAAATTTTCGGTTTGTTTTTAACGAAACTTTGCAAAATAGTTCCTGTTTCTGGCTAAAAACATATACTAAAACGCTTAGAAATGGACAAAATAATGCCTTTTTAACTCGTTATAGCGATTTTTTTACCTCGTTGAGTGAAATATCATTTATTAAAACAAAACTAACTCTCGATTTTTCAACTTATTTTTGAGAAAATTTAGCATTTGAGTTTCTGCATGGTTCAAACACGTGCAAAATTCTCAAAAATTGTGTCAGCATTTTTGTCTTAATTTACTATATTAATAATTAAAAAACCAAATTAAAAAAGTTAATTTTTCTAATATTTGGGCGAATACTCGATTTAAAAAAATATTTAATATTCTAATTCATTAATTTTCTGCTGGAACTACAGTCACGTTTCAAAAAAAATCATCAGAAATTTGATTTTTTCAAAAGTTTTCACCAAAATCATTAAACATGTATAAAAATTACCAGATGTGGTGAAATTTTACCAGACCTGGCAACACTGCTAAATTTACGAAACCTAAATTTTTTTGGTTTGTATTAGCAAACCTTGCAATTAATTAAATTAATTTTTTTGACAAAATTTCACTCAAAAAAGACTAAATCGAATGAAACAAACGAAATAACATCAATTTAGGTTTGTTTGTAACGAAACTTTGCAAAATAGTTCCTGTTTTTGGCTAAAAACATACCAAAAAGGCCTAGAAATGGAAAAAATAATGTACTTTTTGACCCGTTTTAGCGATTTTTTTACCTCGTTGAGTGAAATATCATAGAAAGTCAGCATTTTTTACTGAATTTACTATATTAATAAATAAAAAACCAAATTTAAAAAAAAATTCAAAATACATTTATTTTCTGTTGGAATTATTCACGTTTCAAAAAAAAAAATCATCAAATATTACAATTTTTTCAAAAGTTTTCACCAAATCATTAAACAAACAATCACCAGACCTGGCAACACTGCTAAATTTATGAAAACTAGATTTTAGTGAATTTAGTTTCAACAGTTGTCGCAAATTGAATCATAAAAAAATCTGGTAATTTTCTCACTTTACGGTTGGTATTCATAGAAATGTTTGACATTTGTCCCCAAATTGGGGCCCACTTACCGCAGCTTGTGCTTGTGGTTGTCCCGCCGCCCTTTGCGTATACGTAGTGGCATAGGTGGCCGGCTTGGCGGCGGCAGCACTCTGATCGTACCCTCCCGTGTATCCTGCAGCTGCTGTTTGCCCTATAACAGCCCCCATAATCCCCATTCACACACTTAAAAATACCCACCGTATCCGTACTCGTAGGCGGGCGTAGCCCCCGTCCCTACAGCAGCGTAGGTCCCTTGTCCGGCGGCGGCGGCAGCCTGATAGGCCGTATCGTAGGTGGCGGCTCGTTGCGTACCGTAAGTGGCGGCGGCGGCGGTGGCAGGCGCCGCGACGGCGTACCCCGCCTGGCCCGGCTGGTAGGCGGCTCCGGTGGCGGTTGCACTACCAAAAAACACTATTTTACACCGAAAATTTCAAGAGGGGGGCAACCGACGCGAAACCCGCCCGAGGATTATTGATCGGACAAAATGCCGGGCGCCATTTCCAAGGACGCCGGTTTGAGACACAAACATTGCAAAAATTGCGCCCCCCAATGAAACTAAACATGTGAGGGGCGCAATTAACCAAAGGTGATGACACGAGGGGGCTAACAAGGGGGCTACACTCACCTATATTGCGTTCCGCCGTGAGTAAAACCAAAATAATTATTCGTCGCCATTTTACTGGCACACACGCTGACAAATAAGACGAAATGGGAACGGGGCGACCTCTACAACCGAAACAAACCGGAAGCGCAAAACGGCGCCAAGTTTAAATCTGTAACGACTTTTACGAGAATTTAACCAATATATTGCTGAAATTGTCACACCAAACGTTTTATTCATCGATTCTCAGACACAAATTCGCATTTCAGCATCTATTAACGCAAAACACAAAAATAAAAATGTTAACTTTGGTGTAGACAACCCGCAATACACCTGTGCTGTTTTAAACACTCTGATAACGATTAAGCAAATATAATAATAATAATCTAATAATGAGAAACATTTAACGTAAAAAAAAAACGATATTGCAGTTAATAAATAACAGATAACCAATTTTTGACACTACTATCAAAAGTAAATTTACAATTAAGATAATTGAAAAAATAACACGTTAAAAGTGCCCGTATTGTTTTTCTATGAATAAATTATCCCCTCCCCTCTATTGTTTTTTCGGAATATTTCAACAATCACCAGTGATTACTTGATAAACTCGCTGGTATTACAACAAAGGTCAGGCTTGAAAAAACAAGCCAAATTAATTGTCATTGAGTGATAAAATGGCAACGCGAAAGTGTCTCCAATTGTTAAAAAATCGACGTTATTTGCATACTGTGAGTTGAGTATTTTTTAATTTAATAAAAAATTGCATGTATTTTTGGTTGCCTAACTTATAGGGGCCTTATTTCCCGGGGGCCCAAACAACCTGGACCGAAAAGCTGTCTTTTGTGACCAAGTCGAGTTATGCCCCTATCCCCGTGTACCGTGTCATGGACCGTAAAGGGTCCATTATTGACCCCTCAAATGACCCAAATCTTCCACAAGAAACTCTTCTAAAAATGTATAAAGACATGAGGACGCTCAACACACTCGATAAAATCCTCTATGAGAGTCAACGTCAAGGTCGCATCTCTTTTTACATGACCAACTACGGGGAAGAGGCCATCCATGTGGGTAGCGCCGCTGCTTTGGACCTGGAGGACGTCATTTATGGGCAATACCGCGAAGCCGGGGTTTTGGTATGGCGGGGCTTCGCCCTCCAACAATTCATCGATCAGTGTTACGGAAATAGGGATGATTTGGGGAAGGGGCGCCAAATGCCGGTCCATTACGGTGCCAAACACTTGAATTTTGTGACAATTTCAAGCCCGTTGAGTACACAGATGCCGCAAGCTGTGGGGGCTGCCTACGCCCTCAAGGGCACAGGCCGAGTTGTGGTGTGTTATTACGGTGATGGGGCGGCGTCCGAGGGGGACGCACATGCAGCTTTTAATTTCGCAGCGACTCTTGAATGTCCCGTGATACTCTTTTGTCGCAATAATGGGTATGCGATTTCGACGCCTGTTAAGGACCAGTACCGGGGGGATGGGGTGGCTGCAAGGGGGCCCGCTTATGGGATTCACACATTGCGAGTCGACGGGAATGATATTTTCGCTGTTTACAATGCTACCAAACTTGCAAAAAAATATTGTTTAGAGGAGAGTAAACCGGTGGTGGTTGAGGCAATGGCGTATAGATTGGGGCACCATTCAACTTCTGATGACAGTACGGCGTATCGAAGTCAAGAAGAAGTTGACCAATGGGCAACTACTGATAATCCAGCCACGAAAATGAAGATTTATTTGATGAAAAAAGGTTTGTGGAGTGAAGATGAAGAAAAGAAGTTTTTGAAAGAGACAAGAGAGGCTGTAATGAAGGCTTTTACACACGGTGAAAAGAAATTAAAACCGAATTGGAACGAATGTTTCAAGGATGTTTACAAATTTATGCCCGAACATATCGAGTGAGTCTTGCAATAAATTAAGCGTTGTGATTGGACGAATTTTTACAGGAAACAAATGAACGAGATGAAGAAACACGTGGACAAGTACAAGAAACATTACCCGATTGACCAATACGAGGCGTGATCTGTTTTTTTGCAATTTAAATTAAAATAAAATAAAAATAAATAAAAAAACACCTTATCTTACGGTATAGTTTCATGACATTTTAAAATAATCGGTTTTATTGCCTAGAACGTAAAATAATTTAAATTTAGCGCCAAAAAAGCAAGCGTAACTATAGTAACGTCTATTTGGCGCTAAATTTGAATCACGGAAATTTGAAATGGACCTCCAGGACCGGATTATACAAATAAGTGAAAAAACATTTAACAGTTGCGTAATTGTCACTCTTGATCCGATTTCGTAAAAACGTCAGAATTTTCGTATTAAAAAATAATTTAAAATTTCTACAAAAGTCACTTCCCCCCTCCTCAAGAAACACTAAAATCCTCCTCAATGCACAAATCACAGTTTTCTTCACCCCTGAATCCACCATAACCGATGGTAACTTGATTAAAGCATTTAATACGACTCTTGTGACCAATAGTGTTCTCTCTTCGAGTAAAATCGACCCATCATGGTTCCATACTAACCCATGGAGTACGTCACTGGCCGCGTACGCCACTGGAATATTCTCAGCGTGTGTGTTCAACTCGCCTCTTTCATACACCTGTAACATACGAGACTGTGGTGCGAGTTTGAAATTATCACGTGACTTATTACGTCAGAAACGTCACGTGTTATTTCCGGTAGGTGGCGCAACGACCACGAAACGAGAAAATTGATGGCAAAATCGGGCGGTAATTCCCATGCAATTGATGATAAAAACAATTCGCGTGAACGCTCCGGTGAGGAAACTGTATTACCGACTAGACTCATTGTTTGTCTCACAAGTGGCTCGTCATCTTCTAATAATACTAGGATAATGTTGGATAAATTGTATTTTTCGAAAGGGGGCACTTTGAGACACTTCCATACATCGACGAGACATTGGGCAACGGCCAGGCGTCGCCATTCGGGGGCTGCCGGTGCGGCAGATTCCTGTAATAATTTCACGAAATCCCCAATAAAATTCGCATCCGGTTGCCACTTTTTCAAGATGGTTTTCACAACCGAAATTACACAAGACGTAACTTCATCATTCGTTGCCATAGCAATTAGATGTTCCAATGTGTTTAGTCTGCGGTCCGTGTTAAAATAACACGGATAAAATTCCAATAACAGTAATACCAAAATCAAATCGTTTTTTGTTCTCAATTCAGTGTCAAAAAAACGTATCAAGAATGCATGTAGACTAGTCAACAATTGTTTTTTCGTATGTGAATCAAATGAATGTACCAAAAGTTTGATTTGTGTACAGATTTCTACATTACCGGCCACTATTAACGGATGTTCTTTGAACCGGTCACGGCTCACTTCCTGATTCAAATAAATCAAAAAATGAAGACATTTGTGACGCATTTGTGTATTTCCTGTCAAATATTTTTCAAACATGGCGCCGATTATGTGATAAGTGTTATCACAACGTTCGAATTTATTTAAAATGATAAAGAGTAACAATTGAAAACGGCTCCATTCGTGATATGCGCCCTCTGTACGCATTTGTGATAACAATTCTACAATTTTTTTAAATAAATCCAAATTTTTATAATCACGACTTCTGAAAAAAAATAAGAGTAATGATAATTGTGACATTAATTTTTTACCTTGATAATAACATAAAAACCATATCCATGTATAAAGTTACAGTTAAGTGGTGACAAACTCGGCTTTCGCCTCGTCTCAATAAATGCAAACTTTGTTCCAAATACGTCGTTATTGGTAATTTATCGAAATCTTTGCTTTGAAAAATATGTAAAATCTGAAACAAAAAAATTGAGAGTCACTCACGACGTTGTTTTGTTTTCGTTACTTGTAACAACAATCCGTGACATTCATTATCTGTCAAATTTCGTGAAATTCGTTCAAAACTTTTATCCAAACGTGATTGAAATAGATTTTCTCCAATTAGTGCAAGTGATGCCCTCGCTGCTAAATCCCTCGTGCGTAAACACGAACTTTTCATACACACCTCAACATAACACAAATATTTCATCACTTGTGTATTAATCGTCTCATTACATCCCGGATATAGCTGTCCTAAGACCATCAAAATCGGTTCCAAAACTAGACTTTCTTTTTTATCGCACTCGTGTTGTAGCTCGTGTAATAAAAACTCAAACAATTGCGGATAACGGGCATGAAACACCGTCAACGCCATCTTGGTTTCTTTCACACCAAAAATTCGTCTCACCAGCGCCGACCATAACAATGTGGCCGAATTTCGTACACCCCATGTACGACTTTTGTAATTACAAAGTGCCAAAATCGCACCACGATCCACATAAACAATTATATTCTCACCCAATTTCGAATCTTTGAATAAAAAACGTAAAACATTGAGACAATGGATGCGAAGCTCGGCGGGGGAATCACTCGAAATCGATAACAGTGAATCGAGTGTGCTTCGGAGATACTCGAGACTTGTTTCGGTAAGATTCGGAAGGAGACTCTACCAAAACGAACATTAGACAGGGTTTTTGGAGTTTGAAGGTTGGTATGTACCAGAATTAAAAACGGAAGACCGGCACTACGACGCGTTGGTGATAAACGATCATCGATTGTTTCACCAATACAGAGACAAACAGCCTCGGTAAGCCACTTCGATGGCAATTGACTCAAATTTGTATTTTTTGAACTGAAAAATTCAAATTTAGCGCCAAAAATCGACGACGTAACCATGGTAACTGAAACTGAAATTTTGGCGCCAAATTCAAATACTTACGCTAGAAAACTTTGACAGATGGTATTAAAGGCCACGTGGGCTTGTTCAAAAACACCTCGATGTTTAGCTTGGATGAAAATATCTAAGAAAAAATCGCCAATTTTTCGTAGAAAATCTTCCGAAAGCGAGTTGTCTGTGTTTTCATTTTGTATTGTTTTTTTGACAAGATCGGCCATTAATAACATGACTTCTTTCATTGTTTTCCACGAATTGACTAAAATTTTTTGTGATTTTGATGATTGGTCCGTGTCGGTAATATCGCTTTCTTCAGGAAGATAACCTTCCGGTGCTAAATTTGCGACGATTGGTAGCACTGCAGTACCGTATTTTAGACACAGTTGGCAGTACTGTTCCCACGTGTAGGTGAATGCTTTCGGATTGTAACGAATAAGTTGGAAGATTCCATAAATCGGGGTTTCATCGTTAAGGTTGGCAATATTGTCGAATAAAGGCGCAACGACATTAATTTCCGGTTGTACCAACTGAAAATAGTAACAAGCCGAAAGACTCTGATTCGGACGAATATCCGAAAGCATGGCTACCAACATTTGGAGGAAATTGTCTGAAAAGTCGAGTTTTTCGAACGATTTTAAAATCTCAACAGCCAAACTTTTATTCGATTCGTAACCATCGAGAATCAAATGTTTCAAATTTTCAATATCATCAGCCTGAAACAGACTAGACCGAAAATTACTAAAAAAAATTCAAAGTTTGACTCACTTTCTCCAATCGTAAAAATTTCGAATAAAAAGTAACAATTCCATCGAAATAAAACGTCGAGAATAATTCGAGTCTGGCGACAAATTAATTATCAAAATTTCCAACAGATGGCGTAGAAAAACACCATAATCCGTATTCGGATTTTTCGTCCACGTGACATTAAAACGTCGCAAAACCTTCTTATAATACGTCACAAATCGTGTCCTGATGTTGGCACTAGAAACCGAAACGTTGTATCGAAAATACCGAATCAGAAACGTCAATTCGAAATCGGTAAAAATTTCGGTACTTTTTTGACATTCAGCAACGACTTGAAGTGCATCGATTCGAATCTCGTCGTCATGGTGACACATAAACAACTCCAATTGTTTTTTCGGTATTAAACAACGCCATGTTGAGTCAATTTCCCGCCCAAATTTACTTCCAGTCATGCGTGCCAACCGAACACACTTTAAAACAATTGAACACTCAACCGATGTTGTCACTAGATTTGTAAATAAAATCGAAAAAATCGTCGGTTTTTTGCGCACAGCTAACGTGATTATATCCTCTAAAACTTTACTTTGTTTCATTCGTAAAACACCTAAAACCGGTTTTAACCAAACTTGAACAATTTTCTCGTCACAATTCTCTTGTAACATTAGATTCGAGTAAGCTAAAGCGGCCTAAAATCACAATAAATTAATTTTCGATTTACAGAATTCTGTATTACCGACAATGTTATCTGATGTGGCTGCTGCAACCATCAAGAGTTTATTGCGAAAATACGAATCAAACAAATGCGAATCGATCACGTGACTGGTCACATGACATGCAACAAGTCGAACTTTACCGAAAGTTGGTAACGAATTCAATTCGACGATGAGTTTTTCCAAAGGCGACTTTTCGCCATTTCGGTGGCGTTTTTGCGCTTCAATTGTTAATTTTTCCAAGAGTGATTTAGTGTTTTGGGTCACGTGATCGACGAAATGGTCCAAATGTGTCCAAATAAAGTCGAAACTTTGCACAAAAAGGTGTGGAAAATTCGATGAATGGATTATGTGTTTTGAGAGTGTATCCAAAGTGCGACTTATGGGGACTATTGGGTCGGGAAAGTTGGTCAAACTGAAAAAAAATAAGTTAACGAGTTTTTGGACTTTTCGGGGATTTACCTCATTCCTAAATCGATTAAAGTTGTGTAAAGTGATTCGCAGAGCGGTTTTTCGGATATTTTCAATGAAAGTACGTCACGTGGGACAGTATTCGAAATGGTCAAGTAAAGAATTGCTTTCAATCGATCAGTTTTGAATAAATTCGGAAAATTTTTACTTTCAAGAATCACACAAAAATCATTTTTTTCGTTATCTATGAAATCCAAAATGGGATAATTTCGGTGTTTCTGTGGGGAAAAAATTATAAATTTGTCCAAAAATTGACAAAACTTACCAAAAAGACAGTTTCATTGTCGGGTAATTGAACCGAAAAGTACGAAAAAACTACAAAACTATCCAAAATTGTCTCAAATTTAAAATTTTCATAATTTTGCAAAATTTCAAAAGTCAATACAACCATTTCAAGGGCATAATTACTCAATTGTTTTATATTTGCACGTGGTATAGTCACAGCCAACTGATGCAAAACCATACACAAACAATCATTACCATAGCTACAAAAAAATTATAAAAATTTGACATTTCATCACAGCCAACTTACGATAATTGACTCGTAAACGCCTCCAGACTGTAAAAATAAAACAAAAAAGTTTTTTCTAAAAAATCGTGACTAAAATTTTGTATACAACACGCGAAAAAATGCACAACTTTATCACACAATGTCACACTAAAAACGAAATTATCCAAATTTTCTTTACACTCATTCGTAACACTTGATACAATGTGTTCAAAAAAAGTCATTTGACCAATTTGACGCAAATTTAATTTTTTGTACATGTATTTGAGCAAATTTTTGCGAGCGTTTGTGTTGGTAAACGCTTCGATTACGACGTTTCGGACGTGGTAATCCTGATGAGTGTCGTAGGTGTCGAGCTTAAATAGTGATTTTTTTCATACACCCTGTATATTAAAAAAAATTACTTACGATTTTGTCGATCAATTTTTTGTAAATTGAATCGTCATTGCATGATTTTAAATCGTTTAAAAGTCGGCTTAAAGTGGAATTTTCGGGGCAAATCTCATAATTTGTGGTAAATTTCAAATTTGTAATGGGGGCCATACCAAACGACTTGAAATGTTACCCTGAAATTAATTAGTAATTAATTGAGAATTGTGTGCTTACAAATAAATAATTTTACATAAAACACGTTAGTTTTTGTTGTGATGGTTTTTTTGAAAAGTGAGGTTAAATGAAAGTACCAACGTTACTTGACAAAAATCACTATTGAGAATAATTGCAAATTTTGCATTTTTCTAACTTACTGATACTTTTTTCGTGTTTTGTTAATTGTTAAAACACTGTATTAACCGAACTGTTGATAATTTGCGTTTGTTTGTGTTAAAATTGTGGAAAAAATTCAAAATTGGCGCTTGTTTTTGACAGTAGCCATTCCAAGGTCACGAAAATGGTACCGATAAGACTTTCATCGTGAATAATTGTTTCTGGTCGATGGATTATGGGTTTATTTTCAGTGATTGCGTCCCATTTCGCCTTTGACTGACTCAAATCGCACCCACGATGAGTTTCCTCTTGTAAGTACCCCCCAAGTGACACTTAGCCCCCTTACTAGCCCCCTTGTAGCGGTAGCCGCTCGTCTAAGACCTTCAAGCCCAAAAAGAACATCCCTGAAGGCACCCACCAATACGAATTAATGAAACACGCTGCGGCCACTTTGGGCTCTGGAAACTTGCGTTTGGCGGTGATGCTCCCCGAGGGCGAAGACCTCAACGAGTGGGTAGCCGTCAACAGTACGTACTCCAAGTCTCACCAACCCCACAAATACAGCCCCCTTGTTTCCAGCTGTAGATTTCTTCAATCAAATCAACATGTTGTACGGGACAATCACCGAGTTTTGCACTGAGGAGAGTTGCCCCATTATGTCGGCGGGCCCCAAATACGAATACCATTGGGCTGATGGTCACACTGTTAAAAAACCGATCAAGTGCTCTGCACCCAAATACATTGATTATCTCATGACATGGGTGCAAGACCAACTCGATGATGAGACGCTTTTTCCCTCGAAAATTGGGGTTCCATTTCCGAAGAATTTTCTCTCGATTGCTAAAACGATTCTTAAGAGACTTTTTCGTGTCTATGCACACATTTACCATCAACATTTTAGTCAAGTTGTGCAATTAGGGGAAGAGGCACATCTCAATACCTCTTTCAAGCATTTTATTTTTTTCGTTCAGGTGAGTCAACATGAGGGGGATCCCCAATAATAATTTTTTTCTTTCAGGAATTTAGTTTAATTGAGCGACGAGAACAAGCCCCTCTTCAAGAATTGATCGATAAATTGACAGCAAAGGAAGCACGATGAAAAACAAATATAGTGCCACAAATCGTGAGACAGGGTACAGGATTATGGGGGCACTATCTATACTTAAAAACAAGATAACAACTTATTTATTGCACTTAACCACGTAGGCGACAATTTACTACTACTGAGTGTTGTTTGTTAATTAAGCTTCATTTTTCTATATATTATTTATTATATTTTTGTTCCTGTTTTTTTTTCAAGTTTATGATTAGGTATTTTTTGTATTTTATTGACCACAATAAATTGCGCTTTTATTCAATTTCACATCTCTAGTCCGCTTGCGAAATTTTTAACCATGTATTATAAATCTATTTTTAGAATCAATATACACTAGTAAGGCCCCCTCAGCACACATCATTTTTTTTTGGAATCTACCCCGTTTAAAATACCTTTAAAAATGTTAAAATTTTAAGGAAGCTGCCTTGATTTTTTATTGGGTCACATTAGCACAAAACACTTGAAATTCACTCAAATTAATTTATTTACTAAAAATTAATATTTCATTTATAAAACTGTTCAATTACAGTTAGTAATGGAGGGTAAAATTGGATTTTCATCCATGAAAACCTCTGAAACAGAAGAATACAAAAACACAGCCAATAAACAAACAAACCAATTTTTGGCCGGCATTTTGTACGTTATTTGAACACAACAATACAAAAATAAGAATTTAAGTAAAAAAATAACCCTAGATAAATACTTTCAAGTCTTTTTTTTTATAGCGATAAAATTTAAACTCGTCTCCTTCCGGTAACATAACCGGAATTTCCGTTATCGGCCCCCGCCGAATTCAAAAACAACTCAATATATCTATGTTGCATATGACCCTTGTCTTTACTCATTGCTCTCATAGCATCCTCGTGTGATGCAAATTCAACATCTGCTTCACCGGAAGCTCTTCCGGTATGATCTTGCAATAGTTTAACATTGGTGGGAACAATTGGTTTGAAAAACTAAAACCAAAAAATTAATTAATAATAAAAGTGAGGTTATGTGTACATACGTCGGTAATATCGGCCGCTGTAGCTTTAAATGGGAGCCCCCTCATATGGACACAATGCATTGTCCTGTCTCCAGTTTGATTACTTTCACTCCACGAATCAATCTCGTAGGGACTTCGCCCTCCACGTGAATCACTTCCATTGCTCCAAGTTGATGAATTTTTTTCATAATTGTAATCGGAATTGACACCTTTAAAATTGCGTGAACTACGTGATTGGAATCGATTTGAAGTCCCAAAACGATCACCACGGTCGTAGGGGCTCGGTCGTGAATTATATAGCCCCGAATTGGAGCCTCGACGATTATTGTACCCCAAAACGCTGTTCACTTCCGATAAACTACTTCTGAATATTTCGATGTATCTAAAGGGGGCACAAATGCGATTGGTATTAATGTCATGACGGCTCAAGATGGGGCTGTCGGGACAAAACTTACCTCAATTCGGACACTATCACATTTATTTTTTGACAAAACTTGTGTGTTTAAAATAATTGTGAAAGTGACCGAAAACCGATAGATAAAAAAGGGAGCCCCCATTCCCTCCCGTACCCCACCTGTGTCCAATTTTTTCCCGATGTTTCAGCAGAGCTTTCTCTGCCACTTCTTTAGTAACAAACTGTACGTAAGCCTCCCCCGAACTCCGCCCTGAGTAGTCAGTCAGTAGAGTTATCCCATTTGGTACTATCTCCAACCCTACCCAAATAACCCAATCAACCCTTGAACTCAACAACACGAAAAAAATTAAAGGTGTAGTAAAAAATGAAAAGAATTTCTCGCGACCACTTTACACACACCCAACGACGTACCGGTGAAAAACTGCGCAATCTCCTCCTTCGAACACCCGAATGGTAGCCCCCTTAATCTCACACAGCCGTCATCGTTGACACCATAAGTCGGACCTGACCGTTTAATCACCCAATCCATTTCCGCCTTGTTCACCTTGAAAACTAACACAGAATAAACACACCACAGCCCCCATAAACCCACCTTCGATGTATCTACTCCCGATGTGCTCCCGGTCTTTCCTCAAAGCCACATTCAAGTCTTCCTCACTCTCAAACTCGACGAAAGCCTCACCGCTGGGGCGACCCTCACGTGACGAAGTCATATGAATACCAAGTTTACCATTAAATACTTTGCAATTCTTGAAAAACTTTAAAATGTCTTCGGTGGTCGCCGACCATGGCAAACCGCGCAATTTCACGATGTAACCCTCGTCGTGCTCACTCAATGACATGACCTACGGACAAAACACATGAAATCACATGGAATTACACAAAATCAAACGCACTTTTAGTCAATTCACACGATTTAAACGCAATTACAAATTCGCAAAAAGATGCTTACAAAATGGCGAAAACAAAAGTGACAGCAAGGGCTACCAACTCACACCAATTTTCACGAAATAACACTCACAAAAAACAAAATTTGGATAAGTAAGCCCCCTCACGGGTGTTCCACCCCAAACCGCACCATTTGATTCAATTAAAAACAAGTTTGGACAAGAAATTTGAAATTGTTCAATTGACTAGTTTGTGTTGGCACTTCTGATGTTATGTCATACTTGTCATTTATCACTCGAAGAAAAATTGCAAAATTCGATTCAAAAACTAGTTTTTAGTGTAGTTAGTGCCATTAGAAGATGATTTTGAGTAAATTGCGTCCACTTTTGGCGCAAAAAGCGCAAGGTGAGTGTCAAGTCAGTATGGGGGCTATTATGTAACCCCCTTTTGTAGTGTTTGGGCGTCCGATGTCGGAGCACCGAGTGTTTCCCATACAACCATCACGTTGGCAATGGAACAAATTCAAAGATTTGTTCCACTATTATATAATGTTGGGGGTTATACCATTGGGGCTTGTCACTCTCTATGCCAATGTTTTTATCGGTCCGGCGACTCTGAGTGAGATACCTGAGGGGTACACACCGAAATATTGGGAATATTATAAGGTAAGTGTGATAGTTGTGAAAGTGAGGTTATGTTTGTTTTTTTTTGTTTCAGAGTCCAATAACTCGGTTTTTGGCTCGGTACATAATGACAAGTCCGCAACAAGATTACGAGAAATACTTGTGTTATTTATTCATGGAAAATGAGAAGCGCCAATTACGAAAATTAGAAAAACAAATCAAGGAAAAAATCGCTGAAAGACGTGATTATCAGGCCTATTATTATCGTCCTGTTATGGCGAAATATCACCGAGTTCAACGCGAAGCTTCCGATTATTTAGAATCAATTCGTGGGGAATAAATAAAATTGTCGTAGTCGTCTGTGAAACAATCGTTGCTAAGGTTAGTCAATAAATAAACAAATAATAAATAAAGTTTGTAAAATTGTGCAAAAACCAAAAAAATACGTCTAGTGTTAAGTAGAAATGACTTCCCGTCAAGGAATCCTTTTTCCTTTAACGTCTTTGTACGTTGGAGACTTGCACCCCGATGTGACTGAAGCCCTATTGTACGAGAAATTCTCCCCAGCTGGTCAAATCCTGTCTTTGAGGGTGTGTCGCGATTCGAGGACCAAACAGAGTCTCGGTTACGCTTACGTGAATTTCAGTCAAACGATCGAAGCTGAACGTGTCTTGGACACGATGAATTTTGACTTGCTTAAGGGGAAACCCATCAGGATTATGTGGAGTCAACGGGACCCTTCGTTGCGAAAATCGGGCATTGGTAACGTATTTATCAAGAATCTGGATAAGAGTATTGATAATAAAGCCATGTATGATACGTTTTCCGCATTTGGAAATATACTTTCGTGTAAAGTTGCAATTGATGATGATGGTGTCTCGAAAGGTTACGGTTTCGTCCATTTCGAGAGTGTTGAAGCTGCAAATAAAGCGATCGAAAAAGTGAATGGTATGCTTTTGAATGGTAAGAAAGTCTACGTGGGGAAATTTATACCACGAGCTGAACGTGAGAAAGAAATCGGGGAGAAATCCAAGAAATATACCAATGTTTATGTGAAGAATTTTGGCCGAAATTTGACTCAAGACCAACTCTATGATTTGTTTAAAAACTACGGTACAATCACATCGTGTGTTATTATGACCAATCCGGATGGTACTTCGAAAGGTTTCGGTTTTATAGCATTTGAAGATTCTGAAAGTGCTGAAAAAGCTGTTACTGAAATGAACAATTATGATTTAAACGGTACGAATTTATACGTGGGACGTGCACAGAAAAAATCTGAACGTATCAAAGAACTGAAAAAATGTTACGAACAAATGAAACTCGAACGTTATAACCGGATTCAAGGTGCGAATGTTTATATCAAAAATTTGGATGATACTTTTGATAATGACCGTTTACGTAAGGAATTTTCACAATTTGGTACAATTACTTCAGCGAAAGTGATGACTGAAGGTGGGCGGAGTAAAGGGTTTGGTTTTGTTTGTTTTTCAACACCTGAGGAGGCGACTAAAGCAATTACTGAAATGGATGGACGTATGATTGGTTCGAAGCCGATTTATGTTGCACTAGCGCAACGTTATGAAGATCGTAGGGCGTATTTAAGTGCGCAATGTATGCAAAGGATTCGTCATCAGACAATGTCGCCGCCTTTAACCACGCCCCAATTTCTTATACCAACCCTTCCGCGGTTTTATAATCATGTGGCTCAGATTCGTCCGACGCCTCGTTGGACGGCTCAAGTACCACGTTTGAATGGTACTTATAATATGCCCCTCCTACCGGCTACGCCTTATAGATCGACGTCACGCCCACAAGTTCAGATTAATCGAAGTGCGAGACCGATTACGGGACAACAAGTGCCCATTGCAAGACCGAATAGTAAGTATACGGCGAATGCGCCCCCAAGAGGAGTTAATGTGTCGGTGGGGAATGGGGGCGATCCAGGAGCTGATGATAAAAGAATGTTGGGGGAGAGAATGTATCGTGTGATTGAGAAGACGTATCCAGAGATTGCAGGGAAGATTACTGGAATGTTATTGGAGATTGATATAAGCGAATTGAAGGCTTTGGTAAATAATGAAGGTTCGTTGAAGGCGAAAGTCGAGGAGGCGGTCGCTGTGTTGCAAGCGCATAATAAGGGGTTGACGGTGCAGGATTAATTTAAGTATTGTTGGATTTAAGTTAATTTATGTATTAAATGTTGATTTTTGATGAGTTAATTTTGTTTTTCGAAAGTCGGTAAGTTGGGAACCTGTAATCATGACTGGTCCAAAAATGAAAAATTTGCATACAACAAATAATTTAATTAAAACAAACGTAATCAGTCACTAGAATATCTTTTTCGTCCTCATTGGAAGTAACGATTCCTTTGCATAATTGAAAAAAGTGAGCAAACCGTATTTTCGTTTTTTGGAGAAATAATTTGAAACGACGTCACTATCTGCAAAAAATCATTTTTACTTTACTTTCCATTTTATTTGCGTGTTTAATCACCTTTTTGTTCACTTATTGTGGGTAAAACACTGTCATTTGCTGATAAGGATACAAATAGGGCAAAGGGGACGAGCCATAACCATAAAACAAAATACGCCATGACCTTGAAACACAATTAAAGTCGCCTGAAATGTTGAGTTGATATTTTTACCTCTGAAAATACGTAATGTACGGTCGCAAAATACGTAAATGCGAAATAATGGTTCAAAACTAGCAAAATCACGGCGGAAATAAACTCCAATGAGGTTAGAGAGACTGAGGGGAAGTGTCTCAAAATGCAGAAATGAGCCACTTGGGCTAAAACCCCACATACAATCATATAAGTGGGGAAACTCTCAAATAGCCACAAACAGACGTAAAGGGCTGTTACAATCTGCAATTTTTACGTAAATTTGGGGTTAATTTTAAATTCAACTTACTGTATTTGTCCACCAAATGCATTTTTTCGCAATTGTGGAATACTCTTCGACTAGTTCGGCTAAATAATACAGACCTGCAGCTATGGGGTAAAAAATGAGGTTAGGTTTGAACAATCCCCAAATTACTCACCTATAGCAATTGTTATGAAAACTAATTGTACAATTATTGCCAAATAACCGATGTACGTTAAAAACCACATTGTTTTTATGTTATTTAATTGATTTACATGATTTTACGAAAATTTTTTCTGTCAATCTAGTAACAACAGTGCTACCAATCTAAATATTTCTCATCAAATCTTGCATCTTCTGAACTAATTAATATTTCTGATTTTCTTCTTCTTTTCTTATTATTTAATTAAACAATTTTTTTAACTTAATTTAATTATTTGGGTGGCCTAAATCAATAAACCGTACATTAAACCCTATCAGTGCTGCCAATCAACATAGTTTTAGAACCAGAGAAATAACCAAGTTTTTTAAAATTCGTTTATTAATGATTAAATTCGTTTAAGACAGCAAAATGATGATAAATCGTCGGGGGCAAATCCGGCGAATGCACCCGTCGTCCAACATCCACATTTAATCCACACAAAGTATTATAAAAAATCCTTTCTTCCTTTTTAATCCAGGGCCTGCGGTCATCCTGAATCTGATACGGACTCACATGAATCCTCACTTGAATCTCTACAATCCCAAATTGTACGAAAAAACATTAAAAAAATTCCCAAACCCACCAAACTTTGCCAAAGACTCCAACACCGCCTTGGAGGTAACCCATGTGTTTTTCCCCCCACTGTGGCCCCCATCCAACCAAAACATAGTTTTGATTCTCTCCACAAACGGTGTTTTTTCTTGCAACGTATAAAACTCGTAAAGAAATTGATTCAAAACAACGCAACCTTTACTAAAACCTATTAAAACCAAATCAAGTTCACTTAAAGTGTCATGAGTGTTTTTTTCCAAATTTTCGATTAATTTCTCGAGATGGTCAATCGCATGATGCATCGCAGTGTTTCGGGGAACCCCACAATTCTCACAAGGAGTGAAATTTTCGAAACAACTGAACGTCTTGTACTCCATCCTGATAAAAGTTCATCAAAAAGTGTCACAAATCGGGGGTAAAATACCTCGATGGACGAATTAAAATAATATGTGAGTCGGGAAATGCATTTTGGAGTATTTGACTCGTTTTATCTAAACTCCATTCGAGGTAGTTTTTATTATCTCGATGGGTTTCCATATTTTCGGTGAAATCCTGAAAATAGAATTGGGGTTTTTTATTTTTTCTAAGGTGACAGACCTGAATATCGCCCCCGAAGTAAATCACAGCACTTTTGATCCCAGTTTTTTGAAGCGGTTGAGTGTAAATGACGTCATTTGTTCTATTTTCGTATCCATTCACACTGAGATATCTCATAGCCACGGAACCTGGAATTGGGCCAAAAATGTTAAAGTAAATATTTTTTTACGAAATATTTACCTCGGCCGGATTTTTCTCACTCCCAAAGCCCAAATAAAAATAAAAAAAAAAAAAACACCAAAAACACAACAAAACAAAAAACACTAAAACTGGTCCCTATGTCTATACTTCCGACAGCACTCCTCAATCCTCACTCTCGTATCCTCCAAACACTGTCTAAAATCCTCTCGAAACTCCTCAACTTTCACTCTAACTTCCTCTCTCATTAAATTAAAACACATTGCTACCAACCCCATCCCCACCAAAATATAAATAAAATTAATGACAAGTTTTGATTCGTTGCCATTTTGTGAGGCAGTCCCCGGGACAAAATCCCCTAAACCCAATTTACAAAGACTAGTGACACAAAAATACGCACTATCTAAATACGTCCAATGTTCCCATTCGGCGAACATTATAGCCCCTGTGAGAATATAGCCCCCCATGACCCAAAGACAGGCCGTAGTGGGGACCACAATCCTTTTATGGACTTTTTCACCTCGTCGGGTACTACACTCGTACAATTTCGTATAAATCCATTTAAAACAACCGGCGAGTATTTCCCCCACATTGAGGAAATAAAGTACAAATAGGGGAATCCCAAACACTGCGTAAACTACAGTCGCGAATTTCCCCCAACCGGTCCGGGGGACTAGATTCCCATACCCGATCATTGTTATAACACTTAAAGCGAACATCAAAGCGGCTGGAAACGTCCACATTTTACCCATTTCGTGCCCATTGTACCCCTTTTTAATCACCACAACCATTTCATTTTGGAAACATTTGAGTTTCTCATTTGTGGCGATAAAAAACTCAGTTTTGTTAAAAACATTCGTTTTGTGTGCGACTAACCACAACAAACGCGTGTAATTCCCCCGAATTAAATCGACTTTTGTCACGGAAGTGTCGTTAAAAGTCGACTCGAGACGACTGAAGCCGACAGCCCCGATTAAAGTGTAACACACGACAAGAGCCCCCACGCCCACTTGCGAACACATAAATGCAATGAATTTGCGAAAATAGTCTTTGATTTTCTCGCGAGGGTCGGTTTCGGGTGTGTAACGACGACGAGGCATGGCGGAAGACTGCCAAAGGGGGCTAAAAATAGCCCATAAATGGTTCACTATGCAACCAGTTATACACGCGATGCTATTTTTATGGTACTCACCTGAAGGGGGCTTCCAGAGTGGGCACTAATTGGTTTTGGGGCGCGTTGGTAAATTGTTTTATTTAACCTCAATTTTGGTTAGTGACGTAAGATTTAGGGAAATTTGGGACTAAATTTAGTGAAATTGGAAATTTAAGTCGGTGATGCCCCTAAACACTAATTTTTGAAGATTTGGGGGCTACTAGACGCGATTGACCAATAAAATATTGTTTATTCACGACAAATTCTGGATAAATCCTTACAGTGTGACTTACATTACAAAAAAATCTCGGTTTTTGTACAGAGTCGCCCACATTTAAAACTAAAAAATGTCATTAATTGACAAAATGATAAAAAAGCATGTAAATTACATATTGTTATAGTAATTGAATACATAATGAGAAAAAAAAAGTGTAATTCTTAACGACGATCTCTGGAATCTGATCGGCTGCGTCTATCCCTGCTGCGTGACCTCGACCTCGGTGAACGCGACCGTCTGGGTGACCTCGACCTATAAATACAATAATTTTTATTTGAACCACAAAAACCCTAAATGAAAACAAAACAAAAAAAATTAAAACATCTTACGATGGGAATTACGTTCTTTTTTTTTGAATGAAACCAGGCACAAACATCTCTAATGACATACATTGAATATAGCGGGTGTTTCGAAAATGATTGACTGCCTTTTTGATACATTACCGTAGCCAATCATTTTACGAGTGACACACCGTATATAATTGATAATAAAATCCCACCAATTAGAATGAAGAAAGGAGGAGAATTTAAAGTTGGTTGGTATTGACGCGCCGTTGACATGTCGTTGATTTTTGGCAATTTTTGGTTCAACCACAGAGACGCGTTGATTTTTTTAAATCAGTACTGGTGAGTAGTCAGTCGCGCACCACTGATGGTGGATGTAGCTGTTGTTGGGTGTGTCGATGTATTTGATGAGATGTGTGGCCGGGGAGGGGGTGGGTCTCAGTCGGGGGGAGAAAACAACAGCAGTGGCGCTGCCCTGCAACGTGCGCCAAACCACTTTAACTGCTGCCGACGAACGCGCGATTTTCATATATCATTAACTCACAGAGGGAAAAAAAAACAAACAAAATCAATCCCTACCTTACCCACTTACAGGAAACTGTAATACCCACACACTTACCTTATTTTCGGACCTGGATCGCTACAAAACAATCTTTAAAATAATAATAGCACCCCTATGAGTTAATGACAATGATCAAAATCTTGTAACTAAAAACCTGCTTGTTTCCGTGTTCCTTGTTACAAACCTGGAGTATCTCATGGGGCCACGTCGGCTCCCGCCCCTCCTTGATCGTCCATTGGACATTTCAACCCGGACACGGGTCCCACAACAACGCCTAAAAAAAAAACATGTAAACCCCATCATGGGTCTATAGTGAAGACTCACGTTCCATCGAGGCCTCGAACAGCATCCTCGGCGTCTCTCGGATCCTCAAATTCGACAAAAGCGAATCCTGGGGGGTTTCTAGCAACCCAAACGTTCCTCAAAGGTCCATATTTACTAAAAGCGCTCTCGATTTCGTGTTTACTAGCCGATGAACCTAAATTGCCGACGTAGACCTTGCATGATAAATCCCATTCGCGATAACGAGACATGTTTGCAGGTATAATGGAGAAAAACGGGTTTTTAGGTGAAAGTACGCCCCTGAAAAAAATTACAGTTTTTCGATTGGATTTTTGCATAAGTTGGACACTTACAGTGAAAGAAGCACAAAACGAGTGAAATTTACACGATTTAGACTTAACTTTAGGTAAAAATTGAGATAAAATAAACGTGGACAACAACGCAAAAGCGTCTATTTTTACAAAATGGCGGCGGTTTACGCATGCGCATTGTACAAAATTCAAGGCGCCAAATTTAAAATTAAATCAATAAAAATAATTTATTAGCAATAATCGATACAAAATAAAGACAGTATCAATCACACATCGACTGGAGCGTTTGAAACTTCAGCCAAATCCTGTTTCGCTTTCAATTTCTCTCGAATTAACTCGGCCATGGCTTTTTGTGTCCGTTTGGCCAATTTTTCGAGTTTTTTCTCAACGTCACGTTTCAAATCCCAATCGGGTTGTCTTGGAGCAAGGGATGAAATGTCCAATTGATCGATAACCATGTCACTTTTAGCCAAATCGAGCAAATCCTTGACTTCATTCCTCACATCAATTGATTCACGTTTTTTGACTAAATGTTCATTCAAATTCTTGTCTTGTGGCCTGTAACTGCGAAACTTTGGCCTGAAAACCACAATTAAGCAAAGAAAAGTAACTTTGGGGGTGTTTTACGTGGGTAAAGTCTTGGTGGCATCATTGTCATTTTTTGCGTCGTTGGGTGTTTCTTCGCGTTTGCGTTTGAGTGATTTTAAACGTTCTTGTCTTTTACGTGCTTGTTCTTCTAAACTGTTCACTTCTTCGCTCATTTTTTCGATTTTTGAAAGCGTCATAACCTAAATTTTTAGGGATTTTGTTTGACGATTGGTAATAGTTTTGGTGATTTCAATGGCGGTGTTGTGTCAGAAATTGTAATTTTTAGAAAATTCAACGATTTTTTTGTGATAAAAACCGTGAAAATGATGGAAAACAAGGGTGGAAACAGCGACGAAGGTGATTTGTTACGTTTTTTTCCTTTTGTGCGAAATGAGAACTTTTTTCTAGAATATGCCTCAAAATCGAAGCAAAGTAATGTGTTGCCCCTTTGGGGCAACGAACGAACCATGAATCTAAACCCTTTGATATTGACAAATATACAAAGTTCGCACTATTTCAAAGGTGAGTAAGTTGGATCAAGTAGGTAGTCAAATGTCACAATTCTAACCTTATTTTTGGTACCCCCTTTAGTCAACTTGTACGAATTGAAGACATACCACGAGGTTGTTGATGAAATCTACTACAAAGTGAACCATTTGGAGCCCTGGGAGAAGGGTTCACGTCGTACGTCGGGTCAAACGGGTATGTGCGGGGGTGTGAGAGGCGTCGGTGCCGGGGGCATAGTCTCCACAGCTTACTGTCTCCTCTACAAACTTTTCACATTGAAACTGACACGAAAACAAGTCAACGGCCTCATAAACCACTGCGATTCGCCTTATATTCGAGCGTTAGGTTTCATGTATATAAGATACACTTTGCCCCCTAAAGACCTCTTGGAATGGTACGAAGACTATCTAGAAGATGAAGAGGTGCGTACAAACAGGTAGAGTGCCATCTATCGTATTTGAAACGTGTTGTTTTTTTTATTGGTGTTGAATGTTGTTTTATTTAATTTATTGCAGGAATTGGATGTTAAAGCAGGTGGGGGCCAAGTCATGACCATTGGAACAATGTTGAGACAATGGTTGGTCAAATTGGAGTGGTTTTCGACGCTTTTTCCACGAATTCCGGTGCCTATACAGCAGAAAATACAAAAACATTTGGAAGTAATTAAAAAGGACTAAGTTTGGGGGATTTTAATTTTATTATTATTTTTTTTTAGGTTAGATTCCCTCCATATGCCATCAAAGCAGCCGCTGCTGCTGCTGCTGCTGCTGCCGCAGCAACAGCAGCAACAACAACAACCAATGAGAGGCCGAGAAATACTGACAGGGAACGTAATGATTGGTCACGTGACAGAGACAGACATAGTGTTAGAGAAGATATAAGGAGGGATTTTTTACGTGATAATGAGAGAGAACGACGAAGAGACAGATATAGGGATGATAGACGACATGATAAGAAAGTCAGAGAGAGAAGTCGGGAACGTGACAGAGAAAGAGATAGGAGTCCCCATAGAGACCGGGAGTACAGTAAACACAGAAAAGGACACCATAGATAAATTTATTTCACTTTTTCTCACATTAGAATTACACTTAAGTACACTTTACGGAATTTATTTTTGTTTTGAGTTTTTTTAATAAAGTTCTTTTTCCTAAAATTCGTTTTCTTTACATCAAAGTTGGCAGTTATAAAATAGTGATTGTTATTTTGTTTGGTTGGCAATATAAAATTGTCAATTTTTATGATGATTTATTACATTTATTAGGCACACCAAACAAATAATTTGGGGTTATTTAAAGAAGTGTTTAAATTTGTACAGTTGTCGCGGTTTAAGTGTATTTTTTGGTGTGAAAATTGTTGTGGTTGGTATTGGTGTGGTTTTGTGTTTGTGTCCGCAGCGCCCCCTGTTCTTCCTCCAAGTGTCATCGTGTGAAAATGTCGTTAATTTTGAACGTAATCGCGTAAAATCTCGTTTAAATTGAATAAAGTGTGTCGTTTTGTGGTTTTTGCGTGCAAAACCACAGTTGTTGTGTGCCTTTGGTGTGATTTTCTCGGTAAAAAGTGCGTCGGATTTGTGCGAAATCCGTTTGGCGCGCTTTGACCAAACAGTCGTTTTAATGGCCGCAAAAGCAGTCTTTCTCGATGGACTTGGACGTTGAGGGGCTGTGATGAGAGTTGGGGACGCATGTCGTCTTACTGGGCTGTGATGGCGTGCCCCAAATCGAAGAGCCGCAAGGCCGAGCTCTCGGAGCCCGACTCCACTACCAAGGAGGCCGACTTCGGGCCCGGCCAAGATGTGCTACTCAAACAGAAGGACGGCAGGTACTATCTGGGAACGGTGGTCGAAGTGGATGGGGCGAGAGAACGATGTCTTGTTAAATTCGGAGATAATACAGACAGTTGGTCAAGTTTCAAGGATTTGACCAAATTGAGTCAACCACAACAGGAGGATTTGTTGTGTGTCGTTTGCAAGAAATCCACGCCCAAAAACAACACGGAAATCACAGTCTGTGATAAATGCGGCAGGGGATACCATCGCAAGTGTCATCAGCCCGAAATTCCCAACGAATGCCAAAAAGAAGGTAAATGGGGCCCCCCTAATAAATTTGACAAATGACAGATTGAAAAAATAGCCTACTGTGTTGTTCTTTTTTTTTTTGATAAATTTCTCAGGTTGCCATGGTTTTTTGTCCGTCAAATTTAAAAAATTGACAATTTTTTATGAAAACACTGAAATATTTGATCGTTGCTATGGTTTTTGATATCGCTTTTTGTTGTTTCAATACAATAATGCCAACTTGAAGCAAACAAGTTTTGTTGATTTTCTGAGTAATGAAAATTTCTTGAATAAATTCCTACGTTTCGTATCAGATAATGTCGTCTTAATTACATTTTTATCGCTTAAATTTCACAATTTTTGCAATTCTTGGGTTTAAGAATCACCTTGTGTGTGCACATAATTTAGAAAAAATCCACTTATTTTTATGGAAATTGATGATTTTCTAAACTAATTATTAATTTTTAATCGAGTTGCCAGAAAATCAAATGATGTCATGGTTTCTACTGTCGTTTAGTTTTTTGTTTTTTTCGTTTAGTAATTACAAGATTTAAAATATTCACTTATTTTTATGTTTCAATGTAAGAAATTTCAAAAATATCGATTTAATTGCGTCTTGAAATATTCTATAAAAAATCTAAAGGAAAATAGAAAGTTTTTGTGAAGAACACTAAAACACATAATCGTTGCTATGGTTTTTTACGTTAATTGATTGTCAAAATTGATAATGCCAACCTGAAAAAAAGAAAATGTTCAGTTTTTGGACAGTTTTGTAGAAAAAATAAAAAAAAATCTATTGATTTTGTAATTTATCGTTTAGTTTTTTGTTTTTTTTTTTATTTAATAATTACAAGATTTAAAATATTTACTTATTTTTGTGTTTCAATCTAGGAAATTTCAAAAATATCGATTTAATTACGTCTTGAAATATCCTATAAAAAATCTAAAGGAAAATAGAAAATTTGTATGAAAAACACTAAAACACATAATCGTTGCTATGGTTTTTTACGTTAATTGATTGTCAAAATTGATTATGCCAACCTGAAAAAAAGAAAATATTCAGTTTTTGGACACTTTTGTGAAAAAAAATTCTTTTTTGACAAAGAATGAAAAGAAAATGTATTAATTTTGTAATTTATCGTTTAGTTTTTTGTTTTGTTTTTTTTTTTTTTTTAGTAATTACAAGTTTTAAATATATACTTATTTTTATGTTTCAATGTAAGAAATTTCGAAAATGTCGTCTTTAAATATCCTATAAAAAATCTAAAGGAAAATAGAAAGTTTTTGTGAAAAACACTAAAACACATTATCGCTGCTATGGTTTTTTACGTTAATTGATTGTCAAAATTGATTATGCCATCCTGAAAAAAAAAAATGTTCAGTTTTTGGACAGTTTTGTAGAAGAATGAAAAGAAAATGTATTGATTTTGTAATTTAATTAACTAATAAGAAAAACTGTGTAATAGTTTTCGTAGTTTTTAGCATTATTTAATTAATTTTAATCACTGTCAACTACATTAAAAAAATAGTATTTTTTCTTAATATTTACTGACATTTTATTGCGTTTTATAAAAATGTCAATTTTAAAAAAAAATGATTTTTGGCCATTAAACGGTTGCTATGGTAAAAACTGTCGAATTTTTTACAATTGACCACTAAAGGTTGCTATGGTTTTAAGTCATTTGTGAACTGAAAATCGATAATGCCAACTTGAGAGTGTTAAAGTTTCTAGTTTTTTTTGAAAATTCCTCTTTTTTTTTTTCAAGATTCAGTATGGATGTGTAAAAGATGTACAAGCAGCGAACCACATAGACTGAAAAAAGCCGATTCGAAGCATCTGAAGCGAGAATCTCGAAATGCGGCTTCGTCGAGTAGTGATAGTCGTTTTATTGCTCCGATTACAAAAGTATTACCTTACGATGTGAGTTTTGCTTTTTTTATTTTTTTCTCAATAATTTTTATATTAAAAATTTCAGGTAAATTCGCTTACATGGGATACATATCATCGAGTTAACGCCGAACATACTTATTGTTATTGTGGAGAAAACGGTGAATGGTACAAACAAATGTTACAATGTGCGAGGTGTAAGCAATGGTTTCATGAGAGGTGTTTGGATTGTCTTCAATATCCTTTATATTGTGGAGACAGGTAAATAGACAAAAATTGTATTGTTTGTGTTTTTTTAATTGAATAATTAAAGGTTTTATGTGTTTGTTTGTTCGATTTGTAATCATGGAAAAGAGTTTTTGAGACGTTTAGAAATGAAATGGGTCGATCTTGTCCATTTGATGCTTTTTAATCTAACAGCTTACAATAGCAAAAAATACTATGATTTGGATACGATTGTAATACCTTATATCAATGATAATTGGCACGCTTTACAACTACCACCAAAGGTGCGAAAAAATCCCCAATTTTGATACAATTTTTCTTACTCGAATTTTTCTAGATCATTTCTGTAAGTAAATCAGAACGTCGTGACAACATCCTTTCAGTTCTCACAAACAATCGAAATCGTTTTAAATGTGGTCGTGAAATTAAAAAACGTACTACAATATGGGGACTTCGTGTACGTTTACCACCACCAGCTCCAACAGTAACTTTAAATTTTATTGGGCGTGTTTCGGAGGAGGAGCTTCGTGAAATGTGGCAAGGCAATCGTCGTTTACAATTTCTAACACCATCCGAGGGCGTGGTCGTACCATGTGATAATCATATGCGTGCTCTTATGATGGGTGTGTCTTATCAACAAAATGGTAATCCATCTGAAACCGATTCGCCATGTCCTAGTCCTGAAAGGGAGGAGCCATTACCACATTTATTAGCCGGTTGTGCGAAAAAAACCGTCCCATTTTCGAATATAACCGGTCAAAGGCGTGGCAAACGACGTAATACGACCAATGAGGAGTCAGAAGGTGGTTATTTAACACGTTTGAGTTTAGATAGTAAAGGTTATAAGAGTGAATCACTGCCATTGACTCCGCCTACTTCAGTTTCGGCACCGCCTACACCACCAGCATCCGGTTCGAATTCATTACTTTCCGATGATTTTTCGGAACCGTTGAAAAAAGTCGATTTAAATGATACATCAGGTGATGAAACATCATCGAAAAGCACACTTGATTTGATAATACCACCACCGAAAGATTTCGAAGGAAAAAATAATCCATTTTTGACGTTATTAAGAGGCGGAGATGAGCCGAAAAAAAGGCGGAGCAAAGATACTATTACTTTACCTCTACCTTTAACGGCTGTGATACCAGGAAAACCATTAATGAGACCGAAGAAACGCCAATTGAGCGAAAAAGATATTTTTATAGGACCCAATGGTGAAGTTAAGAGGCGGAGATTAAGGAGGAGCCGATTTGAGAAAACTGCAAGTAAAACTGCGACGGTTCTGCCGGTCAGAGCTGATTCGAAAGAGTGGGCGGGACAGAGGGGGGTACAAGGGGAGTACGCTTTCAACGGTCGGAGGTTCATTTGTTTATATAATTAAGATTGAAAAAAAAACTAAAATGATTTTTTTTAGGTTGAGACAGCGACCGGAGAAACCCCCCGAAAAGGAGAAGGTGGCGCCACCAGCAACTACAAAATCGAGTCCGGTGAAACAGGAACCGGAAATCAACATGGACGACTTGAAAAGTTCGGTGAATATTTATTTCGGTGCAGCGAATCGTATCGCAGCAGGCGAGAGGTTTGCGGTGAAGGCGAAAAGAGTCGGTCCTAGCGGAAAACTGGAGTTTTTGATCGAGTGGGAGGGGCCTGGAAACGGGATGACTTGATTGACCAATCAAATTGTGTTCATGTGACCATTATGGCAAGAGGCGGTGCTTTGTAAATAATAATAATAAAAACAAATTGTAGTTAAATGTGTTAATGGTCACAGTTTTTTGGGACAGTTCCTTGCACGCGAAATAGTTGGACTACATTACAAAAAAATATAAAACTACTGAAAACTTCCGAGTTTGCCAAAGAGGCCGATATTCTTTTTTCGCTAATCAAATAACTGCCAATGTTATGAGTCACTGCCAATTGTTTTTTTTTTTTCGTGTGTGTGTATCATGAGTGTAATCCAACTAAAGTTGTGATATAAAACGAGAAAAAGTTAGGGAAATTTTTATTTGGAATTGTAATAAATGGCCTTGACATTTCTATACAGGTGCATTCAGTAATTATTAGTTGGGACATTTAATTTTGTCACTTTTTTTTTCATTTTTTCTTTATTTTTTAAGTATGTAGTTAATGAGACTGAAATTATTTTTACTAGTTTTTATTCACACTTTACTTGGCGTTTATGAAACGTCATTTTCAGTCAAAATTTGTATTTTTATTAACAATTATTGTTAAATAAAGCAACTTGTATTATATTTAGTTTCTTTTGGCGGGAATTCGAATATTTTTACGGCGAGATTTCGCATCGACGACTAATTGTGCTTGACGTTTCAAATAAGTCCTCGATGGGACTTCGTCCTCATCTTCGGAGCCTGTAGGTGGTGGAGGAGGAGCCGGGGAAGTCCCAGTCTGGGGAATTGGAGTCCTGCGAACTAGCCCACTGTACGGACTCGGTAACCATTTCTCTTCAATTTCTTCCAATTCAATTTCTTCCGCAAGGTTTCCTAAAACACCCTTCAAATCACATTTAATACAATTTAGAGTTTCCAAAACTTGGTTTTTAGGCACAGAAACTGGATTTATACAAATTTGTAACTCTTGAACCGATAACAAAATCGTTTGAATTGTTTTATCTTTCACTTGTTTCAAATTCTTGATTTTGTGAGATTTGTTTTGTATTTTTTCGATTTGATTTTGGATTTGTTCCATCTTGATTGACTTTCGTTCAGTTTCTTTGACTTCAGCAAACTTGAAAAACTCTAATTTAGTGTTTAAATCGTCTAAATTCTTCTCCAGTTGCTTTTTTTCAGCTTCCGATTTCTTTCTTAGTAAAATGAGCCGTTCTAGAGTGTCTTTTTGCATATTAAACTTGTGTAAGACTTCCTCCGTATTTGTTGCCCCTGTCGCTTTCTTTAAAACCTCGAAAGCCTTTGTTAGAGTCTCCTCCGGGGGTACCGGAGTCTCATTCTCCTCCTCAATTTCCTCAACAACTCTTGCAACTTTAGCAACTTGAAAAATTCGTTTCTCCAACAATTCCAATTCTTGTTTTCGTCTAGTTACCAATCTTTGGCCTTCCACTGTTTGTTTTTCTCTCGAATGGGCACTTGACATTGCGCTTTTCTCCTCTCGAAGAAGGTGTCCACGTGCTGTGCTCCTCTTCCTCGTCGCTTCATTCATCACCTGTTGCAAGTCGTTAATATCGTCATTTTGCAACTCCAATTCCTCCTCAATTCGTTTAATATTGCTTTCAAATCGGGCCGCGTCTCGTAACAGTGACTTTTTCACGTCTTTATAGCGGGCCGAAATGTGATTTGCTTCCCTCAATTGCACCTCAACGGCATGAATGCTGTTTTGTAGCTCACAAGTGGCTTTTTTCGCCGGTTTGTCGACTCTTTCGACGACTTCTTTGCGCGATTTCTCGGTTTTTAACAGTTGGAATTCTTGACCCAAGTCGGTGAGGAGTTTCTCGCGCTTTTTAATCTTGTAATTGAGCAAATTTAGTGATTTTGATTTGTCGATTATTTGCAAATCTAGCATTTCTTCGATTGTGGTAGTGGTTTTTTCGTCGATTGGTCCCACTATTGATTCGAGTTTCTTATTGGTTGTTTTGAGAGCAGCACTTGATTGGGTTTTTTCTTTCAATTCTTTCACCAATTCTTTGATTTCTTTTTTGAGCTTGTGAATCTCGTCAATGTTTGATTTTCGTTCAGCTTCACAGTCTTCAAATGCTGCCTTTCTTTGGCCCTCTAATCAATTCATTTTTACTCAGAATTGGGCTTTTTACACACTTACCGGAAAGTTGGATTTTTTTCTTTATTTCCAACATTTGTTTATTGATTTCGGCTGGTGCCACATTGACTTGATTCGATTTCATTTCGAAATAAACCACCTCAAGATTTATTTATTGATCAAACATAAAGTGAGACAACAATCAGACTTGTCTTTTTACATGTGTTTCTAGCTTGTAAAACTTGTAATCCATCAACCACAACCAGTAATAAATTTGTAAATAACCATGTGAAGATTTTCCGCTGAAAATAACAGTTAGAAGCAATTACTACATAAATTTACATAACTTGAAGTTATTATAAACCGGAAATTTTCACAATAAGTAATAAAAATTTAAATGGCGCGAATTTTAAATTTTTTGTGTCATTTTTTGATTGGTTTTGGTACAAAAAACCATGGTTACGAACGTGTCCTTTACAAACAATTGTCTTGAAATTGAGTGTTTTGGTAAAACCCCTGTTGCAAATGATTCAAGTGATAGAAATAATCTAATCAGTGTTTTTATTTTTCTTCCGTAAATAAGATAAGTACCAAAATGCAAATCTGAATCCTGAATCCGTCATTGGTCGGTGTGGGAACCACCGACATTCCAACATGTTGCTGTGAAAAGTAGTACCGAAGAAATTTTCTCACGCAATTATCTCCCGTTTCTTGGACTTTTGCATAATAAATTGTGTACCAATCGTTTCAAGACGTGAAAATTTGTGTGTGTTGTGTTTTTGGTGCATTGATTTGACTAGTTTTGAGGTGAATTTCGCGAGATAAATCGGCGTAGGAATACAAGAATCATCCGGTGGCCATCTTGGCGCGTCTCAAACAAAGCCCCCTCTCAGCAGAACGGAGTGTGCTGTGGTCGGTCGTGTATTGTGCGTATTTTCATCGCTGAAAAACCGCAAATTTTCAATGAAAAACACTGAAAAAGTGACCGAAATCACGCGAAGAATGTGTCTCACGTAGTGGTGCGTGTGTGTAGTGGAGTGACCCATGTGGGAATTTACACGAAAATGTGGATTACCAACTGGAAGGATTACGATTTACGGATTATTGTGTTCTCCTTTATATTCCTGGGCGTCGTGCATGTAGCAACAGGTGAGGACCAATTGCAACAATCTCAAAAACAACAATTAACACACAGAAAGACGGCTATGAAATCAAAATTTTGACGTTTTGAGCGAGAGCAAAATGGCGCCGCCGGATGAATTTTATCCCAATTATTGCAGTGCTGGACCACTAATTACACACACAAAATTGCTAATTTGTCCCCGAAGAAAACACACTTCCGGCGAGGAGTGTAAACAAAACATAAGTTTCTCAAGTGCCACTTGATACTCCTATAAACAAATTAGATGGAAAGTGACGGAAAATGATAATTGATTATGTGTTAAGGGATATCCTGGGAAAATTTTACATATCACAAGTTATGCAAAATAACCAGAAATCCGTTGCTATGGTTTTTAATGTCAAATAATAGTTGTTGTCATCGTTGCTATAGTTTTTAATGCATCGTTGTCATGGTTTTAACAATTTTAATTCACTTTCTTTGGTGATAAAAATGATAAAATGACATTTGTGGGCTTTCACCCGATTATTGACAAAAATTCATCGGAAATGTGACTCAACAAGTCAAATTGACACAAGAAAATCGCGTTATCGATGACTTGTAATGTAATGAAGATGTAGTTAATTAAGTGCGAGGATTATGTGCACTGTTAAGTGTAACAAACCTGTTGTATTTCCGCGCTATTGTGTGTGAAAAGCGCGCAAATTTACTAAAAGATTTCAACGTTGGATGAGAACACAAACCGAAATTTTAATTAGTCGCGAAAAAAAGTTTCTTGCATCATTTGACGGAAGAACCGATAAACTATAAAATATTTTATTAATTAGTTTAGTTCTCAGAATAAGTTGCATGAAACCAGTTATTTAGTTCACGCAATCTGCATCTATAGTGAGTGTTGTTGTGTTTCTATATTATGATGTATTCCCAGCTCGCTCACTTTGTTCTTTCTCTAGGGAATTTGAATTTTAATCATCGTAAAAATTATAGCGAGGGAAAAAAAATTGTTGCGATTTGAATGTAAGTACGCGTAGGGCGAGACCACCTGTCATGACCGTTACAAGGGGGGTTTAAAATACGTCGGGTGTGACGTCACGACACAGCTGTATAGTACACATCACACATAAAAGAACGTTTTCCGATGGATAAACGATAGATTAGATATAGTCACAAACTTTTAAAAAAAATTATGATAAATCAAAACGAAAAATGGTGCAACATGACGAAAATTAATGAAAAAGGGTGAAAGTGGGCTTTTTCCCGCCCAAAATCATCATTGTTACCATGGAAATGTTCAAAATTTGACAATGAACACCATTCAATTGATTGTTACCACGGAAACGTTCAAAATTGGGGAAATGTTTAATTTGTCAACATGAAAACCATAGCAACTAGATTTTCTTTGTTTCTCTAGGGCCACTGCAAAAATTTCTTTGTTTGGTTGTTGTTTAATTCGCAGGTGTTTTAATTAAGATTCTTTGCCCATAAGAGAAAAATGTCGGACGTCTTATAGTCACCATACTCGAAATGGAAATAAGGCAACTATCTGACTAATTCTCTCCGCTTTGCGTTTTATTTATAACCGTGTTTTTCTCATTACGGCACTCGAATGGCAAATAAACATTTTTTTTATTATTTTTTTTTAAATTGAAACAAAGTGTCATCAACTCTCGGCACATAATGAATTCATCCGGGATGTGTCAATTCTAGGCCGCTCTTATGTAATCGTCACGCGTCATTTTTCGATTAAAATCGTGAAATTTTTGTTTCAGCTTTCGTTTCCTGTTCCCCTAGTCCATGCAAAAACGGAGGGACGTGTGTATCGTCACTGAAAGGCGATTCCTATTGCAAGTGAGTATGAATGAATGCATCATTAATTTTATTTAATGAAAATCCATCGGGATCATGACACTCTTAATTCTCATATTGTTCACATATTGTTACGGTTTTTTGTGTGAAAAAGGGGTCTGTTTTGTTTGTTATTCACTTGCACACATGTTCACGATCAAACATGTGGTACTGTTAAAAAAAACTCTCCACACTCGAGTTTAATTTTAGAAGATTGTGACAATCAAGTTTAATTAATTCGGTCGACGTTGCCGAATTTATTTATCAAACCAATCGCCGAAAAATTGCAATAAATTAAGTGCTCGAATTTGATTACTTGATAGAAAGTTCAAGAGTCAACTATTCAAACTCCCCACCTATTCAAGTTCAGGTTAACGTGTTTATAATGAGACGTCCATCTTCAAGTTTTAAAAACCATCTAGTTTTTTTTTTATGTGGGTCCATTGAAGCATCATAATAACACTCGAGTCGATAAAAGAAAGATGATCTTTTTACGTCTAATTTCCCACCGTGATCTGATGTCACTACCTTCAATTAATCAAGAAATCCATGGTTGCTATAGTGATTTTGTCTATTGTAACAACCGTTGTCATAGTTATTGGTCATTTCTATAGTAACCTGGAAAGATCTTTTCACCGCTTGCTTGATATCCCGTAGCTCTTTTTATTTTGCTCTACCATATGTTATTTTACGTTTTTGTGTATTATAAGATGAAATGGTAACGGGTTATTTCAATCAGCCACTTGAACCGGATTTGAATCGTTCAACAACTTGACTCATCACTCATCACACATATCTGTTATTTGTCAAAATTGTCGGTTGTAAGAAGAATATTCTTTTTTCTTCATTGTTAATTTCGAAGGTCGGTTGTTTGCACGAAATGAAGATATCGCGTGGTATAGAAGAAAATTTGTGTTGTTTTGCGTTCTTTGGTACGCGCAAGCGAGCAAGCCACACATTGCCAGAAGCGGATTTGTTTCGTGGGAACGTTGGTACAATGCTCACAAACTTCTCCACGTTATTTCCGCTTTCCGACATAAACATTTCAATGTGTGAAAGAGAGATGGAGAATGATGGAGACCAATCGGAATGGTCCGATGTTGCCGATGCTACCGTCGCACATATTGGCCCCTTTTTTCACTTAATACACACACACGAGGTTGGAAAAAAATACCAAAGAGAGAGACGATGGGTCGATGATGGGTGTGCCGCTCGTGCTTGAAGCGTACAACCATGATAATAGATAAACCCATCGACGGCCCACGGTCGGCACTCTAATCGACCAATTGATTTAGAGAGAGTGAGAGAGAGAGAGGATTTTTCTTAGAAATTTTTATTTTTCTTCCAACGCAAAATTTGAAAAATTAACGTTTATTTTTTTTATTGCGATAAATTTCGCAAACTGGGCCTCTAGATTCACATAGTTATTGAATTTCTAATATTGGGTCAGAAATAGCCGAGATATTGGCAAAAAAATATTTTTTTTTAATTATACAGAGTGCAGAACTCGCCCCTCAGAGAAAAATTTCAAATAAGATAAAATACCAGGAACATGCAAAAAATGTTTAAAAATTTCTATTTGTCAAAAAATTTTGACATTTGACATTTTTTATGTCTATTTAATGATACTGATGATCTTATATGTATTTGTTTTTTTTTACAATTATTTAGTAAAGGTACAAAATTTTGCCAATAAAAGCCTCTTCTAATAGTCTGTAGCAAAAAAAAAACTTGGAAAATTATTTTTCCAACAGAAATAAATTGAGTCAAAGTGCAAAATTTAAACTCTCATAACTTCGAAATTTTTATAGGTAAACATTTTCTCCATGTTCTTGGTATCATACCTTAATATGGCATTTTTCCCTGGGGCGCGACTTCTGGCGCATCCTGTATTGCAATTTTTTTTATGAAATTAAAAATAAAAATAATTGCTGGCAACTTTGAAGTGTAAGAATAAAAATTATTACATAAATAGGCTTTTTAGTGATTTTTTTTTCGAACTGTGGAATTTATTCATCGTTGCTATGGTATTTTTTATTAGGTTGCTATTGTTACAACCGTATTTAGGTTTATTTTATCGGTTGTCATAGCTATTTTTTCATAATTACTTTGGTAATCTAAGTTCTTTTTGGATAATAATTAATTAATTAACAATGAGTAAATAGAATATTTGAGGACAGATTTTTCAAAAATTTTACTATGTATTTAATAAAAATAATTGTGTCTAGTAAGTTTGAAATATAAGAATAAAAATGATTACATGAATAGGCTTTTTAGTGATTTTTGTTTTCGAATTGTGGAATTTACTCATCGTTTCTACGGTATTTTTTATTAGGTTGCTATTGTTATAATCGTAATTTTTCATAATTACTATGGTAATCTAAATTCTTTTTGGATAATAATTAATTAATTAACAATGAGTAAACAATATTTGAGGACAGATTTTTCTAAAATTTTACTATGCATTTGATAAAAATAATTGTGACTAGTAAGTTTGAAATATAAGAATAAAAATGATTATATAAATAGGCTTTTTAGTGATTTTTGTTTCCGAATTGTGGAATTTACTCATCGTTGCTATGGAATTTTTTATTACGTTGCTATTGTTACAACCGTATTTAGGTTTATTTATCGGTTGTCATGGCTATTTTTTGTTACTAAGTTATTTTTTTATTAGGTTGCAATCGTAATTTTTTCATAGTTACTATTGTAATCTAAATTCTTTTTGGATAATAATTAATTTTTTGTAAAACAATGAGTAAATAGAATATTTGACGACAGATTTTTCTAAAATTTTACTATGTATTTAATAAAAATAATTGTGCCTAGTAAGTTTGAAATGTAAGAATAAAATCATTTCTTAAATAATAATAATCGTTTTTGTAGTTATTGAATTTCTAATATTGGGTCAGAAATAGCCGAGATATTTGCAAAAAAAATATTTTTTTTTAATTATACAGAGTGTAGAACTCGCCCCTCAGAGAAAAATTTCAAGTAAGATAAAATACCAGGAACATGCAAAAAATTTTACTATGTATTTAATAAAAATAATTGTGCCTAGTAAGTTTGAAATGTAAGAATAAAATCATTTCTTAAATAATAATAATCGTTTTTGTAGTTTTCGACAACTGTTGCCGAATTTATTCATCATTACTATAGTAATTTTTATTAGGTTACCGTTGTTACAAGCGTTTCTAGGGACATTTTTTAAATATAAATTATAAATTCTCGGTTGTCATACTCTTGCTATAGTAATTACAATCGTATATAGAAATTTTTTTCATAATTGCAATGGCAACCTGAATGATTTTTGGATGTTTTTTTGTATATTTGTTATCAACCACTCGCTTCTTTCGTCGAAAAATTCCTCAACTCGATCACATTTCAATTAAACATCGGTAGAAAAGCCGGTTTGGCGAGCCATATCATCATCACCAAGTATCCTCTCCTCCACAACTCTTCGTTCCATTAATCACCGTCGAATAATATCTAAATCGGTTGCTATACGCTCGTAAATCAATCCAAACAATGATTATGTATTTATTTTTCAGTTGTACATCGAAATACGTGGGCGAATACTGCCAACATCTCAACCCTTGTCATACCGGTCCAGGTCCACGATGCCAAAACGGCGGTTCGTGTACAGTGCGAATTTCCGCCGGTGGTTCACCGAGTTTTACATGTGCTTGTCCATTGGGATTTAGTGCTTCGTTATGTGAAATACCAATTGCAAATTCGTGCGATAAAAAACCATGTTTGAATGGGGGTACTTGTTCGCTCAGATCCTTGAAAGCCTATCAGTGCTCCTGTGCCCCAGGATATACAGGTAAAGTACCGAAAAAAATTGTAATTTCTAATAATCATGAAAGAACTTTCCATAAATAACGTTTCAAATGGCGCAATTCTAATCCAAAGCTATAATTATATTGGCTCAAATCTCATGTCCTCGGGCATAGAACTGTAAAATTACGACTACGACTTTTGCCAATTTCAAAATCGCCAAAAATTGATTGCAGGAAAACACTGCGAGAAGGAAGACCATTGCGCCTCGCAGCCTTGCAGGAACGGCGCCAAATGCACATCAGTGGGCGATTCGTTCGAATGCACGTGCGCTCCGGGATTCACCGGTCCTGCATGCAAGGACGACAAGGACGAATGCCGTCATAAGCCGTGCGTTCATGGCAAATGTCATAATACGCACGGTAGTTATACGTAAGTTCGAAATCACACTGTATATTTTGTAATTCAAGTTGGGGCGTGTAAAATAAAACGACCGGTTTTTCGTAATATTCGTGGGAAATAATGTAATGACGCATCATGTGCATTTTTTTCTGACTAATGGTTCCGGTTTATTAAAAAAAATTACCCGCCACTGGTTGTAATGTCATATTATTGTTGATTGTCATGGTTACGTACAAAATTTCGGTATGTTACTATAGCAACTAGATAAAATGTGTGATATAGGTGACTCGTCGGGATGGGGAAAGGGTGAATTATTCCGGTTTTCGGACCGGTTAAATTTCGCCTTAAAAGGATGTACATCAACTATTATTCACTCACGGCCGGTTTGATATCCAACCGGTTGTTATAAGACGAAAAAGAATTTAATCCAAAAACTTTGTATATTATTTTTTTTTAATTGTGTCTCTTTGTCATTCATAATAATGGATTGTAGTAGTAATAAAGATCCGGTTAAGTAAATAATAGTACCTGAGGCGCTACTGTAATGAATTGGCACGACCTTCCCTCGAGCTATTGTAATAAGTCGATTGTGTCAATTAATAAAACCCGTTACAAATTTTTTTGTCGCCTTTTATAACTTTCATTTATCATTTAAGAAAAAATGATTTTGTTTGTTTGTCATTTTGACAATTAACATCTTGAAAAAATCGATTTTTTTTCAGGTGTACCTGTGACGAAGGCTATACGGGACAAAACTGCGAAAGCGAGTACATACCATGTGACCCCAGTCCGTGCCTGAACGGCGGACAATGTCGCCAACGTGACAAACATACATATACCTGTGATTGTCCTACAGGTAAGTTGATATTTATAAATACACATACATGCTACTTTTTATTTTTCTTATTTTTATCGCGCTCGCACGGTTATTAAAACACTTTCACCTTTCACGATTTTATTTATTCCGTCGGTCCCAATTTCGTATAAATTAATTTAATTGAGATGAAAAATAGCACAAATCACTTTTTTTTGTGTGATGGTTTGCGGAAATTGGTAAAAAACAAAAAAGTAACGGGAATTTAGATTTTTTACGAAACAAAGTATGTAAGAGCTAGATCGTAAAATTTTATTGTTGCTTGCAAATAGGAGATATTACACGTCGTAAATTCTATACGGTTTGCGTTAGAAACATCTTAGATTTAAAATAAAACATTTTTTTTTTCAAGAAATTGAAATTAATCAAGTAACTGTTGTAAAACATGTAGAAAACAAAACGGTAGTCATGGTTTCTACTGTCATTCAATTTTTGTCTTTCGTTCAAATGATTTTTATTTCTTATTTTAAGGTTATTATTTAATAAAACAATGAAAAAGCCCTGAAAATCGTTTTAAATAAGTATTCCTTAAAAAAATTGTTTTTTTTTTTGTGAAAAACACTTGACGTGTTATCAATCGAAAGACTTGTTTTTGGAAAATTTGTTTTCATCGTCAAACACAAAACAAAGAAAATTTTTTTTTTTTTTAACATTAAATGATAAAACTCTTCGATTATATTACTATTCATTGATAATGTGTTACCATAGTTACGTTACAAATTATTTTTACAGTCACATCCATGGAAACTGAATTGTCACTTTCATTGTTGTGGTTACAATTATGCAATTCCATGGAGATGGTTATTTTTGAGCGAAAGAATAATGGCATGTTGATTCGTCAGTATCTAATTTAAATTCAATTTGAATCCATATAACATTTCTTCGGTCAATAATCCAATCGATCGCGTAATTACGGGGTCATCGTTTATAGTTGAACTTTCAATAATTGCTATGTAATTATTTGATTCGGGTGAATTATTGTTGTAGAAAAAAAAGTGTTTGTATCATTCAAATAATAATAATAATTTCTCTGGGTTGTTGTAACTGCGGTGACATGTTTATTAGAGAGTATAAAAACCGATGACCATCTCTTCGGAGCGCACACGACAACGACCAGAGATGCATACGATTTGAATGAATCAAGTTTTCGAGCGGTCGAATCGTGTCTGACCCTTGAAAAATAAAAAAATAAAAAAATTTAGTCAAAAAACATAGTCGTCGCGTACTTGTTGCATTTTTCAAATCAATTGATTGATAATTAGCTTCAATGATGTCAAATGTTAAATTGTTGCAAATGGGCGTGTGTGTATCTAGAGCGCCTTGCTTTTCCCACGGTTACTATCTGCAACCCACGCTTTCTTTCTCTCTCTCTCTCATCACTAAATCTCATTTCATCGCTCTTATCATTTCCGTTTTTTTTTTCAGGTTTTCGCGGTACCAACTGCGAAGAGAACATTGATGATTGTCCTGGTCATCAATGTCGAAACGGTGCCACGTGTATCGATGGTATCAATTCATACACGTGCCAATGTCCGGCGACATACACGGGCCGTTTTTGCACACAAGACGTCGATGAGTGTTCTTTGAGACCATCAGTGTGCCAAAACGGTGCCACGTGTACGAATAGTATTGGTGGTTTTTCGTGTATTTGTGTCAATGGATGGACTGGTCCTGATTGTTCTGTCAATATCGATGATTGTGCAGGAGCGGCATGTTTCAATGGTGCCACTTGTATTGACAGAGTTGGGAGTTTTTATTGTAGGTGTACGCCGGGGAAAACTGGTAATTTTGTGGAATTTTAGGGATTTTCTTGAATTATTTTTTGTTTTATTTAGGTTTGTTGTGTCATCTGGATGATGCATGTACAAGTAATCCGTGTCATGCTGATGCGATTTGTGATACAAGTCCGATAAATGGGTCGTATACTTGTAGTTGTGCCTCGGGATATAAGGGAATCGATTGTTCCGAGGATATAGACGAGTGCGAACAAGGTAAGAATTTCGTGTTATTGACCGATTCGGCAAGCTTTTCGTGAAATAAATCGATCTCTATTTGTATAAAAATCATTGTTCGAATTTCGTCTTGTTTGGTATAATGAACACGTTAAAGAACGAGATTTTTAAGACATCCATAAATTTTTAATGACCATTCTTGTAACAAACTTTTTACTCGTTATTCTTCATTAATCAATAAAGTAGTGGTTTTTGTTTATTACATCTGTCAGTGATGGAGATTTTGGTTCATTGAACTTCATTTTTAAACCTTTTTAAAAAAATCTTTACCCCGCCACTGGTGGAAATGTCATAACGTTGTTTGTTACCATAGTTACACATTTATTTTAGTATGTTTCTATAGCAACTAACTTAAATTTCTGTCATTATCGACTCGTCAAGGAAAATTGTATTTATTTCAATTGAGTGACCTCAAAAAATAATTTGACAATATTAAGTCTTACAGTTATTTACCTCATTTTTTTTTTGTTAATTATTAGTAGCTCCAAAAAAAACAAAACAAAAATAGTTGTGAATTAGGGATTAGTCTTAAATCGTGTTCTGTTAATATTTATTATGAATATTGGGAACCGAAAAAAGGGTTAACGATTGAAAAGTCGTTGAACTTTGAGAAATGTTTTTTTTTTCTTTTAATAATAAAATCTCGAAACCGTTCACACTCGTGTCGCAATCGCTTCATTTATTTAAATAAGAAAAACGTTCATTTTCGCTCACTTAACGGCACCGATTTCGACGTTTTTCTTTTGAAAAAACTCTATGCTAATGGAATATCTGTTGAAGCGGAGAAACTCTCTCATCGCACGAAGAAATCCGTCGTCTTAAATACACAACGAATCTAAGAAGTCGTGCAAAAAAAAATAAACGAGCGCATTATTTGCAATGTCAGAATTTTAATTTATTTTTCGTTGGAAGAAAACGTGTCTTAGACCGGATTTGACACCACCTACGTTCGATCAAATGACGTAATTTTACGAGTATAAATCGTTCGATTATCGCGAAGATTAATGATCTTCGAACGGATTCAAAATAAGAAGAGAAAGTCTTGATATTGGTACTGTACAACTAAATATTATTCATGGACTTTGTGTTACAATTTATGTAATGATTTAAGAAGTTATTTCCACTTGTGGGATAATGACCGGTTGTCGGATATCTCTAATAACACTACGCCACTGATGGATTTTTTTTGTGGTTGCACAATGAAGCCGATAATAATGAACAATGATGGGAAAAATTACGACAATGTGAATTTGTTGAAATTTCATAAAACGAGAGGGTTGCAGAGATGAATCTTGTTTAGCACAATTCGTGCGTTGTTAAGTTTGCCATTCTAGGGAGGAATTATCGCTATTTTCTCTCAACCTTTTCACCTCAATGAATTAAAATTTTTCGCATCATAAAAAGTACATTTTTATTACTTTTATCTCGAATCTATGTATGTTGTGTTTGAATAAATTTCTGTTCGGGCTTTTTTGTGTTAGAACATTACGATCGTATCTGATGATTAAAATCCAGATACTTAATTAGAAATTAAATTAAAACTTGATTAATTGAATTTTAATTGGGAAAGAAACCAGCAGCCACCTGAATAAATTCTCAGTGGCGTACAAAAAACATACTGTTACTATGGTTTTATTTTTTGTTTTAACTACGCCACTTTGATTTTTTTTTTTTGTAATTTAAGGTTCACCATGCGAACACGACGGAATTTGCGTCAACACCCCCGGCAGTTTCGCATGCAATTGCACGCGAGGCTTCACTGGACCCCGTTGCGAGACTAACGTAAACGAATGCGAATCGCATCCATGTCACAATGATGGCTCCTGTTTGGATGATCCTGGAACGTTTCGATGCGTTTGTATGCCAGGTGAGTAATTTTTCTTTTTCCGACCTCTTCAATTTTTTGTGTGACATGCACTGTATATTTTCTAAATAATTAGATGAACTTTGGAGGCATGTGAACGATGTTTCGACCTGCTTTTGCGCTACAAACAGTAGGACACGAATCGGTCGGTTTTTGCCTACGGAGGTACGAGATATGGGCGGGTTTGATTTAAGCTTGAGAAAGGAAAATGAAGCTTGTGTTATTAATGACGGCAATGATTTAACAATTTTTTGATAGAGAGTAATAAATCTTATTCACCATTAAAAAAAATGTTACTCGCCACTGGAATTAATGTCATTTTGTCACTAAAACATCATTTATTACCATGGTTACGTACGTTTCTATGGTAATAATACCAAAGTTTCGTGCACGACCGACTCGTCCAGGATGGGAAAAAGGGTTATTTGAGAGAAAATAAATCAAACAAACTAATTAATTGAAGTGTTTTAATTATTGTTCAATTTGTAATAACAAATCAGGTTTGTAATTTTTTCTCATCTCCGGTTTAGACGGAAATAACAGCAGCTTTCTCGTTTTGCATAAGAAAAACGAAAAAGAAGTGAGTTGGTACCTGTTAAAAATGAGAAAAATGTCGCACATTGGTGATAATTAAACCGCTTTAAAACCAGAAAACCGGTCGATGAAATGACACGACCTGTGGTGTCTGTGCATTTGAAACGTTTTCCAATTTTTTCAAAATTTTAATTATCATGCATTATTCAAGCGAAGAAAAAGTACGCACACCCGTTATTATATGAGAATGAGGCCAATTATCATCATCGTTTAACAAATAAAATAAATAAAAATGTATCTCGAGCAAACTGAAAACCACTATGCAAATGAATTCGATGCGCTTTGCTCCGTGAAATAATCTCAAAAACGAAACATTTATTTTTCTCTCTGTTCGTAGCAGGTTTTGTAATTTACTAAACAATTCGTGTGTCATTGAACGCGGATTCTAAAGCGGCGTATTATTCAATTACAGGTCGCGTGATGAGATTTGATTGTAATTATTCGTTGGTTTTTTTTTCTTATATAAAACGTTTATTGTTGTATTCTCCTACGTGGGAGGAGAAAAATACGAATCGACGAAGAAGGTTGGATGGATATCGTGAAAGCATAAGCGGTTGGGCGTGTTTACAAGAGAAGACTTGCACAACAACCGTTACCGATACATAAAGGTTTATACTTAATTCATAAGATGGTCGACAACACTCGGATAATTTTAAACGAAATTTCATACCCGCCACTTGTCACAATGTCATTTTATTCTTTGTTACTATGGTTACATGCAATATTTCGGTTTGTTTCTATGGAAATGTTAGCATGGGCGTCTCATTGAAGGGGGAAAATAAATTTGATAATGTTTTTTTTTGCAGGTTTTACGGGCACACAATGCGAGATCGACATCGATGAATGCAAAGATCAGCCTTGCCTCAATGGTGGCGTCTGTCACGATCTCATCAATTCGTTTAAATGCAGTTGTGCGATCGGTTTCACCGGTTCACGTTGTCAAATCAATATCGATGATTGTGTTTCATCGCCATGTCGTAATGGTGGTACTTGTCATGATTCAATTGCCGGTTATACATGTGAATGTCCACCCGGTTTCACCGGTTTATCATGCGAGACAAATATTAATGATTGTCAATCGTCACCATGTCAACACGGTGAATGTCTCGATGGTGAAAACTCGTTTAGTTGTACTTGTCATCCCGGTTATACCGGTTATTTGTGTCAATATCAAATCAATGAATGTGAATCGAATCCGTGTCAATATGGTGGTTTATGTCAAGATTTGGTTAATGGTTATCAATGTTTGTGTAAAGCGGGAACATCAGGACCGAATTGTGAAATCAATGTTAATGAATGTTACAGTAATCCGTGTAGGAATAATGCAAGATGTGTGGATGGAATCAATAGGTGAGTCATTAGTTATAACCGATTTACTAACACACTAACCGAACTATTTTTTTTACATGCTAACAGTAGGGAGTAAGTTTAACTTTTAATTATAGGAAACTGTAATAATTGTTTGTGCTTTTTTTTTCAGTTATAACTGCGAGTGTATTCCGGGATTCACCGGCAAACATTGCGAGAATGACATTGATGAATGTGCATCAAATCCATGCGCGAATGGGGGCGTCTGTATTGACATGATCAACGGTTTTCGATGCGAATGCCCTCGAGGCTATTACGATGCACGTTGTCTTAGTGATGTTGATGAATGCAATTCGAACCCTTGTAAACATGGGGGTAGTTGCGAAGATGGCGTCAATCAATTCATCTGTCATTGTCTCCCCGGTTACAGTGGTAAACAATGCGAAATCAATATTGATGAATGTGCTTCGAATCCTTGTCAACACGGTGGCATTTGTCACGATCATCTCGCCTCCTATACATGTGAATGTCTACCCGGTTACACCGGAATCAACTGTGAAACGAATATCGATGATTGTGCAATAAATCCATGCAAAAATCGTGGTACTTGTATCGATCAAGTCAATGATTATAAATGTGTTTGTGAATTGCCATTTACTGGAAGAAAATGTGAGGATAAGTTGGATCCATGTACACCGAATCGATGTAGACATAATGCGAAATGTACACCAAGTTCGAATTATAAGGATTTTGCATGTACGTGTAGTGGGGGCTATACGGGAAGGTTCTGTGATCAAGATGTCGATGAATGTGTGGTGTCAAAACCGTGCAGAAATGGGGCCACGTGTAAGAATACCAATGGGTCGTATCATTGTATCTGTGCTCTGGGATATGAAGGAAAAGACTGTAGTATCAATACGGATGACTGTGCTTCACGTAAGTAAAAAAAATGACATAACCTCAAAAAAATTCCAAGGGTTTAGTTCTATGGGTGAAACCATTTAATTATTTTCCAATTTTAAATAATCCAACAATGTGGAATTAACAAAAATAGTGTTATTCGGCCATTACTAGAATCAAACTATTGTAATTTTCTAGCAGTTAGTGTGTGTTTATCAAAAACCGTAATAATGAAACCTTGGAATTTTTAAATTTGACAATTTGACAGCTAACTTCAAAATTTTCCAGATCCGTGTCAGAATGGGGCAACATGTCTTGACGATATTGGGGACTACACCTGTCTTTGTGTCAACGGTTTTGAAGGTAAACAATGCGACATCGATATCGACGAATGCCTCTCGAATCCGTGTCAAAACGGTGCAACTTGTAATCAATACGTCGATTCATATACTTGTACATGTCCATTGGGTTTTTCTGGGATAAATTGTCAAACAAATGATGAAGATTGTACCGAAACAAGTTGTATGAATGGTGGTACATGTATTGATGGTATAAATTCGTACACATGTACCTGTAAACCAGGTTATACTGGTTCAAATTGTCAAAATCGTATCAATTTATGTGATAGTTCACCGTGTTTAAATGGGGCTACATGTCAAGATCATACAACACACTATACGTGTCATTGTCCATATGGATACACGGGGAAAGATTGTGGAGAGTATGTTGATTGGTGTTCGACGAATCCTTGTGAAAATCAAGCGACTTGTGTACAAAACAAAAACCAATATCAATGTATTTGTGGTGTTGGATGGACTGGTAAAGTATGCGATGTTGAAATGGTCAGTTGTAAAGATGCAGCTTTACGTAAAGTTGTACCATTGAAGAAATTGTGTAATAATGGTACATGTGAAGATATAGGAAATTCACATCGTTGTCATTGTTCAGATGGCTATACTGGATCATATTGTCAAAAAGAAATCAACGAATGTGATTCAGCACCGTGTCAAAATGGTGCAACTTGTCTCGATTTGATTGGCTCCTATTCGTGTAAATGTCCAAAAGGTTTTCAAGGTCAAAATTGTGAATTAAATGTCGATGATTGTAAACCAAATCCATGTCAAAATGGTGGTACATGTCATGATTTAGTTAATAGTTTTTCATGTAGTTGTCCATCGGGTACACTTGGTTACATTTGTGAGATTAATGTTGATGATTGTCGTCCAGGGGCGTGTCATAATAATGGTTCTTGTATTGATAAAGTTGGTGGTTTTGAATGTAAATGTCCTCCAGGTTTTGTTGGTCCACGATGTGAAGGTGATATCAATGAATGTCTTTCAAATCCTTGTTCGAATGCTGGTACTCTAGATTGTGTTCAATTAGTTAATGATTATCATTGTAATTGTAAATTGGGTTTTATGGGACGACATTGTGAAAGTAAAGTTAATTTCTGTGCAACTTCACCGTGTCAAAATGGTGGTGTTTGTACAACGATTCATGCCGGTCATAAATGTACATGTCCTGAAGGTTTCTATGGGAAAAATTGCGAATTTAGTGGTTATGATTGTGATTCGAATCCATGTCAAAATGGTGGTGTTTGTCGTATCTCAGATGGCGGTGGTTACATCTGTGATTGTCCAATTGGTACAAATGGTACCAACTGTGAAATTGATACAAACAATGAATGTGATAGTAATCCATGTAAACATATTGATGCTATATGTCAGGATAAACTAGGTGATTATGCTTGTTATTGTCCACCGAAACATACCGGCAAAAATTGTGAAATTTACGATCGGGCTTTCCCCGGTGGTCTAGGACGTGCAGTCATACCAACACTTGATGTTACAAGTTACTATGCTAAAGATTTAGAAAAACAACGACAACAATGTAATCAAAATAAATGTCCAGTGAAACGTGGTAATGGACGTTGTGATGAAGAATGTAACACTTATGCGTGTGAATTTGATGGGAATGATTGTTCATTAGGGATTAATCCTTGGGCGAATTGTACAGCGTCGACTAGATGTTGGGAAGTTTTCATGGATGGGATTTGTAATGAAGATTGTAATAATCCCGAGTGTCTTTTCGATGGACGTGATTGTGAAAAATCACTACAACCATGTAATCCCATTTACGACGCCTACTGTCAGAAACACTACGCAAATGGATTGTGTGATTATGGGTGTAATAATGCGGAATGTAATTGGGATGGGTTAGATTGTGAGAAGGCACCACCTGAATTAGCCGAAGGTGTTATTTCGATGATTATTCTCATGGATATGCAAGGTTTTCGGAAGAATTTAGTCGCATTTTTACGTGATACGAGCCACCAATTACGTACAAATGTACGAGTGAAAAAAGATCAAGAAGGTCGCGATATGATTTACCCGTGGATGGGTTCAGAACCCAGCAATTTTGACAGTTACTATACCAGAAAACATCATGTAAAATACACTGAACAAACACAAAGTGGTGTCATAGTCTACTTGGAGATTGATAACCGAAAATGTACGACAATATCCGATAGTAGTGAGAGTTGTTTTCAAACTGCAAGTGCCGCAGCTGAATTTCTCGCTGCTAAAGCCTCTAAACACACTCTTAGTCAATCATTTCCCATTTATCAAGTTAACGGTTCTAGTGGAATAATTGACGATCTAGACACGCCCACTAATGCAAAATATGTCGTCCTTGGATTTATAATAGTGTTTGCATTTAGTGCCGCAATTGCAGTGATTGTAACAACGCAACGTAAACGTGCTAGTGGTATCACATGGTTTCCAGAAGGTTGGTCATTGGCTAATAGTGGACCACGTAGGCGGAGTCGTCGACGTGGTCCTGAAGGACAAGAATTACGTAATATGGGTAAACATCCATCGGTACCACTTGAAATTGATAATCATGGACAAGGTCATGTACCACAATGGTCAGATGATGATTCCGATATGCCACAACCGAAACGTTTTCGTGGTCTTGAAACGGGTTATGCAAGTGATCATACTGGTATTACGGATTATGAAGAGGCGGAGCCAAGGGTGTGGTCACAACAACATTTAGAAGCAGCTGATGTTAAACCAATTTCGATGTTAACACCACCACAAGGTGATGTGAGTGATGTTAATGCACGTGGACCATGTGGTATGACACCCATTATGGTAGCATCGACACGTGGTGGTGGTATGGATACCGGTGAAGATGATGAAGATGATTCAGCAGGGGCGGTGATTCAGGATTTAGTAGCACAAGGGGCGGAGTTAAATGCAACAATGGATAAAACTGGTGAAACATCACTTCATTTAGCTGCAAGATATGCACGTGCTGATGCTGCAAAACGCCTACTTGATGCTGGTGCTGATGCTAATGCACAAGATAATACAGGACGAACGCCACTGCATGCAGCAGTGGCGGCGGATGCATTAGGAGTTTTCCAGATTTTATTACGTAATCGTGCAACTAATCTCAATGCTAGGATGCATGAAGGGACAACACCTTTAATACTAGCAGCAAGGCTAGCAATTGAAGGAATGGTTCAAGATTTAATTAGTGCTGAAGCTGATATTAATGCAGCTGATAATTCAGGAAAAACAGCACTTCATTGGGCCGCTGCTGTAAACAATGTCGAAGCGGTGAATGTACTATTAGCACATGGAGCCAATCGTGATGCACAAGATGATAAGGTGGGTGGAGTTTAAGTAAAATGGGTGGAGTTTTAAATTTTGTTTTTTTTTTTAGGACGAAACACCATTGTTTCTTGCAGCGAGAGAAGGATCATATCAAGCTTGTAAAGCACTACTCGAAGCTTATGCTAATAGGGAAATCACCGATCATATGGATAGATTACCACGAGATGTCGCTAGTGAACGTTTACATCATGATATAGTACGACTTTTGGATGAACATGTACCAAGAAGTCCACAAATGGTCAATGTGATTCCCAATAGTTCGATGATGAGTAAGTTAGTTTGACTTGAAAAAATAAAATTGTTAATTTTTGTTGTTACAGCGTCACCTAGTGGTCAATTACAGTTACAACAACCGACTGTTATTGTACCAAAACGTCAAAAATCAAAACGGCCGAGTAAAAATAATAACACATCGTTAGATCCGACAAGTCCCGAAATGGAAACGATCAATACTGGAAGTATTCGACGTAAAGCAAGTGTGAAAAAATCAAAGAAACCAACACAACAACAACAACAGCAACAACAACAACAAGAAATTCCCCAAAGTGTTGATTCGATAACTTCAACTTTAAGTCCTGTTGAATCACCAATGACAAATTTGCCCAGTCCTTATGACACTGCATCAATTTACTCAAATATGGGTTTAACACCTCAAGGACTTGAATCTTTAATCAATAAACAACCACCGAGTTATGAAGATGTTGTCAAGAATAATTTACACGGTCTAGTAGGCTTGGAAAACTATTCATTTAATTTGGGTAATTTCCATTTCCAACATCAATTGCAACAAGCCAATACTTTAAGCCCGCCCTATTCGAATCAATCTCCGCCTCATTCCGTGCAATCAAATATGTCGTTATCGCCTCAAGGTTATAACGGTTCCCCTTCTCCGGCAAAGACACGCCCCTCGCTTCCCACAAGCCCCACCCATATAGCAGCAATGCGTGCCGCTACCCAACAGAAACATGGGGGCGTGCCACAAGCACAGAATTTGCAAATGGGCTTTGATTTCAGTCAAACGGGATTGGAGATGCCGATGGCATCGTATCCCGGATTGGTTAATGGAAATTTACAATTTCAACAGCAACAACAACAACAGAATTATTATTTGACTCCGCCCTCGCAACATTCCGATCTCTTACCGGATAATTTTCCAACGCCGAGTCCGGAAAGTCCGGGTCATTGGTCGTCGAGTTCGCCCCGGAGTTGTAATTCGGATTGGTCGGAGAATGTAGCCAGTCCGAATACTACATATGGGGCTGGACATCAGACTAATAAAGGCTCGGATGCGATTTATATTTGAGAGAGATGAATTATTATGCCAAAATTTACTAAATACGTGCCTTGAATGGTTGTTATTGTAAGATTTTTATAACAATGTACATATCTTTATTTTTATTATTATTATTAATTATTATTCGTAAAAAAGAGACACAACTTAAGCTCCAATCACATGACATTCGATTATTTAGGATTTTTTATTTTAGTAATTCTCATTTAGTTAGCGTGTCTGTGATTCAGATATTAGAGAGAGAGAAAAAAATAAAGGTTCGCTCGCTCGCTCAAAGAGGGCGTACGTATCGTAATTTTTGACAATTTTATAAGACAATATATTTTAGAATTGTTAATATTTTTGATAAAGATATTTAGGTAATTTTTTAAACCAGTTTTTAAGTACATTCCGTTGTTGGGATCAAGTTTTAAGCGTCTTTCAATAGTTGTTTTAAAAAAAAGCCACAAATTTCTGTATATTTAAACCAGTTGGTAAGTTTTTATTTATATAATTACTTCATTTTTTTATTTTTTTTTAAATAAAGCCTTGTAAAAAGTACTGATTAGGTCACTAATGATGGATTTATTTTAAGGTTCTCTTTTTTTTTAGTTGAAACATATTGTACTAGTTGTTAAGTAAACGCAAAAATTGCTTTTGTACTATATACATAATAAATTCATTTTTATAAAATCATTTTTATTAATTTTCTATGTATGGTGTTATTTATTTGGTGATTTAGCGACCACAGAAAGTATTATTGATAAATGAAAGAAATTTGAATGTTTTAGTGCGTTTATTTCTAGTTTTAATAATAAAATAATTAATACTTAAAGTTGAAAAATTAAAAATATGTTGGAAATGTAATAAAATAATTTTTTGGTCCGGAAAATGCAACCTAACCCTGCCATTTGAATAAATGCAAAAAATATTTACAAAATTAAGTCTCCAACTTATCACAAAATTTGTACAAAATATTGCTTATTTCCCAGTCCATTCGCTCACTTTGCCATTATCGAAGACGAGATTATAACGCGGCAGTGGTACCAACCGTCCACGTTTCATAATTTCCATATTTTCACCAGGATAGTACTAAAAAAATTCCCCTAGAATTGAAACAAACGAAATAAGCAAAGCCTACCTGACATTGCGAAATAAAATCTAACAGTGCCGAACCTAATTTCCGACTCGATTCGACTAAATTCGCCAAACTGAAACAAAAACACTCCACATGAGCGCACCTAGTGGCCAAATTTCGTACTAATTACCTGTTAGTTTCAGCCAAACCGCCACTCACTATCGTATCACAAATTTTAGTATTGGCATTAACATCAAACAGGGGAATCCCAAAATGGCAATCTAACAAAGTCCAAACCTATTTCACACGTTAGCCAACACACAAACACCAAAATTACTAACCTCGCCTCGATTCTCATCGACTTTTTTCATTTCGTCACTTTTTAACGAAAACATATTAATGTTTTCATCGATTGGTGATAAAAGACCATCAATTGAAACACTATGTTTCATCTTTTGCTCTAATTCGTCCAATTCCTGACAAAGGAGTTCCGAACATTCCTTACTGGTGAAACCATTGGCTGGCGATGATGAAGTGGGCGGAGTCATAGCGAAATGTGATTCGTCAGGTGAACTCAACTCTTTCGTGAAACTAAAATTCTCATTGGTGATCGATAAAGGCTCGGCTTTGCCTCCTTTCGTTGCGATTGGTTGTTTTTTACCAAGCTTGACTGTCATTTCTTTATTTTGACAGCCGAAATCCAAGACTCCTATGTTGGCAAATGTGATATAACCACAATTATGTTCAAGATCAATCAAATTCGAGAGATATTTAATTGAGGGATGATTCCTGAACTGTAAATCTTTAGGGACTTCCCCTAGACTTTTTGATGGTGTATCGGGCCGAAACGGAAACGGTATTATGTGAGTCTGTGCCGGTTCATGTACCCCAAAAGCCTGAATCAAAACGGGGGAAAACTGTGCAGCCGCATTCACATGTAAAATATTAGAAACGGGTATAACCGCCGGTTCGTGTAACCACGTGGTCACTAAAATTCGGGAATAACCGAGAAACATTCGTGGAAGTTGCTTGATTTCAGTTCCTAGAGACAAAAATTAAATCACCAAACTGAAAAATCCCCCAACTCACCTTTGACTAGTAACAAAGATGGCGGTCCATAACCGGTCACGTGATACAAAAATAGTTTAAACCATAAGGAATTCACTTCCGGTACAGCTGGCCCTAAATGAGGTGGATTAAGACTCACAACGGGACGTACTTCTCGACTCAACGGTGCCATTGATACCAACAAACTGTCAAAAATTTAAAAAAATCCCCCAAAAAAAAACCACTTACTTGTATTTTTTCTGTAATAGACGACTACAAGTGGCTTCATCTAATGAATGGAGACTTTCAAGTCGGACTAGATCTAAACCGGCACCGGGGAGTTTTCTCAATGCTAAAATAGTCGATCTGAGGATGACAGCATGATCGAAGAAACGTCGAGCTTCACCCTCGCCTTCAGCATCAAGAACTGAGACTTTTTCCAATTCGGTTAGGAAACTATCAAGACTTTCGTCGCACAATTTGCCCACTTCGAACATTGTCACGGCGTGCTTTTTTAAACCCTAAAAAAATCTAACCTCAATAGTAGTTTCAAAGGTTGGCAATCATGATCGACTTGACATGTGAAAAGTGTGAATTACAAGCAGTTTCCGTAGTTTTGTGTTATGATTGGCAAACCTGGTGAAAATTTTACCCACCGGTGATAAATTCCCCATCATAAGAAACGCCGTGAGGGCCGAATCGAATAAAAAAGCCACTCGGTGCCCCCTTCGTGTCAATGTTGAACTCGTCGGACTTTCAAGCTGTTCTTGAAGATTTTCCTTACTGAGACTCAATGTTAATGGTGTTACTTCGACATTTCTACGGTAAGTAAAAAAATTATCTGTAATTCAATCACGGGGGAAGTACCTAATTTCTTGTGTCGGTATTAAATGCCATGAAGGGTGTCTTTTCGTACGTTCTTTCTCCGTTTCTGGATACAGCTTTCGTGCAAATTGTAACCGACAATAGAGCGAAACTGCCTGTTTTACCGATTCAGTATCCACCTGTAAAACCCCTGCAAGTTCGCCAACTGTTGTATGTTCATCAATTGAGACGAAAATTTTATATAAAAGTGTCTCAAAATAATCGCCAAGAATACGATTCATGACGAAACCTTGCAAAGGGGGCACTTGAATACAATCAACTGCGGTTATTGGAACATCTAAATAAATTAAACCTTTCCTAAAAAACAATTTTAGACAGTTGGTAACACTGTTAAGTGTATTTACTTGTAAAGACTCAAAACAACATGATAATTTAATTCACCCGCAGTTTGTGACCCTAAATCAATCAATCGGTCAATCACCGACAACTCTTCCTCGTTTACCAACTGTGAAACAATAAAATTACTAAATGTTTGATTTGGTGAAATTACAAACTTTGACATCTTCTTCCAAGACTAGCCCAACTTCGACACGCCACCAAGGTTCAATATGGATGTCACGGGGTACAGGTGGTAATAGTCCCCTTACGTTCTTTTTCCCAAATAAGCGCCCTCTATTCGACCTTGATTTATTCATCAATTCGATATATTCATTTCTGCCAATCCCCAACAACCTCAAACCTTAAAAAACACCAAATGAGATACTAAAAAAATCAAATTTCGGGTAAATACAATCAGCTGCTGTAAAATTCGGAAGAGTATCGTAACTTTTCTCCGCTTGCATTAATTTCTCCACTACGGAAATGTAATAATTGAACGGTGTTATCCTCAAGCCTTTTACAATCATATCGGCCAAATGATAAGGAAATAACATAAGTCTCTCTTTACTATAAGCCACCACACGTTCATAGTAACGTTTCTCATCTCGGACAATATATCGTACTAAAAAAAAGACAATCAAGGGGGCCTCAAACACAACAAAACACTACTCACCTAAATTACCTCGATAACGCAATTGATTTTTAATACTGAACGAAACCACATAGCGTTCGTAGTCTTTCACGGAATTGTTTAAAATCTGCAAAACATGGGGGGTCACTTGAGACACGAAAAATCGAAATTACCTGTTTGATATGTGCGGGGAGTTGCGACCATGGCACGTTTTTACGGATATTTTCCTCAATTTCAGCATTCATGCTGGAATATGGGTGGAAAATGGGTTAATTTGTTGATAAATACATTTGACAAGTGAATTTGACAGCTGACAATGACAGGTGTCACAATTGAATGATTTTGGGCGTTTTTTACGCTATTGCTTTATTAATTGGACAATAATTAAATTCAATGCGTGTTTTTGTTTGACAAAAATCGGTTTAATATTTTTTTTATTATTATTAATACGGTAAAAATGTGTGAACAGTGGTGCCAACCGGTGTCCTTAACCTCACATTGACATGTGCCAAAAGTGAGGTTATTTGTGTTTTTTAAATCAGTGAAAAGTGAGCAATAATGATGGAATCGGGGGGCGAAATTGCCCAAAGACACGTTTTGTGTCGGTTCAAGTCAGATTCTGGTGAAATCGCCGGTGATATAATCGATTTACCCTTGTCTTGTACTGTGCCCCAATTGACCGAAATTTGTAATGCTCTCCTCCAAAGTACGAACATTTCGTACATTTTTTACGCCAATGACACCGAAATCACTCACTCGCTTGAAAAAACCTTAAATTTGTCGGATTTAAACACCGAAACTGTTATTGATATCCTCTACCAGCAGCAGGCCGTGTTTCGGGTGCGCCCCGTGACAAGATGTACGAGTTCAATGCCAGGACATGCCGAAGCTGTCATTTCTGTGTGTTTTTCCCCCGATGGTAGACAACTAGCGAGCGGTTCCGGCGATACAACAGTCCGATTTTGGGATGTGGACACTCAAACACCGTTTCGGACATGTAAGGGGCACACGAATTGGGTTTTGTGCATTGCATGGGCCCCAAATGGCTCTAAACTAGCCTCGGCGTGTAAAGACGGCAAAGTTGTGATATGGAATCCTGAAAATGGGGCCCAAATTGGGAAAACTCTAATCGGGCATAAATCATGGATTACGGCCCTGAGTTGGGAGCCCTACCACCAAAACCCCGACTGTCGTTTTCTCGCCTCATCGAGTAAAGATTGTGACGTCAGGATTTGGGATACGGTCCTGTGTTTGTGTGTTAGAGTGATTTCGGGGCATTTGAAAAGTGTGACTGTGGTGAAATGGGGGGGTTTAGGGCTTATTTATACAGCATCACAGGACCGGACTGTGAAAGTTTGGAGGGCTAAAGATGGGGTTTTGTGTCGGAGTTTGGAAGGACATGCCCATTGGGTCAATACTTTAGCACTTAACACGGATTATGTGCTTAAAATGGGGGCTTTTGATCCGGTTAAAGACACACAAACACAATCACAGGACTTTGCCCTACGTCGCTACAATGAAATCATCTCTCCGATTGGTGATGAAAGACTTGTCTCGGGCTCCGATGATTTTACTTTGTTTTTGTGGGCCCCCTCGAAAGACAAGAAGCCGTTAAATCGACTCACAGGACACCAACAATTAGTCAATGATGTGAAATTCTCACCTGATGGTCGGATTTTTGCCTCGGCTTCTTTTGATAAAAGTATTAAATTGTGGGAGGCGAAAAATGGTAAATTTATTTGTACTCTTCGAGGACATGTACAAGCTGTTTATGTGATTGCATTTTCGGCCGATTCGAGACTTTTAGTTAGTGGAAGTGCCGATTCGACACTCAAATTGTGGAATTTGAGGGAACGAAAATTGGAAATTGACCTTCCAGGACATGAGGATGAGGTTTATGCAGTGGATTGGGCCACAGATGGCTCCAAAGTCGCCTCCGGAGGAAAAGATAAAGTTCTCAAGTTGTGGCAAAACTGAATATCAAAATTTGACGTTTCTAACTGTCAAAATTCAATTTTTGGCAACTGAATGTCAAAATTTGACGTTTCTAACTGTCAAAATTCAATTTTTGGTTAGGTTTATGTTGACAATTGAATAAATCAACTGATTTTTACCAGTTTTATTTGAAAAAAATTAGGGTTCCGGTTCCGTTTCCTTCTGCTTCTTCCAACTTTTCGCCGCGGCTAAGAGTTTCAAATTGGGTTTACTTGCCTCATCTTCAGGGAAAATATAATCGAAAATTTCTTCCCATCCTTGTTCAAATCCATCCTCATCGATAACTTTTCTCCGTTTTTTAATTCTCCTCGGCATTTTTCCTTCAACTTTCTCTTTAGTTTCATCACTTCCATGCAAACTTTCAAACTCCTTCCAATTTTCCAATAATAAAACTCTTGATTCTTTTTCACCAAAACTTTTCAAACTATCATTAGCTCTCTCATACACACGTCTTGCGAGACTCACATTCATGTCTGAATTACAACTCAATTCGAATTTAGCATAAGACAACCAAACTTTCACATGACTTGTCCTTTCTAACAATCTTTCGTATAATTGACGGGCATTTTCCGATTCTTCTTGTCCAATTTCGAAATCAATGTAAGCCTTCCAGAGCAATTCGGGCATGTCTAAACGGGGCTGTGCTATTGCCAACTCATAAATAGCCCTTGCACGTTCAATATCCCCTAGGAGTGTCTCCAATTCAGCGAATTTCATCCAAGTGACACAATTTTCCGGACCAAACTCGAGATATTTACCATAGAGAATACGACAACGATCAAACTCACGTAATTGTATCTCGATATCAATATACCCTCGGAATAATTTATCCCGTGGACATTTCCCAATAGCAGTCCCGAGAATTTTTCTAGCCCCATTTAAATTCTTCTGTCTGATTTCAAACTGTGCAAAAAGTAACCAAATCTTACTAAAAGTGAATATTTTATGTGGGATTAAATCAAGACAAGCTTTGTATACTTGTCGTGTCCTTTCATAATCCCCAGACTCGAGTTCCTCAAATAGGGCGTAATTAATCCACAAGTAGATATATCTACGCCAGTATTGTTTGTTTTTACTTGGGGGTACGTTGGCAATGGCCCTTTCATACGTCTCTCGTGTTGTTTCAAGCTCACCTTCCCCTTCCACTAGTCTCAAATAATCAAACCACGCATCGTAATTGGTGGGATTTTCAAGGATTTCTTGTTCGTATTGAAACTTACGTTTCGAGACAATCACATCTTCAATACCAGATCGGTCACCGTATTTTTTCTCATGTATAGTGTATGATTTATACAATTCTTTTGCTTGTTCTTTTGGTAAGTGATCAAGAGCGTATTTATAAATGACTCTAGCACGGTCATGTTCCTTTTGATTTTCCTCAAATCGTGCAAATGCAATGTATAATTTCTCATCGAGATGATCATCACCGTAGAAATGTACAGCACGTTCGTAAATCATCCTTGCCGAGTTGATAAAACCGTGATTTTCCTCGAATCTTGCATATTTAATCCAGTGTTTGACTTCGGGGTGAGTTATAACAAAACGTTCGTAGATTTCTCTCGCTCGATCGATTTCTTTGTATCTCAATTCGAAGTTAATGTATGTTTGCCAGGCTTGTTCGTCCGGTTGCCATTCCATCCAACGTTCAAAGACAGCTCGGGCCCCAGCCACATTCTCCAACATCTCCTCCATGTAGGTGTATTTATACCAAAATTGATTGATTCTGGGTAAAATCGTAACAGCTCTATCCCATAAATTCCTCGCATGGTTCACTTGTCGATTTCTCATCTCCATTTCAGTGTATTTCAACCAAATGGTAACATTACGATGATCCACATCCAAGGCACGCTCAAATATGGATCGAGCACGTTGGATTTCCTTCTGGGATTCTTCCCAATGGGCATATTTGATCCAATTTGAGATAACTGTGCGATTTTTACGTATGTTATCTTCGAATTGTTTACGACGACGGAGTTGGTAATCGGCGAGTTCGGCCGGATCGGAGATTTTTTGTTTAGGGGGCGGTGGTAGGATTTCAAGGTCGCGTTCTTTTGCCTCACGGAGGAGTTGTTCAGCGGTGATTTGAATCTCAGCGGGGGCTTTGTTCTTCACCTGAAATAAAATTATTATTATCGGGGAGTGGGCAGTAAAAGTGTACCTTGGCCACTTTGGGCATCTTCTGGGGCTTGGTTTCCATCGTAAGGGGGCGATTTAGACGACTTTTGGGCGGTTTTTCACACACAACAACGAACCAACATAACCTCAATTATTTTGTGATTGTGAGGTTATGTTTGAATCAGATATGACAAAATTTGCATTATTTTTAAATAAATGAGCTTAAATTGTGATTGTGTGTCTCACTGGTGTAACAATCAATTGTGAAATAATTTATTTTATGATTAGTGGAATTACGTGAGTGTTTTTTTTTAATTATTAATTTTAAAATCGTAATGGTGGCGCCACTATCTAGATCAAAATTTTCTATGGTTCAAATAAGAATAATTAAAAAATCGATATTTTATTCAATTAAATATAATTTTACATTAAAAGCTTGTGAGTTTTGCTTAACAGCCGCCGTGATCCAGCTTTGATGAACACAAACACACACACTTGTCTCAGTCTACGTTTTCCAGAAATTGGGGTTTTGTTGGAGTCTCCGTTCGAAATTCGTGTACCAATTCTGCACCGTGGCTAACGGCACATACGTAGTAGTGGGATCCACAACCATTTGTTGTTGCGTCACCGAATAACTCAATACAAAATTCATGAAATTCTCCAACATTTTATGAGCGAAAGTAACATTATTACTGGGATTATTCGCCGATTCGATTTCTCTTATATTCGCAAGGGGCTCAATAGCGATCCCGATTTGTGCATTATGCACAATATGACTTTGTCCGAATAAAATATTCATCGAGTCCCCCATCTCTTCCAGTTTCTTCAACGACGAGATTTTGAAAATCGCTGATGGTTTTGTGTTGGAAATGTGGCCGAGTGGTTGCCAATTGGGGGGCGCATGGGGGTCAGGCCAACTGAAGTACACTTGCCCGGCGGTGCCTTCGGGGAACGGTATAGCCCCCGTGAGGAACACCACTATGTGGTTAATACTGTCGGCGTCGGGGATTGTTGTTATGAATTGAGTCTCAGAGATTGGTTGGAATTCGGTTTGGACCTGCAAAAATTTGATTAAAATTGCTGTTTGGTTTTTAATAAGGGGGCTAACCGGGCGTCCTGATACGATCAAACCAAACATTGCCATTATAAATCTGAATCTTCTAGAACATTTCCAAAATTTGTTAGGTTAGGGACGCAAGACGAAAAGTCACTAAATCACGAATTGCCAACTGAGAGAAACGTCAAACATGATTGTGATAATAGTGAGACGGGAGTGGAAGTTTGTGTAAAAAAGTGTTTTTTTTTTGGATTAGACACTCCCCGAAATCGTCCAAATTTCAATTAAACACAACAGTAAGTGGGAATTTATTTAAATTGATTTAATTTAGGGACAGTTGGTAGTTTTGAAACGATTGTGTTTTGTTATTTCTCGTTAGTGTCATTTATTCGTCAAAAAAGTGAAAAAAAATGCTTAAATTTCAATTAAAGTTAGTTTGTTTTGAGTTCTTACACCATTCCGTAAGTTTATTTATGTTTTTTTGGGGGGTGTAATGTGGGGGTGGCACACCTCTGAAAAATCAATATTTTCAAGGCTGACTTGATGCGGTTCCAAGCATGGATGAACTTGAGCTGAAAAAAAATGATTTTTTTTTGGTTTCAGATGGGTTTTCGTGATGTCTTTACCGGTGTCGCAATATGAGGCTTTGCTGGCGGAAGTACGCGGTTTGAGACGTAAAGCTCAACGCGTACAACAGCTAGCGACACCTCTTTTATCAAATTTTTCTTCTTCTTCTTCTTCTTCCAGTAGTCAGGTAGGTAATAAAAAAAAAACACTCGTCATGCTCTTATAATTCAAAAAATCAAGTCGCTTGATAAGAAATTGTTTAGTCTGCGGTCCGCTATCGATTTTTCTCTTCTCAATTCCGGATGCATTTTCCAGTCTCTCTCTCTTCGAATAAATAAATGAGCGCAGTCTCTTTCGTTCCTGCATTGCACCACCTCCTCGTGTGTGTTGTTAATCATCACAAGGAACTAATTTTATGTGTGTGAGCTGTGTGATGAGCTTTAAATAAAGACGGGACGAATCGAGTCGTTGTGTTTTGTTTGTGATTTAAGACGACGCGATTTTGAGTGAGTTTTTCACTTGTTTTTGACTTGAGGTGACTAAAAAAACACGAAAAAACATCGTTATTTTGTATTGACAAGAACCATTTTTAGTGTTGTTTAAAATACGCGTTTCGTGGTTATAAATTTGGACTTTGTTTATGTAAAGTGATCCAAAGAAGCTGAATTTAAAAAATCTTTAATTGTAAGTTATGTTTACACAAAAAAAAGTTTTAAGTTGAAAAAAAATAAGTCGGACAATCTCTTATATCATGGTAGAAAACGTTAATAAAAGCCCAGATTTGGTTTTATAATTTTTCTAATGCGTGTGATTTTGAAAATATGAGTATATTAAAAATAACACAAATTGGCAACGCTGTAATTAATTTTGAACCACTTTCTGCCTGCACTCAACAATTTAAAACGTTTGTTACTATAGAAACCAAAAAATTTTTAATGTGCTGTTGCCAACCTTACAGAAAATCTCTGTATTTGACAGATTTTATTTTTTTTTGATATTCTAGATGCATATTTTAACGTTTTTTTCGTTAATAAAAGCCCAGATTTGGTTTTATTTATACCTTTCTAAAACGTGATAGCTTGAACGCTCTCACACCCGTGTAAAACGTTATTTAACTATCTTTGTCGCACAATAATAATTATTTTTTTTCCTGTTGGAAAATTTTGAAGCACTAAAAGTAGAAATTGGGTGATAGTAAAAAACAAAGTAGTAGAGTTTTATAGAGAAAAAAGGCCTAAAAGTGCATAAATGTTGCGAACCCGAGAAGATTTGCCCGGTACTAATCTGAGAAAAAATATGAATTTTTCCAAGCTAATTGAGGAAACAAATTTAAATTTATTATTGTTTAAAGTCATCTGAAAACTTTAATATGCGTTTTTTGAGCCCACTGAGATAAAAATTGACGAAATTGTCCCTTATCTAACTCGTGGCTAATTGGAAAAATTTATTTAAATCAATTATTTTTGCGTCTTTTTCAAAGCACATTCGATTTTTTTTTGGATAATCGGTGAGGTTTTTGTTAAATCTTAAATTTGATTGGTTGGACACATTTGTTAATTTATTGGTTCAATTACAAGGGCCAATAATAATCATTTCCTATTCACGTAATTACCACTAAGGTGAGAACAAACCGGTTTTTATTTCTTATTGGCCAAAATTTGACAAAAACCTAACAACGATAAGTAACTCCACCCATTAAAAAAATCGTGAATAATTATTGAATTTTCAATGGAATTTTTATAACAAATCAGCGTTTAGTGTGAGTTATCTTACTTTAATTGGGTCTAATTTTGCACAATGGGTGGAGCCAACCCCAAGACCAATATGAATCATGCACTTTCGATTATCAGACCAATAAAAAGTAAAAATAATTCAATGCGTTAAAGTTGAATGTCATTGGTCGATCGTTAGCCAATCAATTACGTCTTTTAAAATCAACCAATCAGAACACGTCTTAGATTTTTCGACAAGAAATTTTGAAAATAATTTTTCTAATGCGCGTGATTTTGAAAATATGAATATTTAAAAATAACACAAATTGGCAACGCTGTAATTTATTTTGAACCACTTTCTGCCTGCACTCTACAATTTCAAACGTTTGTTACTATAGAAACCAACAAATTTTTAATGCGCTGTTGCCAACTTTACAGAAAATCTATACATTTGACAGATTTTATTTATTTTTTTTGATATTTAGATGCATATTTTAACGTTTTTTTCGCACAGATTTGGTTTTATAGTTTTTCTAATGCGCGTGATTTTGAAAATATAAAAATATTTTTTTGATATTTATTCTAGGTGCATATTTTAACGTTTTTTTTTTTTCTAATAAAACACAAAATTACCTTTTCTTTTGATATTTTTGTCTATAACTTTATGGTTTAAAAACCATTATGTACGTTCTTTTTGAATCACGCTGTATATTTAATTTGTTAAAAGGTTTTTAGTCCAAGGATTTTGCAAGGCAATACCAAATACGAAAATGTTCTTTCACTCGTAAAACAAGCTCAAATCGATATTTATTAAAGTCGTAAACAAGAAAACTCTGACTTTACCTTTGGGAATAAACATTTAGCACGTGCAATTCGTATATAAAACTAAATATTGCGGTTGACCCTTAGACTTATCGATTTGGACTCGGGGTGAAGGTCAAAGTCACAATATTAAAAGTGAGGTAGGTAATAAAATTCTTAAAAAAATGATTTCAGTTTTATAAAAGAGAAAGATTCGCCGTGAGATAATCCCACACAATGAATGTTGAAATAATTTTTTCTTATTTCCGTCAGCTGTTTCTAATTTTTCATCAAAGGTGTGACTGAACTCTTGGCTCGTTTTTCAAATAGCACCACACACAAATTTCAAATAATTTCTAGGACGGATAAGTGAAAGTTTTCAATAAAATTCTATAATTAATTAATCCCAAACAAACATCTGGTCGGTTTCATCTCAATTGTTTGTTTCTCTTCGAATTTACAGCGACACTTAAAAATTCATCAATTTGGACGAAAATAGCACGACCATATGTCTAATTAGAGCTTTGTGTTTTAGAATGACGGAGTGAAATTGTGTACTTCCCACGAAATGGAACCTTTATTGAGCTCATCATCAACAAATGTATGTAGTTATGGAATGAAAATATTACAATAAAAATAATTTTTAGTGTGATGATGATCCATGGTTGGAACAACCCATCACTAAAACCTCGATTGAAGTTACCAGTGTGATGAGTTTTGCGTCAAGTTCTGGCGGTGGTCTTTTTCTCGGCTCTCCCAGTTTATCACGTCGTTCATCGCAACAATTAGAAGCCAAAGTCGATATGGTTTATAGTCTTTTAGCGATGTTAAGTGGTCAAGAACATGCCGATATGGGTGAAACACTCTTAGCTTTAAGTACAAATCCAGAAAGTTGTCTTGCAATGCGCCAATCTGGTTGTATACCATTATTGGTACAAATGGTACAATCGGATCGTGAAGCTGAAACTAGAAAAAAAGCAGCACAAGCCTTACATAATTTAGTGCATTCGCAACAAGATGAAAAAGTCAAAAAACGCGAAGTGAGAGTTTTTAAATTATTAGAACATACAAGGGCCTACACTGAAGCAGTAAGGGGGCACCATGAAAATGAATTTGAATCAGAAGAAGATGATAAACATCCGGTACAAACAGTGGCACATTTAATGAAATTGTCATTTGATGAGTTGCATAGACAAGCTATATGCACCCTGGGAGGGATTCACACAATTGCTAGTTTAGTCGAGGTAAAAATTACAGGTTTCTGTAAACCAAATTGTGACAAATGACTACGTTTACACCGGTGTGTCTTACCAATTGTGAGAAATTTGTAACTTGTGGTTGTAATATACAGGGTGTTCCGTTTTTATTGTTACAAATTTGAATAGGTGAATATTCAATTTTAAGACAAGTTTCCTATAAACGTGTATCAAAAAATGTTCTGTAAAGGGGTGCGTTTTTAATGGAAAAAACGTAAAAGAACTCTTTTTTTGTGAAAAACTATTTTTTTGCTGAAAGTGGCAAGAAACTTCAGCCAAAATATGTAGTTAGTTTTTTTTTATCGTAAAAAAACATACCATTTTCAACTTAATTTGCTAATTTTTTGGCCGATTTGGGTAAAATTTTACTTGAAGAAGACAAAAATAATTTCGTTTTCGTCCCCTAATTTGGGTGTTTTAGCAAAATTTTGTGAAAAAAATCAGTTTTGGCCCAAAATAATAATACAATTTTTTGCCTATTTATTTTTGGGCATGTTCTGATCAAAAACAATTAAATTTTTTTACACAAAAATAAGCAAAAACACCATTTCCTATCTAATTAGAAGATTACTCGGCTCACTTGAACAAAATGTCGCAAAGGAAAAGTGCATTTTTAAATGAAAAAATTAAAAATAATGTTATTTTCGACCAAATTTGGTCATTTTTGCCAAAATTTTCTTTTTAAAAAAACAGCTTTTAACTCATAAACATATTATATGCTTTAAAAGGTGTTTTTTTGCTTGTGAATAAAATTTTTCGAAAAAAAGTAGATTTTTAGTCATCAAAATAGAACAGTAATTTGAATCAAGTTTGGTGATCTTGAGGCCTATTTTAGGGAAATTTTTCGAAAAAAAGTTTCTAAAAACATGTTTTTACTCTCGAAAATGTCAAAAATGGCATAATTATCGATCTAATTTGGTAATTTTTGGACCTTTTTGAACAAAATTTTATACTAAAAAGGTTCAAGGATAGTTGAAACGGCAAAAATATTATCATTTTCGATCTAATTTGGTATGTTTTAGCGAAAAAACTCAATTTATTAGCTCAAAAATGTATTTGACTGCTTAAAAAAGCAAAAATAGCACAATTTTTATCAATTTTTGGACCCGTTTTAACAAAATTTTGCAAAAAATTTAATTTCTGACTGAAGAACTTTTTTAAACGCATCATTTTCGATTTAATTTTGTGATTTGTTATCTTGAAGTCTTATTCAAAATTTGAGTTTTTCTTAAAAACATGCTAAAACGTTCAAAAAAGCAAAAATAGCATGATTTTCGACCAAATTTGATCATTTTTGTTTTCGGTAAAAACACAAAAAATAAGTGTAACATGAATATTAAAAAGATTTTACTAAAAAAGAGTAAATTGTATCGCAAGAGACCTCTTTTTTGTAAAACACTATGAAATATTGCCCTTTCATAGGAAGCTTTTATCTTAAAATTGAATATTCTATCACCTGTTTAAATTTGTAACAATAAAAATGTAACACCCTGTATAATTATCATTCTTATTCAAGTAATTTGCGTATTAAAGTCGTTGTTTATTGTTTTAGAGTTGGTAATAAATGACGTGTAAACGTTGTCAATGTCAGTTTTGACACATGTCAATTTTTTTTTTACCAGGCCGAGCATGCGAATCATGGAAGTACCACAACCGAGCAACACTGTATTTTAATGCGTCGATACGCCTGTATGGCGTTGACAAATCTAACATTTGGTGATAGTGGCAACAAGGCGTTACTTTGTTCGTATAGGGAGTTTATGAGAGCATTGGTGGTACAATTACAAAGTCCTAGTGATGAATTACGACAGGTATCTACTTTACCGACTTTTATAATTTTACTAAATTAATAATTTAAGGTAACGGCGAGTGTTTTACGTAATTTATCGTGGCGTGCCGATGCAACAAGTAAAGAAATTTTACGTGAAGTTGGCAGTGTTAGTGGTTTAATGAAATCAGCAATGTTGGATAATAAAGAAAACACTTTGAAATCTATTTTATCGGCTTTATGGAATTTATCGGCTCATTGTACGGAAAATAAGAGTGAAATATGTTCAGTAGAGGGCGCTTTGGGTTTCCTCGTTGACACACTAACTTATAAAACACCCTCAAAATCGCTTGCGATTATTGAAAATTCCGGCGGTATTTTACGAAATATTTCAAGTCAAATAGCCGTTCGTGATGACTATCGTGAGATTTTACGACGTCATAATTGTCTTCAAATCCTTCTTGATCAATTAAAATCACCAAGTTTGACAATTGTTAGTAATGCTTGTGGTACATTATGGAATTTGTCGGCTAAATGTTGCACCGATCAAGAATTATTATGGCAAATGGGGGCACCAGCAATGCTTCGTAGTCTCAATCATTCGAAACATAAAATGATTGCGATGGGATCAAGTGCGGCTTTGAAAAATTTATTAAGTGCAAAACCAACACAAATGTTACCATCTGTAATGGACTCAACAGCGTTGGCTATGGATTTACCAGTATTGCCAACATTAGGCGCACGCAAACAAAAAGCATTATTACATGATTTAGATCAAACGTTACTATCGGAAACTTTTGATAATTTAGAGAAAGAATCACCAAAGAAATGTGAAAATTCCGGTTTTTGTAGTTTAGATGAGGCAAGTACGAGTTATGAAACGAGAAAGAATTTAAGTTTGCCGTATTTTGACGACTCAAATAATGATTTAAACAATGGAAAATGTTTCAAGAGGAGAATTGAAAATAAAAATTTGAATGTTTGTTCAGATTCGGGATTACAAAGTTTTGAGATTGATTCAGGTTCGAGTTCAATCGATAATGATAAATGTAAAAAAGATGATGAGAAGGATCACTGTTCAATTGAAGATGTTTCCGATTCGGATAATCAAGTTTGTGACGATTCAAGGTTGGTAATACTGTTTGTGTTTTTTCTTTAATATTATTTTTACAGTTTTTCTGGTCTTACGACTGTTCGACGAGAAGTAGAGACGAGTTTTTCACCGAAATTTAAATATCCCACTGCATCATCAAATGTAACAATGTTTGAAGGTGACATTGATGAAATCGACATGGATGATATTTCGATACATTTCGAAGAAAAACAAGATACCGAAAATGAAAAAATTGAAACGCGTAAACTTAGTGGTATTCCATTACCGAAAAGTACTATAAAACAAGAGACAAACTTGTTACTTGATACACCAAAGAAAATCAATCAATCATCGGCTTTACCACGACCCCAGACGAGTACACCGATTGTGGGATCAAATCAAACCATAAAAGTTGCAAATATTGACGAGTGAGTGATGTTTTGTGTTTGTTTTATCATTTTTACTTGTTTTTTTTTTGTAGAATGGAAAAATCAAGTCCTGAAGAGTTTCCATTTTTGGATCGTGATCGTTTTTTGGAACGCAGTTGTGAGGAAAATAATCCAATGGATAATCGAATGTTGGATCCGGATGCAATGATTCAATCACTTGATCGATTCACAGCTGAATTGGTATCACAAGCATCACATCTTCAAAATGACGAGAAATATAAAGACAATACGTGGAATGAAGATACATCACCGAATGAAGTAACATTTCCGAGTATTTCTGGTAGTGCACCGAATGTCATTACTTTCGAATCGGAGGAAAATCACAATGATTTTTCATCGGTTAGCACAATGACTGAATCAACTTTGATCGCAATTGAAGCTAGTAAAATGGCAACGGTTTTTAAAAATGAAGCTGAAATGTCATCAAGTGTGACATGGCTTGAATTAGATAAAGTTCAACCTCCCAGTTTACTCGAATCGTTTAATTCCGATGTGAGTAAAAGCCCGAAATTGACAACACGTAAAAAATCCTTTAGTTTAGTACGTCGAGTTTTGAGTAATTCACAAAATTCGGATAGTTTAGAACAGGTGAATGATTTTGATACGAGTTTCCCCGAGTTTGTTATCAATGGTTCGATTAATCGTAATGTAATGACGTCGAAATTGACCGATTTGGATAATATTAATCCACCGTCGTTGTTTAATGAAATTACAGATCTCTGTAATTCGCTAAGTGATGTACCGACTGAAGCTATAGGAAGTGAAACTGAGATTTTTGAAGATTGTCAAACACATATTGATGATGTTACCGAATTTTCGGATGCTAATAGTGCAACTCCTATACAATCGGATCCAAGTAGTCCGGAAATTTCACCAAAAAAAAATAAAACAATCAAAAAACCGATGACTTTAAAAGAGAAACGAAATTTGGCAAAAGATCGTTACAAGACTTATACAGTGGCAGCAGCGGAAATGTTTTCACAAGAGGAAGTGACAACAAGTGATTATCAATCAATTGATACTCAAAAAAATGAACCTAAAACGAAGTCTAGCATTCGTAAGAATTTCCTTCAGAAACGATTAGAGAATAAAGATCGCTTCAAAACGCAAACTTTGAGTCCAAAACCAGATTTAGACCTCGAAAAAGAGGCAAATTTAGTTTTGAAAAACTTGCAAGAGACGAAAACCAGTGAAGAATTATTAGATTGTGAAACATTGAGTTTGGTTTCCAACGACGATGACTCTGAACAAAATTCAGTAAATTATCGAACGTATCACAAAAGTTGGGGTTTAAAGAAAAATATTCCGGTTATTGAACCGGTCACAAAACCAAAAATTGTCAAACCTTCTGAGGAAGAAGACCAAGTCAAAGCAATCCGAGGTCGTCGAAAACCTCTCTATTCGAAACCGACCCCCAAATCACTCAAACCATCGAATTTGGTGCGAAATATCACAACTTCGATCAAATCGGTGGCTGTGAAACCACCCCCAAGTGGGGGGGCTTCCAAATCTAAACCGAAATTGGAACGTCAAGGAACGTTTACAAAACAAGAAGCGGCGAGTTCAACAGTTACGAAAACTTCACGAATTCCGTCGAAAATTCCAGCGAGGAGTTATGGAAGATCAACGAGTGCGGAGAGTACAAGACGAGTGCAAAGTGCAGGGAATGGAGTAAAGAGAGCTTCAATACCGGCACCGAGAAGTGCGAGTAATACGAATTTGAATACAAATACGAAGAAACAAGTAACGAGTAAAATTGCGAGTATTTGGAAGAAAATTGAAGAGAGTAAGAAACAACCAGTGAATAAGAAGGATACAAGAGTTTGGATCGAGGCGAAAGGCGAGTCGGGGGGAAGTGGAGGTGTTGTAATGAGGGGGAAGAAACGGGAAGGGGATGAAGGGAAAAGAGTGTCAAGGTTGGGGTCGTTCATTGTTATGGACGATGGGGAGCAGAATTGACGGGTTTAATGCCATAAATATATTTCTAGTCCGATTTAGTAGCATTTTATGTAAAGACTGTATATTTATTTAGATTTTTTTTATTAGAAATGTATATAATAACATGTTATTACTTCAAGTAGTTTTCTAATATTTGTAATAATCATTGTAATGACGAAAATTCTTTAAAATTGTACTAATTGTATGATTTGTGAAATAAATTACTCAATTTTAGTGGGCGTTTTTTTATAGTAACTAGGCAACGTTTGTTTGTTATTAGTTACATAAGAGTTGTTACGTTGGTAGTGTCAACTGTCAATTTGACAAGTGACACAAAAACCCAAATAAGTGAAACTAGAAATGTTTTTTGTGTAATAATTCGTGATTTTTGTTAGTTTTAGTGTGGTGAAAATGACGACGCCAAGTCGCGAATCTCTTTCGGTAAAAAATTTACATTTTCTCACTACTCGTTTCAGGGGCCTATTTTTCAGCAAAAAAGCGTAAATAATGAAGCCGTTCAAGTGGTAGTCCGTTGTCGGCCTATGAATGGGCAAGAGAAACAAGCCGATTGTAGTCGTGTCGTTACCGTTTATTCAAATCGTGGGGTTATCGAAGTTGAGAACCCGAAAGCGAGGAGTGAAAATGAACGCAAGAAAATCTTCACATATGATGCTGTGTACGACTGGAAGTGAGTCTAAACCGAAAACAGGGGGGCTGTTGTGGTCACACTTTGGTTTCAGTGCTTCGCAACAGTGTCTTTACGACGAGACAGTGCGCCCCCTTGTCTCGTCAGTCCTTGAGGGTTACAATGGTTGCGTGTTTGCGTATGGTCAAACCGGGACTGGGAAAACCTACACCATGGAGGGGGTTGATTGTGAGGAGGAATGGGGGGTTATTCCACGAGCCTTTCAGCAAATTTGGACTCATATAAATCGGACCACTGGAGTGGAATTTCTAGTCACAGTTCGATATTTGGAAATATACATGGAAGACATCAGGTAAAGGGATTTATTTTAGAATAAATCAGGTAACAATTTGTGTAAACACGGTATAAAACTGCCCAAATAAGCCAAACGATTCACCCAATTTGGGATTGTTTTCTTGCATAAAAGTTTAGTAAAAGTCGCCGAAAAGTGATTACAATTATTGTAAATCAAATGGTATTTAATACCACGAAATTTTCGTCCTAATTTCACTACAATTCTTGCGATTTCATCACGTGTTAAATCCGTATCACCAATATGAAGTGTTTCACGATATTTTAATTGTCCATTATGCATATTGAAAAACTCTTCAAGGATTTGTTCATTTCGTGGTTCAATTTCGAAAATACCACTTGTGTTGTTTTGATGCCCTGCAAACCCGTATTCAATACCGTAGATTTCCACTCCTGAGTGAAAAACACCCAAACCTAGAAAATCATTGATTTTAAACATGTCGTAGATGTTGAGTAAAACTGGTTCAAGATTCTTCTCGAAGGGGATTTCATCTGAATCGGTTTGGTGGAGTCCACATGGGTTGCAGGGCATCACTGATAATTTAATTTGACGTTTTTGAAAAAAAAATTAACGTGTCATTGTGTCATTTTTCAGAGATTTGTTAAAAATCAAAAACTCAAAGTCACTAGAACTTCGGGAAATCACCGGTAAAGGTGTGTGTGTCACTCATCTCCACTCACAGACATGTCAAAGTGCCGATGATATGTTACGAGCAATGCGAGTGGGTAATAAAAATCGTACAAGTGGTGCAACAAATATGAATGAACATAGTTCACGTTCACATGCAATATTTCAAATTGTTATTGAAATGGCTGAATTACATTCGAAAAAAGTAAAAGTTGGTAAATTGAATTTAGTTGATTTGGCTGGTAGTGAAAGACAGTCAAAAACTGGTGCAACTGGTGAACGATTTAAAGAAGCAACAAAAATCAACAAAGCTTTGTCCAGTTTAGGCAATGTTATTTATGCACTAGCTGAAAATTCCCAACATATACCGTATCGTGATTCGAAATTGACACGACTTTTACAGGATTCTTTAGGTGGTAATAGTAAGACAATAATGATTGCGAATATTGGACCAGCGAATTGTAATTATGAAGAAACTATAATAACATTACGATATGCGTATCGTGCAAAATCGATTAAGAATCAACCGATTAAGAATGAAGATATTAAAGATGCGAAATTATTAGCACTTCAGGAAGAAATCGAACGATTGAAACATTTAATTGAAATGAAATCAAACGGTGGTGAATTAGACGATTCTGAAGTGGTTTTAGACGAAAGTGAAACATCCGATGATGAAGATAGCAAAAAAGATGAAAGTAAAAAGAGATTGGAATTGGGAAAAATGGAAGTGGATGAATTGGCGAAAAAATTGGAAACTTTAGAAAGTCAAATGGTACATGGAGGAAAAAATATCGTCGATAGTGTAAATGAAAACGAAGTTAGATTAGAACAACAAAAACTTGAGATTGCAGCACGAAAAAAACGCGAAATTGAAATGCAACAAAAAATCGAATTGGAGGAAGAAAGTTGCATCGAATTGAAACAAGTGTTTGCAAGTCTTCAACAACAAGTCGATTTTAAAAAGGATAAATTAAAACGACTTTATGCTAAACTCCAATCAATCCGACAAGAAATCAAAGATAATCATAAGATTTATATGAATGATCGACGCGAAATTGAGGAAGCCAATGATGAAGCTTCGATGCAATTAAGACAACGTTTTCTTATTATTGATAATTTTGTACCACCTGAAGAACGTTCACGTTTAATTAATTTAGCACAGTTTGATGAAGATAAAGATAATTGGATGTTGAAAAAAGAGAAGATTGATGCGATTACAATGGAACGGCCTTTGGGGCATTGCTATCGAAGGCCTATCTCGGAATATGCCATTACGACTGGACAAGTTGTACCAAAATATCGAGTATTTTAATAGTTTTTTTTTTGTTACTTGAATTAATTTTTTTTTGTTTTAGGGTGAAAATGTGTTAGATTTGAAATTAGATATGCCATTACGAATCACACAAGATTACAACAGTCCAATAATTTGTCCCCAAATTAAAGCAACTGTCACCAATATGATTTTACACGATGTTGAAAATAATACAATTGTTGTTAAAGCTTTGCCTCATACAGTTAGTGCAAGAAACACTTCGAAATTGGAACATGAAGGCAAATATAAACAAGCGACAAAATTCGTTATAGATATGCAGAATTACAGGTGGTTTTTGAATAATAAATTTAATTGAAATTTTCATTGTTTTGTCTTTTTTCTAGGACTAAAAAAACAAGTGAACCGGTCCATTGATTGAATCTAGTCAGCTTGTAGAATTTTATTTTCGTATCTAGTCTTGTCCATGTAGCTTTGTGATTTTGTGATATTTTAGCTTTATTCACAGTATAAAAAAAACATAACAAATAAATACTTAATACTATTTTTATTTTTTCATCAAGGCAGTGACCCTTGGATTTAATTTCCTCACTCGTCCTCTACTACTAACACTTGTTAAAAACTCTTTCTCATCTTCCTCACTCTCACTTTCCACATATCTAGAACGTTTCTTTCTATGTTGTCTCACTGAAATTAAAGGTTTATCATCGCTATCTTCACTTGATTCTTCTTCATCCTCCGATGATGTAATTTCGTTTCGTTTTCTACTTCGCGTCACTGGTTTATAACAACTATCTTCAGAATCATCCGATTCTTCGTCGTCTTCACTATCTTGATTCATTTTTTCCACACTTGACACACTCTCTTCACTTTCCGACTTCACTTTAGTAGTTACTTTGACACTTTGTAATTTTTTAAGTGGTTTATTATCCTCACTATCGCTACTATCACTCTCGACATTCTTCATTTCTTCTTCAATTTCACTCAATTCAGACGATGATGACGATGAATTCGTCCCACTTTCTTCTTTATTATTTGTCTCTTGGGTGGCAGCATAACTTCGTCTTCTTGCCATTTTCCAATGTTTGATTAATTTACTTATGTGTTCCTCGAAAATTGCAGCTAGTCGAACAGTCATGACATAAATCTACCAAAGAATTTGTTTAAAAAAGAAACAAAAACACAGCACTCACCCTTGATCGTTTATTTGTATTATAAGTACGCGAATTTTGAAAAATTAATCTCATATCATTATAAAATTCATTAGGTGTTTCGTATTTGTCACTGAATAATTTATCCTTGACGGTGCTCAAATCCATAGGTGTCTCGATTATATCATGATAATCTAAATAAAGAGTTTAAAAGGGGTGAAATTATTGATAAATACGCACCTGTATATTTTAAATTATTAACAGGTGTCCGAAAAGGCACTGAATCTTCACAATCCCAAATTGCTTGAAATAAAATTTTTGCTTCGGATTTCCAATCACTAGCATGTCTTAAATATCTAGTAGGTAATGAACGTAACATACGACTACTAGATGGCGGTATTTCAACATCGACTTCAGTATCAGTCGAGTCATAAGTATCGACTAATTGATGATAAATTGCGGTTACGTCAAGATGAGTTGAACATTGTCTAATGTAACATAAAAATTAATTTAAATTAATAATAAAGAGACATACTTAATTATCCTTAGACATAATTCAGTTAAGATTCTTGCATGTTTCACGATGATACTATGGCGTTCATTGAACTTTTCTGCATTGGTCGCTAGATGGCGTACATCGAATTGTGCAGCGGTCACTCGACGATAAAATCTATTCTCAAATCGGGCTTTAATCGTTGATAAATCAACTGGATATTCCACTATGACAGCATAAGTTGGATAAGTATTTAAATCGACTGGTACTAAAAACGGCTCGGCTATTGCCAATTCCATTACTTTAGCTAAACCAGCTAAAATATAACACGTGACTGTTTCTCTATCATTGGGCCAATCATCAGCTGTTGGTTGATATAAAATACTTTGTAATTCTTCTTCGAGTACTGGTAGTGCTTCACCAGGTGTTTCTGGTACTCGATTATCATCTAATGGTTCCATATCCCAAGGACTCATCCTTTCCAATTCATCATTATCCCATTTAATTTCATAACAGAGAAAAGGTGAATCGGGGAAATCCTCACTTGCATTATTTTTACTAACAATTTCACCAATCCACCAACCATCATCGATCATACAACGAAATTTATCACCAATTTGCCAATTTCGTGACATTGCACAATCGAAATGTTGTTTTAAAACGAAAAAATCCAAAACATCTGGCATATCATGGTATTTCACTGTGAATATTTTACCATTAAGACGACCATCGTCGTCCAGTAGTGCCAATCGTAAATTACACAAACGTGGCGGTTTAACTTCGTATTGAATTCCCACGACTTTAACAAATTCATGACTCTGGAAACCGGAAATTTAATTTTTTTTAATTCAATTAAATTTCTACTAACCCTTAAATGTATTTTAGTCCATGGTAGAGTTTTACTATTAATTTCGTAGATTTTTTTCGTACGAACTGCATCCAAATACAAGTGGTGTCCTTGAGGAAAATAGACCAATTCATCGCCCATTTGTGGGAAATATGGTGTTTTTCTTGGTCTAACTTCAGTCAACCATTCACTCATTCGATACATTTCAGGTTGTTTGATTTTCATTGTACGAAGTGGGATTTTTTCAGGTGGTTCTTCTTCATATTTGTGATCGTCTGATTCTGAATTGTAATTGACTTGTCGTCGACGTGTACGTTTCGGTGATTCTCTATTAACATCTTCATTGACATCTTCTTCAGCCACCCAATCGGAATAACCCGTTGAATCACTTTCACTCTCCGATGAACTACTTGCTGAAACGATGAAAACCTTAAAAAAAAGGAAATTTAATATTTTTCAGTTTTTCTTTCAAAATAAAGCAATTTAGCTATTTTCAAACGAATTTTGCTCGATTTTAGTAAATTAATCAATCTCAATTTTAGGCTAAAATAAAGCAATTTTAAATCGACTTGGCTCAATTTTAAGCCGAAAATTAAGTATTTCAACAAACTAATGGTTTAATTAAGAGTTTTCTTCCAAAATAAAGCAATTTTTGGTATTTTCAAATCAATTTTGACCGATTTTTATACAAAATTAATTCGAAATTAATGTATTTTATAAAAATAATTTCTTCAATCCGAATTTAAAATTTGTGATATTTTCAAACGGTTTGGCTTTATTTTAAGCCGAAAATCAACCTGAATCAAAGCATTTCAACAAAATAATTCTTTGAATAAAAATTTTCTTCCAAAATAAAACAATTTAACTATTTTCAAACTAATTTTGCTAGATTTTAGATTTTTTGAAGCAATTTGATATTTCAAATCGATTAGCGGCTTAAAATTGAGCCAAATTGATTGGAAATGTCACATTTCATCCAAATTTCGAATTAATTCTGTATTAAAATAAAATAAAATTGAATTGAAAATAGCTTTCTTTCTTTATTTTAAAAGAAAACTCTTATTCAAGCAAGTATTTGGTTAAAATACTTTGATCCCCGGCTTAAAATTGAACCAAATTGATGGAAAATATCACAGATTACTTTATTTCAGCCTAAAATTGAGATTGAAGAAATTATTTTTATAAAAATACATTAATTTAGAGTTAATTCCGTAATAAAATTGAGAAAAATTGAATTGAAAATAGCTCAAATGTCTTTATTTTGAAAAAAAAACTCTTATTCAAGCAAGTTTTTGGATGAAATACTTTGATTCAGGTCAGGTTGATTCCCGGCTTCAAATTGATTGAAAACATTGAAAATTGAGGCAATTATTTTTTTTTAAATACATACATTTTGAATTAATTCTGTATTAAAATCGAGCAAAATTAAATAAAAAATAGCTCAAATTGCTTTATTTTTGAAGAAAACTCTAATTTAAGCCAATAGTTTGTTGAAATATTTAATTTTCGGCTTAAAATTGAGCCAAAAATATCACAAATTGCTTTATTTTAGCCTAAAATCGAGCAAAATTAGTTTGAAAATAGCTTTATTTTGCAAGAAAACTAATAATTTACCGTTTTGTTAATATCATCTTTGGCTGGACGAATCCGAATCGGATTTCGTTTTTTCTCACTTGATTTGCTCGTCTCGGCACTAGTACTAACAGTGATCATGTGAGGGCGCTGACATAGTTGTCTTTTATATTCCTGCATTTCCATATTTTCCATCATTTCCCTAAATAAAATTCAATTAAATTAATTAAAACGAGAAATTAATGAAAACCGTACACATCCTCTTTGATTTTTTTGATATGAGTGTGGTTCAAAGGTGGTACTAGGATATGTTTTTTCCATTTCATATTTGGATCACTTTGCCAATCACCGGTACTTTGTCTTATTCCTTCGTGTCGATTTTGAGGCCTTTGATACTGGTTTCTTGACTGTACTTCAGCTTCTTGTATCACCTCTTGGGTACCTTCATTACCAATTACGACATTTGGTACCAATTGTTCAGTGTTGCAATGTTCCCTTCCTGGTACTAATCGTTGCAACATTGGCGGATATGGATTACCATCAATATCAACAAGAAACGGTGGTGGCATTAAATGTGGTGGAATTTGTGTTTGTTCATCCAAAACATAATTATTTACATCACGTACCAATGGCCGATAATCCGTATGAAAAAACAATTCTTTTGGTAATTGCTCAAATAAACCATCACCAGTACCAAAACCAAAAATCAATAAATGACCATGTGAATCCGATGCAGCAACAACATTACCATCAGGTGACCATTTTACATCAAAAATTGCACCATAACCTTGATTCTCGATTGTATTATTAAAACGCGATATTATTTCACCTTTATACAAATCCCATATAAATAATTGACCATCATGACCAGCCGATAAAATTACATTATGATCATGTGGATGACTTTCAAGCACATAAATCTCATCAGTATGACCAGTTAAGATTTTATCAAGTTGGCCACTACGTACATTCCATGTTTTCAATGTATGGTCACTGACGGCCGTTATGGCCCAAGCATCAGAACGGTCCCATGTCACCATGGTCACTTTCAATTTTCGCGCCTCTTCCGCCATCTTCTTCGTACTGGAAAAAATAAACATGACATGTAACCATGGAAACACTAGACACGTTACTATGGAATTACGTCAACATGACATGTAACTATGGAAACACGAGGGACGTTACTATGGAATTACTAGATTTTTGTCGGGTAAAGTCCCTAAACGCCCACCTTGTGGGTTTCACCGTGTTGCTGGCGGCCGTCATGTGTAAATACGTGGTTTTCCACTGTTGCGACTCAAAACTCCAAATGATTGCCGTTCCATCTTTGCTTCCTGATAAAAATTTGAGTCCTTCGTGGGCCCATTGAATCGAATCGACTCGATCATTGTGTGCTTCTGTTTCGAGTATTCTATGGGGGCCTTCATCACCTTTCATATAGTAGACACGTACGTGATGATCGGCTGATCCTGTCGCTAGAAAATTACCACCTGGACTAAATGATGAACATATCATTTGTGCTTGTCCTGGTCGCATTTTCTCTTGATACATTGTTGGTTTAGCACGAAAATTGACTTTTCCACCGGGTTCGTGTGTATAAGCCCAGAAGGCGACCGAACCATCGGTACTTGTCGTTATTAAATATTGAAAATTCCATGAGGGGGAAGGACAGAAATTGACAGAGGTGATCATTCCGGTGTGTCCGGTGAGGACGGCGATTGGAATTCCGGTTTGTAGGTCCCAAATCCGGAGGATTCGGTCTATGGAACCGGCGGCAAGAAGGGTGTTTTCGAGGTTGATGGCAATGTCGGTGATTTCGGAGGAGGCGCCCCGGAATGTGGCGATGAGACGACCGGTGCGAGACGACCATAATTTAATCAAAAGATCATCAGCACCTGTGATTATATAGCGACCGGAATAGTCGAAAAGGAGACAATAGACGGCTGAAAGGTGCCCCAAAGTGCGTCTCTGGAACTGCAAACCACTGTAGAGTTTTGGGGCGATGATCCAACGGCGTGAAATTGGCCCCGAAATCTCACGCCCCCGTAAAATATTCGCTAAAAAATTTGATTAACTCATGAAAAGTGTTATTAATGAAAACTCACTAATGTTTGACGAAATGTGGACTCGGTTACACAACGGGAGAAAATGTTGTCTCTTGACATAATTACAAAGTTGTTTAAAATTGTACTCGACATTGCTACTATTGACGGCATGTTTTTTCAGGCTGAAAAGTGTCTCGATTTTTTCAGGTCGGGTTATTTTGTTTTGGGTGGAACTACCGGCACGGCAACACAATTGTAGCAAATAATCGGGCCGAATATTGGGGTATTGGTGCTCTAAATCGTCCAAACTTCGATCGTGTAATTCCCCCAACCAGTCAGTTCTTTGCGGTAGTAATTTATGTTCGGTTAATTCATCATGTAACGCCTGAAAACATTGATTTGATTCAATTGTGACTGAAATTGACGTACCTTTAGTGTTTTTTTAAGGGGGCCACCTGAGAGAAACTTGTGGAGTAAAAAATACAAATCTGAAATGGAATTTCGATAAAAACAGGGTGGGATTTAAATGGTGGTGACACTGACCAGCTGTTATCGGACTTGCTTCCGGATTATCCATTTGTTTCGCAAAATTATTGTAAATTGAACGACATAACCTCACTATATTTTTTCAACTGTCACTTGCAGTAAACAATAACAGTGCTGCCCTCAACGGGAGTTTGATGATTCTGGTCAAAATCAAAATAAAAAACAGAAATTGATGAATTTTTTTTATTTAAAATCAAGATTCACTGAAGTGATCGTTCAAAAGTAAAATATGCAACTACACATACAGTGGCAGACACGGAATTTTGGACATCAAATTTATGTCAGTTCAAAAAATGTCAGTGTAAGCCACGCTTTATTGTCATAATTGACGTTTGAAACTAAAATTTGAAAGTTTTAGTTGAAATTTATTTTTGACATCGATTTTCCGAAACAATAATGCCAGCAATATGTGTTTTAATATTAGTTCAATAAATTATTTTGATTTGTTGTCATTTTTTCTCGAGCTATCAGATAAAAAATACCAAAACCGAAAATGAGGTTAGTTGCTTAAGGCCCGTTTTACATTAAGTGTATTATGAAGTTTAAAAAATTGAATTCTATAAAATAAATATGTTCTAAAATTCTACGAATTTTTTGAGTTTTTGAAAGTGAGCGGTAGTAAAATCCACGCCCTTTGCTACGCCCCCTTTAACCACGCCCCTTAAAACGCCCAGTGTTTAGTAAAAAAAACAACATATTTGATGTGTTGTTAGTTGCATAACTTATTTTTTTTATTATGCACTAAATTTGTGTCAAAATTGCCTAACAAAAAAAAGTGCAATTAACTATACATTAAATATGTATAATTTTTGTCTAAACTAGGCATATTAAGGGGCGTGGTTTGAAGGGGGAGTGACGCTTTAAGCCATGCCCTTTTTTCTTTCACGCCCCTTAAAAATGCATGGTGTTTAGGCAAAAATCATACATGTTTCAGTATTGTTAGTTGTATAACTTACAAAAAAAGTGATGGGCTTAAATTCATGTGATGTTTTATTTTACATTAAATGCTTATATAAGTTAGTATCATTTGTTTCGGTGCAAGTATTTAACTTTCTTTGCGATTGTGAAAGTGATTGATTTGTTTCTTGATGAATAAAAGCCTTGTGGAAAGTTCTATTTCTGTTCCCCTAACGATCTTAATAAAGTAATGCTTGAGAAAATTTTCTGAATCATCTGAAAATTAAACTTAATGAAACAAAAAAAAAACAAATTATTATTTTTACAGTGACGAGAATTTCATTATTGATTGTTACAAGTCCTGCCCCATACATACTAATTCCTTTTTGTGAATTCAAAATAAGTAGAGTTAAATCACGTTTGGCTTTTGCATTGAAAACATACCAATTTGATTGGTAAGCAGCTTGAGCGAGTGAAATACTCTGAAATTGAAAATTAGTGAAAAAAAATTGTGAGAATTAGCTACTTTGTGATAGATTTGGTCACTTTGAACGGCAAAAATAATGAATTGGAGAGCTTCGGAGACAACAACGCTTAAAAGCATCGAGTATTGGATGATTTTTTCCAAATTCTGTGCAAAAATTGTTAGATTTGAGTCAAAGTGAGAAAAAAATTTACTTCTGATAAGATATAACCGACCAGAATGAGTGTTAATGAGGTCGATAAGACATGAATCCCAAACATTAACGATGCAATTTTTTTCAACTCGTTTCCGTATCTGGAAAAAAAAGTTTTGTATTTATTCCAGAAACAAGGTTTTTTTTTACGTTAAAAGTAAAGTGTGGTGTTTGACACAAATAGCAATTCTCTTGCGAATTTCTCTTTGAAATAGTTTCGATCTGGCTTTTGTCACAATTTCGACATTTTCGAATCCATAATCCAATTTTTTTAAGAGTGTTTTTAATAAAATAAACTGTCCGACGAGATGTTGTGCCGAATAAATAAAAACCAAATCGAAAACTGCATTTCCAAGAACCGAAACTAACAAATTCCAGTACATTAAAACGTATAAAATCTCATATTGTGGACTTTGGTCTTGATTAAAGGGCATCGAAGCAAGCGTTGGTAACCATCTAGTGCGCCCTTTTGGAATTGGAACATCGGCGAAAAGGGCATACAAACCGATATAACCCACCCCTAATGAAACATGCCCCAGGAGGAAAAAATTAATCAACTTGAACCGTTTTTCAAGCCCTTTTTCCAAAACCTCCCCTCCGATACTCAAATCCCAGAATTTCTCCGTTACGGTCCTGAAGAAAAACCCGATTTCTTTACGGTGATACAAAGTGTAGCACATTTTTAATATGACCAAAAGTGGTATGGGCCACGTGACTGAAATTTCCAAAATGTCCATTTCTTTTCTCCATTTTAATATAAAAATTGTTCTGGCTGTGAAAAAAACAATTTTTATTATTAGGATGAGGAGATAGAGGGGTATTAAGGAGGGGTTTTGGCTCCAAGGTTCGAAACAGTGACGCAAAATCCGAAAAGGATCCTCTGAAATAAATTTTGTGTTTTAGTGAAAATTTCGAGTTTTTTACCTTTGAGAGGGCGGTTTTGAATAGGGAAGGAGACCATGGTCGTGTGATTTATGCAAGGATTCGCGGAAATTAGGGGGTGGGATTGTGTAAAAAAATATTGGAAAATTTGATCAATTGTGATAATATGGGGTTATGGCTGAAAAATAGCATTGTTTCATGGAAAATTCAATTCTTGTCAAAAAAACACGTTTTGAAAATAAAAACATGTTAAAAAACAGTTGTTTTTTTTGGTACTATGTTTTACCAAGAATAAAATTTTTC